AGCTCCAGGATTCGTCAACGGATTATTGCCCAAACTGCAGAGGAGCACTATAAGCCCTGCATACAGAATTTATAAGCATTTAACCACGAAGCAATGAATTGTGGTCAATTGAAAAATGTAAAATGGCCAAATTTGAGATTTTTTTTCCCCCCAGTTTTGGCCTAAATGTTGCAATTCAGTTTACAATGAACTCATTGATGAATGATGCCCATTCTGATCTAATAAGACTAAACAGGAGAGACAAGTAATGTCCTAAATGTTCCTAAATAAATGAAAAAAATGCAGATGCAAATTTTGATTAATGTATTTATTTATATTTTGTGGTCAGGTCTACTCTGACATTTTGGACAATGTTACATGCACAAGGCAATTTCCAATCATTTCTGACACGGCAAGATGTGATACATTGCATCTGTCACAGATTTGTACGAGACACCCGTACAATGGTTTAACTTTGTACACTGATCAGCTCTCTACCTCCATTGCAGCTTGCAGACCAGCTAGAAGGTCTCTGCCTGAGCCAAGCCCAATGGTGCCAAGAACGACCAGCGGATGCTCTCAGTCAATCAGTAGCCCTGCAGTGCAGAGCCTAGCTCAGGACAGAGAACAGAAGCTCCTAAGTAGGTCCATACACCCGGCTCCCCAGTGGCTTGAGAGAAGGGAAGATCGGCATGCAAAGTGGGGCGCAAAGGCATTCCTGAAATTGTAAGAACTACAGCACAATGTAGTGGTTTTGGTGCTTAGAATGTTCCTTTAAGGCAGTTTAAAAAAAAATTATATTTTACTGGAACATGTAAAAATCTCTTCATCTCAGTACAGGTTTATGGAAAATTCTAAATACTTTCCAACTTGAATGCTGAGACTAGTGATGTGGCATGTGGATGTATACATTAGCAGTTCAATACACTACTCCCAAGTGATTCACGGATATACTGTATGATCTAAAGTACGTGCACAGCTGCTTGTGGAACATCTCATAACGTATGCTGGACCTCTAGCTTTCTGAGCTTCGTCTCAGTCTGCTGCTGAAGAGAATTTAGCCTTTTTTGGGGTTTAGTAAAACCCAGTTATAACCATTTTAGTTTTAAGGTATTAAAAAAAAAGAAATGTATACATTTGGGGAAAAGAATAAAAAATAAATGTAAAGCTTTATGAAATACTCATGTTGACTCCTGTGGAAATTCACCGAAATTGAAAAGCAATCAAACGTTATCAAAGGGACTATTGTCTTACAGAGGAAGTCCAGGTTGACAAGCGGTGGAGCTTTCACCTTCAGATTTAGTCATTTCCGATAGCCGTAGCGAACGACAGCTGTGACAAAGAGGCATCTTGTGTGAGAATACAGCAGTCATACTGGCTGCTAGAGGATGAAACTCCAGTCACTGAAGAAAGAAGATGGTATCACATAAAGGAGAGCTTGCTGAACGGCTTTATGGCTGAAGGGTGTGTCTTTATTTTAAGGTTTACGAAAAGTGCAGATTTCAATAGAAATTGACACGTTTATAAATTAACCTGCAGGGCCAGAGTAACAGAAGGACTCGTGTCCAAAATGAGGTCCATAGGTGGGCAACTGGCTGAGGCTAACAGGACATCAGAGGATCTTCCCTGCCGACCCAAAGAGGAAGCTGTACACAAGTAGTGAGAAGATCAAAGATCTCCATCACTGGCCAGTCCAGGTCTTCTGCAAGGGTACCAGAGCAATCCAGTGGCGGCAACATTTAGAAACTTTACGTGGAGTCATCTGGAGGGAGCAGAAAGCACGGTTTGCACCTACATCGGGGTGCAAACCAAATGAATGGACCACCAGGGACAAGCATCCCCCCTCCATGGCCAAGGAAGAGGGAGGGGGAAGTTAACTTTTGTTTATGCTATATTTACTTTTTATTAGTGCCCCTATGCCACCTTTACACAATACAGGCTCTATTCCCCTACACCCACTACTGACCCTATCCCCTCTGCAACCACTATCTGCCCTGTGCCCAGTAAAGTCCCCATCACTTCCCTGCTCTCATAGCTTTAATGAAACCAAAATCGTATTTACAAGATTTTTAAAAAAATGTTTTTTTTTAAATCAATGGTTAAATAAACTAACAGGAATCCACAGGACCTTGCTGGTTACAAAATAGATCATTGATAATGATGCACAAATAGGTTATCAACTCTCCTTAACACACACACATGGCTTTTCAATATCGAGGTGTCCATATGTTCTGTACCAAACTATATACTTTTCAAATGATGGACCATGGTAACCTATAAACCTTTGAAAAAGACTGTTTCTGAACATAGAGGATGTCCTCCCAGTCTTTATCGCTTTCCCCATCCTTTCAGGAAGGCTCTCTGAGAGACATTGTAAAATGGACATGTTGGTTCCTTCCATTCAGCTCATGGAGGGCCCAGGATCAGGGAGGTTGGGCACCGATACCAAGTCACTGCTGACTTTTTTAGGTGATATTGTGGAGTACTGAGATCAATAGTCATTTTTTACATGACTTACACAAATCATTTGTGCATGTTACCTCTGCTTTGTGAATAGAAGCATTGTCATCCAAACCAGTTTAGTGACCGCATACCACAAAACACATAGCGAGTGCTTATTTTATTGCTGTTACACCTTGCAGAATCTGGATTATGTATAGAATTTTGAGAAAGAACATCTTGGACGTGTTCCATTATTTGGTTTGTTATGAGCTCCTGCCAAGTTTCTGGTGTGTGACCTGCTAAACATAATTAAACAAATCCTTGGAGGTGCAGAGTTGCAGCTAAAGTCCTGTGAATCGTCCTCATCTAATGTATGAAAAGTTCAGAACACTGTTTTGAGTTTGCCTTCTGAGAATCAGCCATCTTTGCAGAATTATTCTACAATATTACAGTTCCTGAACCTAATAATAAGTCCTATGACCTGCCAGTCTCAGCCAGAGGAGTGGAGCTTTTTAATAAGGTATGTTCTATATTGAGACCGTAAAGTTAGTTGATGGTCACAGGGATGAAAATTTAAACTAATAGGCTACAAGCCTGGAGGGTCCATGGCAGAGAAATGTCTACTTGCCACGGCTACATTTTCACTGACCAATTGTTGGTGGCCACTGGAAACTTTAAGCCCTGGTTGGCCACAATTAAACTATTTACACCTTTTTTATTCCCCTGATTCTAAGCTTAATGAGCCTAAAACATCAAAACGTTATGTATGGTTTTTTTTCACGAACACTAATGGGTCTAGTAAGCCATGAAAACAGTCCATAAGGGATGTTCATTCTCCATTGAAAACATACAAGTGGCACGTTTTCCCACCATGTTTATCCATGGCAGGGCAGATGATGTGCAGCATAAAATCTCCAGAAAATACATTTCAACTGTTTCAGAGTCCGTAGGTGGAGAGCTTTACACAACTTCATACAGGAATCAGCAAACAAGAAACGGAAAATAAGTACATTCATTTATTGTATTATCTGAAGAGCTCAATGGGTTTGGGGTGTTCCTTTAAAAGATCAGAGAATCACAAAACGGGGAAGATATTTAAACAAGATATCTGATGAGCAAATATCCAGACATGCTATGTGGACAAACCGTACCAGTCCTGCATTTATTCAAACAACTATATTGCTGCTCTAGACATGAAAGATGAAAAGTATTCATTATTTTCCAAAAACGTGAACTGGAAATAAAAGTGTGTATTTGTTTGTATTCGCTTGTTGTAAATTGCATTAACTTGCTTCTTTGCCTTTCCCAGAAAGGTGGGGGCTGTTATAGTAGCTGAGAAGGGGAGAACTCCATGTTAAAGGGTTACTCTATGAACCATTAACAATGCAATGTTTTAAAGTGGTTATGGTGCTTGGAATCTGTATGTGCAGCATTTTGCTATGAAACCCTGCACATACAGAGATATTTGCAAGTGTTCCGTGCCGGCTAATTTGAATTCTGTGCAGAATAGTTAATTGGCTGAGAGTGGCACCCAGTTTCAGAAGTGAGAGGTTGTTAACCCTGAAAAACCCAGATAAGAGGGCAAGCCTATGCTAAACTATTTGCCCCATTACCGAAGAACAGCGCCAGGGCTACGGCTAGCACCATAACCACTGCAGGGAGCTGTAGTGGTTATAATGTTTGGAGTAACTCTTATGGTTTTTAAACCAAAAGCTCTGTAAACATAATAGTTTATAAACGGTGTGTTTAAAGGAACACCATAGGGTCAGAAACACAAACATGTGTTCCTTACCGTATAGTGTTAAAAACACCATTTAGGTGGCCTGCCCATCCTTAGCACCCCCTAAAAAATTTATAAATCATAACTTATTTCCAGTGCTGCACGGGTCTGCCGGCTCTGACCCCACCCCCGATCCGCCTCTCTGACTACATCAAATTGTACTATTTTTAGCCAATCCAATGCTTTCCCATAGGGCCTGTATGGCCCATCAGCACGTCACCAGTGGAGGTATCCCTACGGGGCAATGTAAGCACTGCCTTTTTTTTTTTTTTTTACATGAAAAAGCCTACAGGGAATAATTATACTCACCATAACTACTACATTAAGCTGTAGTTGTTCTGTTGACTATAGTGTCCCTTTAAAAAAATGTAATTGTGTCAACACAAGTCGGAATTTATGTGGCAGATAATGTAAGCGAATACAGGTATAAATTTGTGTAGACGTAAATGCAGGTGCACATTTTGTGGAGCTTCAGTTTGTGTAATCTATAGGTGTGCCACATTTACTGTGTAAATTCAGGTATGTATTTGTGGAATTTATAGGAATTCCAAGAATAGCTGTACGCTTGTGCTAGGACTACATTTAAAATAAAGAGAGATCAAAGAATTTTAATCAACATATCTTTTGGAAATCCAGCTAGCACAGTGTATAATTTCAATTGCACACACTAGAACCATCTATTATATTTGTATTTCTAAAGGAATTGTTAATATTCATTATCCCTTTAGCAAAATTTCACCTTATACAAGTCAAGAAAAAGGAAAAAAAAATTCTGTTAAATATATTCACAAAGCAGAAATTCTGTTGAAGCTGAATTTATTTCAAAATCCACCAATTCTTGATCACATACATTTTTCATATTTTAAACAAAAATAGAATCTGCAGAGACAACGCAGCAAGAATGCATTCATGTACAGAATTGCTTTCATACAGTCACTTTCCTTATGTACTCCTCCAACAGATCGGGTATATTTACACTGAAAGCACTGCTCAACAGTGCTACTGCTTTGTTGATCCTCATTAAAACAGAGAGCCAAACCATCCACGGGGGAAACAGAGTTTTATGGTTCTGATGCATTGGCCTGTATGGCACTGCAAAACATGTATGGTCTTGCCTTGGGAATAGGGCATAGGAAACCTCTGTCATTCCACCTGCTGTAGATCACATGTCCCAGCATGCTCTGCCCACCAACGCTTACCCATACCCAATTTGGGGGCCAAAATCAAAGAAGACGTAGCTATTTCAAATGTTCATCAATTATCCGCAACGAGATACAATGAGATTTTAGAGGAGGACAAAGCTTTTTTTTTTTTTTTTACCAATGCTGTCCTTCCCCATTTTGTAAACTAAACATGGATTAAGCGTTATGGCACGTTGAGATATTAAAGACCCTTTTACAATCATTACACCTTGTTTTCCCAGCACACAGATTTAAAGGAAAATATACATTGAAAGCAATTCCTCACATTCATTTCTGAAAAGGCATTAACATGTCAAATGTAAAATAATGGCCTGCCAAGCACAAAGCAAAATAAAACTCTTCTCCCAATGTACTAATAATCAGACTAAAAATGTAGTGCTTCTTCCTAATCGGTTACCCATTTCCCTTGTAGAATTAATGCAGCGTATAACCTACTGAACGTCCATTAAAAACAGATTGCTAAAATTTGGGGGTGGGGGGCTACATCATTCCCTTCCCAATCAAAAGCATAAAGGCTTCTTTTAGAAGAATATTTAGTGCTCTGTATGGAATCACTCATAATTAATAAAAAAAATAAAAATAAAAAAAACTGTATACATCCATACATAGTTCATAAGGTGTTTGATACATTAATTGTTAAACTGATAATTATAAATAAATACAAATACATAAGGAATGTCTACTGCAAAACTGAATATATATATATATTTATATATTTAAAAGGAAGAAAAATAAAAAGTTTTAACCTCAATTACAGTTTATATGTGTAAGAAATTAATAGAAATGGCTGCACGTTTAATGAAATGGGTATTTCGGGTTTTTTCCCTAATATTTCCTATGGGAGCCTCAGAGATACCAAAGTTGGGCTATGAACATCGAAGCCCTCTTCACCTCACCTGGTATATAGTGTTCTGGAACCTAGAGTTTGCCCACAACATGACTGTTACCACCACGCTAAATGACGGAAGAGACTGAAGTACGCATGTCCCTTTGTGCTAGTAGTGGGAGCATCCCTTCGGGTCCCCATCGGTTGGTGTTGTACCATTCGTGTTGAAGAGGAGCGCTTTAACAGCAGCTTGATTGGACTAGAAATAGGTACTGGTATTCAGCATTGCCTTTTCTAAGGGCGCTCCCATCCAACTGTATTACATGAACTGCATCTACAAAACAAATGGCAAAGCAGGTTTTAAATTCTCAATCATTTTGCCCAATATACAGACACACATTAAAACACATTACATGCCCCCACATTAAAGAAGCTCTGTCACTCCCCACAAAAAACACAAAACAAAATAAAAAAAACCAACATGTTTTTGCACATAAAAAGACTATTGGATTTTCACTGACACCTCAAAGCGGTCCAAAGATGTAAGACCAAGTAAGGACTACATTGTCTAAAGTACTTTTCCGATGCTTAACAAAAAAGCGGTGCTACCTCTGTCACGCTTTGTTAAGCCCTCAGCTAGGGGAAAAGGTTTTATCTACGTAGTGTCCTGAGGTCTCGCAAGATCCTCCACAGATGTCAGTGTTGTACTCTCTCGGATGTGGGTTCCTGGCAAATGGATGAGAGTGGTCATGAGGGACAGATTCCGGTAAGTAAAACCTACCTTTCCCTGCACTCCGCAGCCTACTTACTGCAAGCGAAACAGTCACTATCAGGGGTCTTTGCAAATTTTAACAGTGAAAGAGGAGCTTTAAGCTGTACATTTTGTTTGTAATGTAACAAGAAAACATTGACAGGCATTGACTCTGTTCGTTCTGCTACAAGTCTATAAAAATCATTCTAATAAATGTTCTCTTCCAATTTTGTTGGGGGGCGGGGGGTTAGATCAGTCTAGCACTAAACACTATGGAACTGAAGATATATGCTGCTACACTGAAGTTTAAATAGCATTAGTTTGGCGCATACACAAACTGCAGGATGACGAACTAGTAAACTCCAGCAGTTGTCCGGAAGACTCCTATATTAGTTGGTGATATGGGCATGCTCCTGTCAGCCATGGTTTGAAAAACAATACTAGAAATGTTGTCAAATACTAATACATCCCAATCAGGAATGTATTGTAAACCCTTTCCCTCTCCTGATTAGATTGCTAGTTCAAATCAATGGGTGCTGACAAATCCAAAGTTATCTTAAACAGATTTGGCTTTTCAGTCTGGCAGCCAGCACAATGTTTCACGCTATCAGGAAACACTTTAGAAATTGAGAAATCCAGGCATTTCTTGCATGCACACCCACTGCAATCATAAACATAATGTGGATTGGTAGGATCATTTTATTGCGTCTATAGTATTACATATCTCCACATGCTATACACTAAATTTCATTGGCTTGATAATTGTTCTGTTTCTTCCATGTCACAGATCACAGCTAGTTGGGATTGGTACGGCCATTTTAGATGGTCAAGTTGCTTGATCATTGAGTTATCTTGGTCCCCAGGACTGAAATTGCCAGTCTGAAAAGTTGGATTAAAATGTGGCATACGAAAAAAAAAAAAAAAAAAAAATCTCCAAAACACTCCAATAGTGAATAACACTGAACAGGCAGCAGTTTCCCACTGACTATACCTAAATTGTCCTACAAGAAATCTTGTACAGAGAGCTGTGGGTAAGGCTCCTTGTTGGGTGCTCTGGGAGGACTCTGACTGGAAGGACTGGATGCTGCAGACAACTGGTGAAAAGAGAAAAGGAAGCACGGGAAAGAGAAAAGGAAGGAAGAGAGGGAGGATAGGGAACGGAGAAAAGAGGAATTGTGGAGGTTTGGGGTGGAGAGAGAGAGAGAGAAAAAGACACACAAGTCTGAGAATGGCAAGACATGAAAAGCCAATATGAAGATGAATGTTTTATTTTAGCAGTTTAGAAATGGTAGCAAGATTCAAAGCATACGGCAGGTAAGAGAACAGTAAAAGCGGTGTTATAATCTCCAGTTTCAAACCCTACAATGCAGACGATCTACAAAAAAAGTCAAGTGATGGCAGAGGGCAGGGTAAATCCCATGCCAGCTTGCAGGCTCCTCAAGAATAAGAGGAAATTTAGAGACAGAAGAAAGTGTTGCCAACATAACACTGGGGAAATATTGGAAAAATCACCATGGAAACCAACAGAATCAGGAGGTACATGCTATTGGTTATCACGGCAAATGCTTCAATTTGCCCCACATTTTCTGTCTGCGATACTATTCTAGTGAATTTATTTTTGACTAAAATAAAATGATATGAAAAACCCAGAGATCTGATTTTTTCAAATCTTTGATAATTAGAAGAGTTAAAATCCTGACAGCATGGATCAAATTAATTATGGGTTATTAGTATATACTAGAGTTGTGCACAAATGTGTTTAGCTGGTATGAACGAAACAATGTATTTCAATCAGCACCTGAACTAATTGATCAGTCAGAGTCTATGTTAGGATGTAACATTAAGAGTTTGGAAGACTCAATAAATGGCGCACATCTGCGCAGTGACGTATGTCATTCAACAATGGAAAGGGTCTTCAAAAACTAAGGCTCAAATTAATTCTCAACAGAAAGAACATGATCGCAATTATTCACAATTCTTTAGACTCTTTCTGGAAAATATTGACACCCCAGATGTTCATCACCTCAAAGACCATCTATAGGCTGGCACACTGAAGGGACTTCTGATTGTTATAAAGGCATTCCTTACAAACACAGTTTAGACTGGCCTTCTACTCCACCCCTCACAAGGTGACCTTTAGATAATTTAGAAACCTTTTCTCCCCCTTTTTCCGGATCACCTTCTCTCTCCTAGTTTTTTCCCTGCTTTCTCTCTACAGATCTTAAATTAAATAATTGTTTTAGAGTTATACGGTTATTGTTTTTGAAGAATTGGAGAAATCAGCCACCTGCCCAATAACTCCATATATAAATTTATAAAAATTTGAAGAAGAATGCATTTAGATGCCTTTACACTCCTACATGGAAAATGGATGCTCAGATTATATTTATCCAAGTATTTCTAAAGGTTTTTGAACTAACACAGGAACTAGGCATTGGTATATAAAGACTTCAATGACATAAAAACTGACATGTTCTAAAAAAAAACCTGGCAGATGGGTGCGATATGCTCACTCACTGTCAGAAAGCAAACACATGGCGTCTGCAAGCCACATGGGGAAACATGCCACGCACTCTCATCCAGTTTAGAGAAAAGCAATCACCTTTCAGAATGGAGTGTACGGACTACAGCTAAAATACTGGGCAAATACAAATCTATTAACAGCCATACGGCATAATCTATGGCATCAATAACGGCCATACGGCATAATCTATGGCATCAATAAAGGCCATACGGCATAATCTATAGCATGGGTCGTCAACCTGGTCCCTACCGTTTCAGGATTCCAGGTGGGCGGTAGGGTTTTCAGCGGTAAATCCTTTTTTAAGAGGATTTCTCCTTTTGGGCGAGCGGCTGTGTGGGCACAAGATTCCAGTGACTGGCAGGAGGGAAGCGCTCCCTCCTGCCAGGCCACCTTCTGGACCCCCCGGCATGGCGTGCGGCAGTGGTAAAATCAGACGCGGCGAGTGAGCTCTAACCTCTCTGCTCTGCTCCCTCGCGCAATGTTTTCTGATGTCGCGGGAGCCAGAATATGACGTCATATTCCGGCTCCCGGCATCAGTAGACAGCCCGAGAGGGAGCAGAACAGAGAGGTTAGAGCTCCCTCGCACCTCGGATTAGACTCTGCTGCCCGCCGAAGTGAAGCCCCACTGAACCCCAGGGACAGATCCACACCAGCTCTCCAGGTATGTAGGCTGGGTGGACATTTAATATTAATAATTTGTGTATGTAAGTGTATGTGTGTGTGTGTTTGTTTGTGTGTGTGTGTGTTTGTTTGTGTGTATGTGTTTCTCTGTGAGTGTGTGTGTGTGTCTGTAAGTACGTGTGTGTTTGTGTCTGTAAGTGTATGGGTGACTGTGTGTGTTTGTCTGTGACCAGAGTACTTGTAGAATAGAAGAAATAAGGAGCAGAGTATTTGTAAAAAGGAGAAAGAAGGAAAATAAAAATTAAAAGGAGAGAATTGTTGTTGGCTAATAATAGTAAGTGGGCTGCGTAGCTCAGCCTACCTACTGGACATTGCTATAAGGAAGGTTAAAAAATAGAAAAAAGGAAGAAAAATAGAGGTGGGGAATTGAGGAGGGGAGCTGACGCACAGATGAGAAATCATATTATGCGCAAACAGAGAAGTCGTCTGAATATCACCGAAAGAGGAGACCTTCGTTTGTTCCTTACGAAAATCGAACCAGATATCAAATATTTAGTCTCGCAGCATCAGCCTCAAGGATCTCATTAATCACTAGTAAAGGTAATTTCAATTTACTTGATTGTTTTCTCATTGAGCTTTATAAAGTTAAAAACATCATAAACATGCATAAAGTAGAAATAAAAAGATAAATGTACATACATTTATTTTTTTTTAAAAACACCCTCCTTTCTAAAAAATATTCTGCACTTGTGCGAAAACTGGTGGGCGGTAAGGCAAGAAAGATGCATTAGTGGGCGGTAGGTAGAAAAAGGTTGACTACCACTGGATCTATGGCATCAATAACAGCCATATGGCATGGTCTATGGCATCAATTAAGGCCATACGGAATAATCTATGGCATCAGTAACAGCCATACGGCAATAAGGCATTATCTATGGCATCAGTAATGGCCATAGGGCAATTACATACTGTCACCGAGTCATACCTCCTGTCACATACCCCCAATAATATACGGTCACCGAGTCATACCTCCTGTCAAATACCCCCAATCTAGTACATACTGTCACCGAGTCATACTGCCTGTCACATTCCCCCAATCTATTACATACTGTCTCCAACTCATACCTCCTGTCCCCATCCAACCCCCATTGAATCACAAAAATTTATTTAACATTTTGCATATAGAAACATAGAATGTGACGGCAGATAAGAACCATTCGGCCCATCTAGTAAATTTTCTAAATACTTTCATTAGTCCCTGGCCTTATCTTATAGTTAGGATAGCCTTATGCCTATCCCACGCATGCGTAAACTCCTTCACTGTGTTAACCTCTACCACTTCAGCTGGAAGGCTATTCCATGCAACCACTACCCTCTCAGTAAAGTAATACTTCCTGATATTATTTTTAAACCTTTGTCCCTCTAATTTAAGACTATGTCCTCTTGTTGTGGTAGTTTTTCTTCTTTTAAATATAGTCTCCTCCTTTACTGTGTTGATTCCCTTTATAAATTTAAATGTTTCTATCATATCCCCCCTGTCTCGTCTTTCCTCCAAGCTATACATGTTAAGATCCTTTAACCTTTCCTGGTAAGTTTTATCCTGCAATCCATGAATCAGTTTAGTAGCCCTTCTCTGAACCCTCTCTAAGGTATCAATATCCTTCTAAAGATACGGTCTCCAGTACTGAGTACAATACTCCAAGTGAGGTCTCACCAGTGTTCTGTACAATGGCATGAGCACTTCCCTCTTTCTACTGTTAATATATAAAAAGAATTACCATACTAGCACTGTGAGATTTTCACAAATTTCTTACTTTATTACATTGAAAGAAATCAAATTGTCGACGTTTTAGTTCTTGTACAGAACTTCCATCAGGACAAACATGTTAATAGCATCTGTTAATATCTATATCCACCTGTAAAGTTTAAAACGGCAGTAAAACTTTTGAGGTTTTTTTTTTTTAAATTTTAAAAAAAAATAATTTATGTGTCCCTTTAAGTTCAAGTATTTGACCTATATTTTTTTTTTTATTATTATTTTTTTTTAAATCCACCTTTGTTTTCATACTAAGAAACGTGGGGACTACTTCTAATTTAGATTGTGATCTTTGTCAATGGGTGGCGTCTAAAGGTTTAGTTTACTTGGATAGTTTTTCTGAGTACATACATTATTTTAGCGACATAAAGTTTACGTGCAAACCTTTTTTTTTCTGATCTAAAATATCCCAAATAGAAAAAAATAATAAAATTATCACAGAATTCGGCCTGTAAAGACAACTGGCACATAACCTTGAACTAGCTTGCGTCTCACTTGCCATCCAGATGCAAAGCTCAAATGGTGAACTGGCAAAGCGCCAACAACAATGCAGAGTTACAATAACTGCCTGGACATAAAGAGTAGGGAAAGCACAAAATATAGAATGGTTTCATGAGAGACCTTTATAGTCTGACTCAGCCCAGGCAATAGGGGCTCTGTTAAGCAAGGCTGCAGACAGAAAGGCCTTGTGTTGTCTCTCAAATGTCAGATTGGAAGTGTGGCCACTACAAATAGAAAGGTATTAAATTTACATGAACTCATACAGATCCGGCATTAGTGGTTTAATTACCTGCCAATGGGTGCAGAAAGAAAATCATTTTTCTTAGTCTAGCAAGTGAACAAGGATTATGTTGAAAAGTATCTGAAAATGCCTCTCTAAGCCCCAAATTCTCTTGAATGAGTAATCAAAACTAAAATCAAGAGGACACCATAGACCCTATAAAGCATTTCTGCTTGAAACCATACACACGCAGAGATCCTTTCACGTTTGTGTCGGGGTCTAGTTGCACCTCTGGCACACATGACATGGGCAGCCCGGATTGCCTAATCTACATGGCAAGCATTTGATTGGACAACAGACGGACATGGAAACAAAGCTAGGAGAACCTTGTCTAGCAATGGATTCAAGGTAAGTTTATACTTAATGGGGTGGACAAGATCAGTATTTCCCAATATGTCAAAAAAAAAACTAAAGAAAAGAAAAGAAAAGGAATTCCAGAGACAATGTCTCTGGAATAGCTGGTAGGACGTCCCTCTATCCACCAAATAAATATTTATAGATTAAAATATAACCTTTATTAAATGCAGAGATAAAATATAGAAACCAAAGATAAAAATAAAAAATGTGAATAAAAAGACAGGTATGAGAGTATATCCGCTAATAGTACCATGTGGGTATATGAATTACCTACTTGTGTGTCTGAGGTAATATAATGGCAACTAGTGGATACACAAAAAATCTCTACTCAAAAGGACTAAATTAGAGGTGGAATAACATGCTAATAATGTTGAGCCACTCTATAATCAACAAATAGATACAAAATATTATGATCTAGTATTGTACAAATAATGTTACAAAGTATGTCTCATGCTCAAAACACCAACATGGGCTATCTAAATCAAAAATTGCCCAGTGGTGTATAGGTGAGACCAAGATAGGAGGAGGGGGAGAATATCTCTATAGAAAGAGGAAAAACCCTAAGCAAATTGCATCAGGCCAAAACTCCAACCTCCCCTATTAAGGATCCCCCTTGCGTCCAATATCACACCCCAAGTACCCACCACAAAATAAAAAGAATAATGAGTAAATAATAATGAACTTGATCAAAAGAGAAATCAAACGGATAATATACTAACTACCTGTCTATGATAAACCTAAGCTACCTAACACGTGTTTCGGCGCTGCTAAAGCGCCTTCATCTGAGGCAAGGCAACCAGACTCTCCTTTCAGGATTCAATTTGTAACTGCTCTAAGCCAATACCTGACCAAGGGTGTGTAACAGCTATTCACGCCAAAACCGGCGTTCAGACTAGCCACGCCCCCTTAAAACGTAATGCCGTATGATTGGTGGAAGGCTCTAAGTGTCGAAACTAAAGTAACCCTTCGTGTCCCGTACTGCATAACTGAATTAATATTAATGTCATCACCTATTTCTGTATCTTCAAAGAGGATGATCTAAAGAGTATAATATGATGTAGTACTTAGTTTTTAATACTAGTAATTGATGGAATCTACAAATAAGACGTATGTAAATGAACCTACTTGAGGGGGGAATCCATATGTGTATACATATAAATATATAGTCTCTAGATAATCAATGTGAATGTATTTGCTAGGAACAAAGGGATGAGAGTAATGGGACTGTAATTAATTTTACAAGGGTAAAGTGGTTTCTAAAGCGGTCATAGATCTTACTCCTGTGTAGACCAGATGTGAAATATATTTATAAAAAATTGTTTATAAATTTGCAAATAAATCAATGAATAAATAATGATAAAATAAAAGGTGGTTCAAAATAAATACTAGATGTACTCCTTATTTTTCAATATAGGGTGTAAAAGTAAACCCCTCATTTAAACCATTGGGGGCCAAAGTGTTAAACCTGTGGATCCAAAAACATTCCCTTTTGAGAAGGGTTTTATCCAAATCTCCTCCTCTGACTCCTGTATTGACTTTTTCAATACCTGCAAATTTGATGACTCTTGAATCTCCACTGTGGCAGGTTCTAATATGTCTCGCCACTGGAGTTTCTCTGAGATTCCTAACAGAGTGTACATGCTCCATGATTCTCTTTTTAAAGGGACGTATCGTCTTTCCTATGTATCTAAGGCCACAGATACAAATTAAAAGGTATATAACCCCTTTTGTATTACAGTTGAAAAAATGTTTAACCTTACACATAGTTTTATCTGCTGAATCCGTAAGTTCTTTAGAGCCCTTATTGATGTTACCACAGGCCACACATTTACCACATTGGCAAGTCCCATGTACAGAGAGCCAACATTGTTTAATTTTTTTAAGTGAAAAGTGACTAGGTACAAGGGTCTCCTTTAGATTTTTACCCCTTCGTGCAGTGAGGGATGCATATGGAGTGACCACTCCGTCCAATTGAGGATCCTGTGACAAAAGGGGCCAAAACCTATTCAGTATCTTTTTAGCTTGTTCCCATCCTGCGTCAAAATTCGCTATGCATCTGATGGGTTCTTGTTTGCTGGGTATGAGTTTGTCTTGAAGAAGTCCCGCCCTATCACTTGCAAGTGCCCTCTGATACGCATACTTTAGGCATCGGTTAGGATACTCCCTCTCTTTGAATCTCATTCTCAGAGATTTAGCCTGATAGATGAAATCCTCAATGGTTGAGCAATTCCTCCTCAAACGGAGATATTGGCCAACCGGGATTCCCCTCTTCAGAGTTGTGGGATGATGGCTCTCCCACCTCAACATAGTGTTGGTTGAGGTGGGTTTCCTAAACAATGTACTTTCAATGCAGTTTTCATCAGAGATTCTCAGGGTACAATCTAGAAAGTTAAGAGACTCATGTACGATCTCCATCGTAAATTTTAGATTTAGGTCATTAGAGTTGAGTCTTTCAACAAAGGCTGCAAAGGAATTAATGGCACCAGTCCATAAAATAAGAATATCGTCTATATACCTTTTCCATAAAAATATATATTTCGTAAATTCAGTATTCCTCTCTGAGTATACCACGTTCTCTTCCCACCATCCCAGGTGCAGGTTGGCATATGATGGGGCACAAGACGTGCCCATCGCTGTGCCCTGCACCTGGTGGTAGTATTGACGATTGAAGAGAAAGAAGTTATGAGTGAGTACAAATTTAAGTAACGCAATTACAAACCGAGTATGGCTCTGGTGTCTAACTCCACGTGTATCCAAAAAATGTTGATTATGTGATACACCTAGAGTGTGGGGAATAGATGAATATAATGCCTCTACATCAAGACTACATATAAAAGCCCCCTCCGGTATCTTGGTGGCTGCCAAACATTTTAACGTGTCCTTTGTGTCTTTAAGATAAGACGGTAGTTTTTCTACATAGGGTCGGAGAATTCTATCGATGTAGATACTTGCTTTACATGTTAAATTATTAGACCCGGACACTATAGGTCTAGCTGTTAATTGGCGTTGCTGTTTGTGTACCTTCGGTAGGCAATAAAATGTTGGAACAGTAGGATTTTTGATGTAGATATATGCATATTCATCTTTGCTCAGAATTCCACTATCAAATGCTGAATCTAAAAGACTTTTAAGTTCAAAAAGGAACTTTTTAGTAGGATCGAAGGATAGTGTTCTGTATGTCTGATTGTCACTAAGTATATTTGAAGCTAGTTCAATGTACTGAGATCTATTCATAACCACAATATTACCCCCCTTGTCTGCGGGTTTTATAATGAGTTCCTCATTATCCTGTAGTTCACGGAGGGCCCTCCGTTCACCTTTGGAGAGATTATTTTGTGGTCGAAGTTGTAGTGAGTCAATTGGGATCTTATTGATTATTTTACAAGAGGATTCAACAAACATATCTATGTTCTTGAAATCTTTTATGTTAGGGGTAAACTTGCTTTTAGGGCACGATATCATCATTATCTTCCAATAGTGACACAAGATCCTTCAGACATTGGTATTCCCTCATACTAAAGCCTAAGTCTTTAGCTCTCTTCTCATTGTTGTTATAAAAGAATTTATGGAGGGCCAAGCGTCTTCCGAATAGATGAATATCTTTCACCCATTCAAATTTATTTATATATTTTATCTCTGCAATTAATAAAGGTTATATTTTAATCTATAAATATTTATTTGGTGGATAGAGGGACATCCTACCAGCTATTCCAGAGACATTGTCTCTGGAATTCCTTTTATTTTATTTTTTTGCAATACGTTTTAGTGAGGGTTACCCCCCTAGAAGGCTGTCCCTGACACACTACAATACTAGTTCCCCTAAGGGGTACTAGTTTTTTCTTGTTTTTGCAAAAAAAACTAAAACATTCTCGCCAAAAGGGTTATAGTAACCACTTAAGACATAGTGGATTTGTGTTTACACTGTGTCCCTTTAATATCTAGCCATTTTTATCCATCTGATAGCCAAGTCACCTTCAGGTAGGTATACATTTTTTAAAAAATTTTTACTTTTTCCTCCTCCCAAAGAGGTCTGGTGTAATGGATGAGAAGCACCTACAAATATGTTAAAGAGAACTGTATTGCAACATCTCTGTTAAAAATATGAGAGGAAGGTGCTAAGAAAGTGAAAGGAGAAGCAGCAGACAGACAGCTCTTATATCAGGAAGAGGCTCTACCAATCAGATCATTCTGGTCTGTGGTATTTTTTTCCTATCCCATAAAGGTAATGTTATGTAACAGCTTCTGTTCCACTCATGCATGAAAATGCGGAATATGGAGAAGGAAACTCTTACCTCACATTTTAAATGGCTAAAAGTTGTCATGGTGCTTAGAGTGACCCTTAAATTAATAAATTTGCTAGCACTACGTAGCAGAATTTTTCTTCACTATAAAGTACAATGAGCAAGCAAAGAATATTTAACATAAACTCCAGATTTGATAACAGCAATACATTTGCAATGTAAAGATAAAGTTACATTATCCACTGATCTTGAATGGTTTGTGCCTTTAAATACAGAATGCCCGCTCAACGTACAAAGTAAATATACAGCATTTTGAAAAATCACATGAATCAATAATTCCAAACTTTTTTTTCACATTGAAAATTAAACACCCATAATTCAATCAGATAAACACAAAGTCTACTGCGTCCCTATACATTCATTTGATTGGTAGCGAGGAAGCTTGGGGTACCGTTTACATAAATACACAATGTCTGCTCATTGCTCACCTGTGCTCCTGATACAGGGCCAAATGGATTAGGTGATCTCATGGAGGACTGGTTGTATAATAACGTTGGCTGTTGTATAACCGGTACAGGTCCCATTTGAGGTGGCTATACAGTATGACAAAAGTATGAAAAATAACATGTTAGATACCTATTACCACATGAAACTAAAAAATAAATGCTGTACTCGTGTGAGAATTCAGGATGTGTTTTTACAAGATCATAAGAATCCAATAAATATTTCTCCCCCGCAACATATGAAACACTAACTGAACATTTATATAATACACATGATTCTGGGAGGTATAGGAAAAGTGCTACCCTGTTGTATGTGATAATTCTTGAATCGAGAAAATGAAACAAAGCAGAAAATCCTGTAGAAACTGCGGTGATTTAATTCCCCAATTTGAGTAACATTTTTGATTTATGGTTCAACAGACGTCAACCTTTGACTTGTACATTAACACACTTTGTCTATGTATGAATTACATTTTTTTTGTTTTTTAAGAAACTATTTTTTTCCCCTGTCCCATTTTTTTTTGTTTTTTTTAATATCTGGCGTCAGATCTCGTTGCATCCAGTAAATTTACATCAAGGTATTAATACTCTTCACTACATTAACTATAACCAGAGAACGTCTTACCATGCCGTAGCCTACGATTCCTGTGGGTGTTGTCGCTGGATAGGCCATTATTGGAGGTGCCTAAAATAACAAAGACAAAGGTATGACACTTGTACTGATGACTAACTACCGTACACAGGTCAATAAAGCTTACAGATCAGCACTGATAATTTGTTGTGGCCATGCATATAGAATAGGTGGATTTAGGCCAGCCACTCATGGACTGAGCTATGGTACATTCCAAATACTTCTGTATGAGGGAGTCAATGCCCAAGCCTGTTTGCAAATTGGTATTCCCTTTACATACTTCCAGGAGAAACAGTCCTGTTAGGAAGAGTTATTTCCCTTGGCTAACTATATATCGGCACTCCCGATACTGTGGACCACATTTCCATTGATGCTTTGCCAGCTATAAGAGTATCATAGGAGATTAAGTCCACAACATCCGGAGTGCAATGGTTGCCGACCGCTGCTATGTACTAACAGTTTACATACCAAAGGTGGCAAATTGCAGGATAACAGCATACAGAGCTTTGCCAGGTTATGAGAGTCGCAGACACACAAAGGAAGACCTGGCCAAGGTTTACACCATCAGGGTTTATGAAGAGCTAAGCCTGCTAAACACAAAAGTAGCTATTTAAATGTGAGAGAAATTGCTTTAAAAAGTTAATGAACTGATTTTAAGGGGAGAGGCAAGTAAGAGGAACAACAAATTCAAGTCAGTCTCCAGTAACAGAGACATACCAGTATATCATAACATTGTCTTTTTCCCCCTTATGTTGTCACAGTCACAAACAAGAAGAAAAAAAAAGACAAAACAGTAAAAGTTCAAAATAAAAATTACACCAATTTTACAGAAAAACAATAGTTCCAATGCAACTGTTTGTTAAAAACAAGAATAAAAAAACAAATAAGCAAAACCTTTGAACGGAACAGCACAGAGGAGCACCTGTATTTTGCTCCCAATTACCTTCAGCGTATATTATTGTAGGGAAGAAATATTTGAAACACGCAGTTCTATAAACACGCAGTTCTATATCGCAAAAACATTTTCTGTAGAATTTGTGGGGGTTTACTTGTATAGCGAAACTCTGAAAGAATCTCTTGTAAGTAGAAGGAATGCTCAGTAAGAGTAAGTTGCAGTGTTGGAAAAGGTCAGACGACTTCTGCAAATGTACTCTATGGATGATATTGTTCAGTGACCAGTGTAATCAGGACAATGATTTATTTTAAAATGTCTTAATAATGCATTTTTTTAGCATCAATTTTTACAGCAAAATAAATGAAAAATCAGAAAAAAAGGGTATATTTATATAGCAGTGTGTTACAAACACAATAATACTTTCCAATGGGGTTTTGGCTGACGCTGGATGTCCTCATGCAGAACGTGAGGACGTCCACCATCAGTTAGGCAACAAAAAGTTGCCTAACCACCTGTAAATCCCTCTAGTGCATGCAGGGGTTCCTAAATAATTTTTCCCGTTGAAGTCTTTGACATAGTGTATCAGCATCGTGTATCAACACCTTAAACTGTCATGTTCCTCAAACCATTTCCGAACAATATTTGCAGTATTGGAGGGTGCATTATCCTGCTGAAAGAGGCTACAGTCATCAGGGAACACCATTGTCATGAAGGGATATACGTGGTCTGCAACAATCTCTAGATACGTGGTATGTGTCAAAGTAACATCCACATAACATAACACTGCCTCTGCCGGCCTGCCTTCTTTCCGTCATGCATCCTGCTGCCGCTATTGGAAGTAAATGACGCACACGCACCCGGCCATCCACCTGATCTAAACGAAAACGTGATTTATCAGACCAGACAACATTCTGCCATTGTTCTATGGTCCAGTTCGGGTGCTCACATTCCACTGAACGTGCTTTCAGCGTTGGACAGGGTTATTAGGGGCACTCTGACCGGTCTGCGCTTACTCAGTCCCATACGCAGCAAACTGATGCACTGTGTGTTCTGAAAACTTTCTATCACGGCCAGCATTTAGCAATTGTATCTCTTATGTGACCGGAACAGATGGGCCAGCTTTCGTTCTTCATGTGCATCAATGAGCCTTGGGCTCCCATGACCTGATGCCGGTTTATCGGCTGTACTTCCTTGCCCCACTTTTGATAGGTACCAATCACTGCATACTAGGAATACCCCACAAGACTTTATTGTTTTGGAGTTGAACTGACCCAGTTATCTAGCCATTACTATTTGGGCCTTGTCAAAGTCACTCAGATCTTTTTATTTGCCAATTTTACCTGTTTCGAACACCTGAAATTCTAGAACGGACTGTTCACTTGCTGCCTAAAATATCCCACCCCTTGACAGGTGTCATTGTAACGATATAATCCATGTTATTCACTTCACCTGTCAGTGGTTTTGATGTGACTGAACGTTGTATATACACACATTCTCCCCACCTCCCCGTCCCCAAGAGTGCCTTATTTAAAATCATTGCCGTAAGTACCTTAATGGTTTTCTGTTCTCATGCTCATCCAATGTCTAATCAAATGTTAATGAACTTCCATTGGTTAATGGATCTTCCAGACATAACCACCTATGCTCCTTGCATTGGATTGATTACACAGCCCCCATTACTTTGCTAGCACTTCTATTTCTAGCTTTTCATTTTTCCTTTTTCGCTAATACTTTGTAAACTTGACAGCTGGCTGACTTCAGTTATGAAATCAAGACCAATTTATGCAGCAAAGGAATCTACATAGCACTCTCTACCCTTACACAAACTACATGTTAACAAGAAACAAATCAAATACAGATTGTTATAAAATATTATGTCAAAAAAAAAAATACAAAAAAGATTGAAAGTAACTCATGAAATCCAATTTGCAAGATTTGCCTTATAACTCAAGACACTTGTTACAAGTATGACAATCTAATAGTTCAGATATGTCATTTCCTGCAACCCCCCTCCCCCTAAATCCACAAATTAAAACACAATGATCGTATTGTGTTTTGTTAATGACCAACTTTAAATATTACAAACGTGTAACTAAATGCGTAAAGATTTCATGCAGGTAACAAATTTGCTTAGCAGCCAATAAAGGAACCGTGACTTAGGGATCGGTGAGTAGCAGAACCACCTAGCTACAAACCAGTGACTCTCCCAAAGCTGACACCACAATTAGTTGTTAGCTAACAAAAATAAAAGCACCACAGACTCCCACACCAAAGCTCAGTGAAAGACCAGCAGTTGTGTAAGCACTTGACACTCCATGCCATTAGTTCAGATAAAGGATGCAGTGAAGAGATAGTCGGCACACAATCCACCTGTGATTAGTGTGAGGCTGCATCTCGTGTTCTGGCTAGAGCAGTGGTTAAGGACAGCATGCCAATTTGCAGCAAGGGGGCTGGTTTTGGGTTCAACTTACGTATTGTGGAAAATGCATGCCATTCTGTTTAAGTTTTCATCAGGACGAACAGTTATATAATGCAATAACACAGGATTAGAACACAAACTTAAAACAGTATACAAAACAGCATTTTAGTCAACATTATGGTTTATGAACAAAGGCTGAACCCAGGATGATAATCACAAGGCTGAACCCTTTGGTTTTTCTGCATATAAACTCTGTACCCAGCATGCACTGCTCCCAGTCCCGTGGATGCCTCAGTGCAAGAAACTCCAGCCATATAAATAACGTCCCTTGACACGCGCACTCACTGGACTTTTAACAGTACAAACAAACGTTTAGTCCATGTTGCAGTCCTAACTGGACGTTTTGCATGACAAAGTCTGATTAGGATGGAAACGTTGACTATAATTTAGTCTGTACTAATAAAAGCAGCATTTGAGTTACACATTAAAAAGTCCTGCGAGTGTGCTCAGTCAAGGGAAGATACGGGATATTTCCTTTTTTTGCAGTAATAAATTAAGAGCAGTTATTTTAGCATTTCAATTGAACTTCTGTCAAGAAAATGCTTTTGAGTTTTGGTCAAATCCCAATTTTGAGTTTTGGGTCACCTATTAACATGAATTTAATTGATCCAGGTTGCAAATTCCTGCAATTTGGTAGAGACTCCTCCTTGCATTAAGCTAAAAGGAACCTATCAAAACTCAAGTTATTGTTATGTTTTGGAGCAGTTTTCTAAGCACGGTTCAAGGGGTCTAAATTACACACATGCTTAATCTTCAAACTGGTAGTCTATTATTTTTAGTGCCCAATTTAAACAATCAATGGTTAAATTAACAGATCTATATTAGTATTCATGTATCATATCTAATGTCACCGCCCCATGTCCAAAAAGAGGTGTAATTAAATGTGTGCAATCATCGCCAGAGTACCATGATAAATTGGTTCAGATTTATAAATTTACATTTTGACGGACATGTCACATCCCCTTATGTGTTGAAACACAGAACAGGAGTAATTGAAATCAGTTGGAGTTCTTTATTAATTAGATGCGAAAGATCTGTGTCCACTAACCTCTGAAGGTTTTGGGCTTTTTTTTTGCGGTATAATTTTTTCATTGAAAAATTTAAATGAAGGACATTGGGACAATGACAGAATCCATCTCAATAGCTTATCTGCTGCAAAGACCGATCATTTCTTTAACCTAAAATCAGTCTAAATCCCATTTGAAATGACTTTTAGGCACCTCCTGAGAATCAGGAGAAAATTAAACGGATTTCATTGTGTACCATACTGGATTTTTATAAAACCTACATAGATTTTATATAGCACAAATCTGTATACCCTCTCTGAATTCAAAAGAAGAGAGAAATGAGATAATGTATCTGGAAGCCCTCTCAGTTTTCTACACTCGTTCAGTAAACTATAATGGCAAACCTCTTTTATAAATGAGCAGATTCTGCCAATGGGGACAAGTAGCGCTGTTTACACAATACGCTACCAATCCCATAAATCAATAGCTGGGTGCTGACTGTGCGTTCAGGCCTAGCTGTTTTACTGAGGCCTTCAGGAGTTTGTAGCACAAAACAGAATGGAATTAAATCATGACCTCTTTTCCGTTTATTTCTTAAATTCATTTGGTGGAGTCTAAAAGCTTGTACAATACCTTCACATGAAATCCTAATATTAGACCAGGACGGCTGCTTTGTTGGCAGTTGTAAAAACAAAAATCTACCTAATGATGTCATTTAGAACTGGTGCAATCGTTATTTCCTCAACAGCGTGTATTTTAAAAAGTGAAAAGAGTTGAATAATTTAAATAAATGTTGCATTTCATCAGGTGAATACTGCGACCTCCATTGCTGGGAGGGAGCTCTCCTCTTTTACCTGGAATGGTAACTCCACTGTCAGCATGGGACGGGAACTCTCCTTTTTTCTCCCTTCCTAACCCCCCTCAAAAAATAATAAAAAAAAATGTGCAAAATAAATTGACTCCGATCCGACTTACCAGAGTGGCTGGGTTCCAGGTTGTGGTGGGAGCGACTTTTGGTTGCCAGTTGCTCCCCCCTGTTAATTTCTTTTCTCCTGGTTGACTCCAATGCACGTCACTAGAACAGAAGAGCTAATTGTTAAATTACAGACTGACAGAAGACGACATACAGCTTCCCACATTTAACATTTTCTCAGATGATTGTATGAATCTACAAATAATGTCATTTTCTTACGATATAAAATGGAACAAGGCCTTCACAAATATAGGATTATATTACAAACTTGTAAACAACCTTTATAGCTCTGGCTGGAGAACATTAAAGAGATTTACATTAAAAATGAGGCAATTCAAACACAGTCAGTGTCAACATTAACAATGTTTGTCCCCCACTTTGAGCATTTGTAGAACTTCAGAAAACTAAGGAAGTCAAACAGGAGCTGTAGGGCAAAGCTTAGACCAGGGTGAGGTTAACACCAGGAGCCACACAAGACCCTACTAACTTGTTCCTAATGGTTTAAGAGTTAGCTATCCAATACAAACAACGTCAGTGAAGTTTGGGATTATTTCACGTGTCTCCGACAAATATCCAGGCACTTAAATGGACCATTGTAATTGTTCAGTAGAAAAAGTGACATCTTTGTGTATAAAGATATCACAAACATCAAAACTATCAATAGGAGTCCCTGGAAGAGCATGAATTTTTACTGGTCCTCATTTTCAGATAGAGAGGATAAAATGCACTGTGAATTTGATTTAATAACGCAAGAGGCTCTTAATGAGAGAAGCTTTAATTAGCCAAATATTAAATTTTCACACTTATGTATAATAACATTATACATACAAACATCTTTTCCTATTTTTTTATTATTTTTTTTTAATTTAAAGTAGGGAGTATACACTTTTCTGGAATGAAAAATAATAATTTAAAAAGTAGTATATTTATATTTTAGGTATCCAACCCTCTATCTCCTGAATCATTTAACCCTTCCTCACCCAGCAGCTATTGTGGCACTGTAGGAGGGCAAGTGATCATTGACGTTTTTAGAGGATCAAAACAAAGTTTGACACATGGCGAAAGTACGAGAAATTAATAGTAGAAGAACTCACTTTTTTGTTGTTCCATTCCCAATTCCCAAATCTACAAAACAAAAAATAGAATATACTTTAAGAAACACACTTCCATAAAACAAGTTAGAAGAACAAGACCAATTTTCAAAAATAAATATGGCGTGTTAGGTCATTTCTGTATAAGAAAGAAAATAAATGGCGATTAACTATTTTCCATTGAGAAACATTGTGTAAATTCGAAAGTCAAGGTCACGGTCTTTCAGTTTAGTTTAAATCACTCAAACAAGCTAACTGATAGTACTCTTAAAATGCACTACGGCATGTGAGTCAATGAGAGAGAGAGATCTCTAAACACACTAATGAATACAGGGACATTGGAAACATTTAGTCGCATTGCAAGCCTACTCACTGCCCACAAGGTTGGCTAAGGATGAATCCAGATCGTCTGAGACCAGTTTGTTTGGCAGGTGCTTGGCAGAGGGAAGACTCTGATTCTGAGACGTTACCGTTGGTTTCAGGAGCCCGTCCAAATCTTCAAAACCTGAAGAATTATTACATAGATTTAGGAGTCAACAGAACGTCCAAGAGCTTACAAACATCAGCATTTGAGAATTGTAATAATTGTAGTATGTATCTTTGATGCTCAAACAAACATGAGCATAATGCCAGTGAATTGTAAAAAGTTATGAAGCCACAAAATATTTAAATGGCAGCGATAAAGGCTACAGTAAGTGAGCTAATCGCTGGCTGCATAGTATGTTATCCGTTTCAAAACAGTCTGTGTATTAAAGCCTAAAGTGGAGACAGACTCACTTCAAAGTAGCTATATTTTTGCTAAGAATCTATGCAGTCCTATGTCAGAACAACAATCGCCAAATGAAATTACAAACAGATAAATGAGAGATAACTTTGAAATGTGTCAGCAAGCATAACCTAAGATTAGCAGCTGGTATTGGGAAGAAGCAGAATGACAGAAAACATTCCTACCCGTAGAGTCTAAATTGACATTGGTAGGAGATCTGTTGCCAAAAACAGAATCAAAGTCAACATTAAGGCCGCCGGAGGTCTGTGGTTGAACAGCTACAGATGGTGTGAATCCTTAAAAAAATAAAAAAATAAAATAAAAAGAGAAGAGAATGTTAATAGAAATATATAAAGTCCACTTGATATTTTTAGATTTATAGGGTCTCACATCATACAGAATAAACTTGTGGAATCCATTGAGGAGCAAGGCTGGGGATAAGAAATCATGAAGTTTCTTGAGAGAATGTTTAATTCAGATGAAATCAATCCTTTTTTTTTTTACCTATCTACAAAAGTTATTAGAAAAGTGATCTGGAGGGAACATTACAATTTTCGATCTATGCTCCCTGAAGAGGACTAAATGGATGAGTGAAAAAGTATTGGAAGGACGTGCAGGAACAAGCTGCACGGTTGAATTCAGGCGCATGCAAGACATACACCCATAAACGTAAACAAGCCCTGGAAGTGTCCAGTCCTAAAAAAGTAGATCTAAAAAAAAAAAAAAAACTAACAGAATGGCCGAGTCCAAAGAACCGGGTGCCTTCCATAATGCAAGCTCATAATGGGATTAGCAAAATGTTTGTAAACCGCACCAATAGTGGCTAAAAACAAACAAAAAGGAAGTGCTAATCGTCAAAGGATATAAAATGGAACAAAGCAGCTAACCAACAAAGAGGATGAACGCAAGAGAAAAAGCAAAAGGCAGTTACGCAAATACACAAAACCTATTGTAGTGGAACCAGCCTCGCCACTGGAGAAGACCGATTGCCAACCTCCTGCCCTGTGACTATGGCCCCATATTGAAATGCTTAATTTTCCCCTGCAAAGACCCGAAAGCTGGGTCATTCGGTGCTTGCCCTGTTTGAGCGGTGATACCCCAGATAGCTATGCCATGGAGCCCATTCGTATAACGAAAGACTATGTGAAAGACTTTGGCTCCATGGCAATTGAACTGTATGTATGTGATCTGAGCGCCATTCAGTAATAATGTGCGCTCAGATCTGAACTATCTGGGGATATGTTGAATATACCTGTTTTATGCAATAGCTGCACAGTTAAATATTTTTATGTATTTTATTGTATTTTGCTACCCTGTGGCTAATGGAGTTTTGCCTCTGTCCTTTGAGATAATTGGGTTACTTCCCAATTATCTCCAGGATAGAAGACTCTGTGGAACTGGTTTTGGACAGAAAAGCCATGCTTCATTTGGTCACAAAGGACGTCGATCTAACTTTTGACCCACTGGACCAATTTGTATGATTTTCCAATGTTTGTATTTGGAGTATGCTGATTCTGAATGTGATGTATACTTTTAGAGTTATGAATATTGTGTAAAACTGTATTTTCCTGCCTATGATAATTACATTAGACCATTGTGTTCAGTAATCATATCACAGGCAGAGGGGAGGATTTTGTGTGGGAGTGTCTGAGTGTATTGTACGTATTGATTGGTTGTTCTGCAAAACCCTGTGGGCAGTACTGTGTGTGTAAAATGTGCATAAAAGCAGAGTGTTAGATTGAGGGTGAAGTAGAAATCAAGCTTTTAATCAGAATCCTGTCTCTTATTGGGGGAATCTGCTACAAGGGATTGCTATGCTCTTCATATTCCCTTGCTATAATCACTGAGCTCTTGTAAGAGCTTGTTCCTGTCTTGCTCTCTGAAGGAGTCTACGGTGGTTATGGTGTCGGCTGGAGTGCTTGGAGCCCTCAGGAAGCGCTAGGAGCATCCTTCAACGGAGGTACTCAGTCGGGGTGCCAGGTGATCCGTTACACTTATCATAAACAATCACCCAAATGGGGGAGATCTGAATGTGGAAGTAAAATGACCAAATAAGGTTCAGTGCAGTGTTTGAGAGTCGCCCTCCCTTTAAGCACCCTCCGCGTTTTTTTATAATTTGTACTTTTTACGGTTTTTAGTTTTTCTAATAAAAATTCTTGGATTATATTAACTTCTGGCGGACTACTGGATTTTATATGAAAGTTTGCTTGGTCTCTTACGTATCCTTGGTGGAGATAATACCAGCTGCACTTGGAATTCAGAGTAGGACACTACTCTAAATAATGTAAGATACCTGCATCGTATTATTTTTAATTATTTACAGAGAGGACTATATGAATTTTTACATTTTTTGTTTTTTTTTTGTTTATGCACAACCACTACCCCGGAGAATATTCACCTCTCTCATATCCTGGAGCAGGGATTATACACAGCAAGGATGAATTATTAGAGCTCATTAAAAGCTCTATCCATGTGAGTAGCCAATATGTTTATTCTTGGTTCACTGTTAACTCTGGGTATCACACTAAGATTCTGCTCACCATTGCGACTGGTCCCATATCCACCAGTGGGTATTGTATCACTGTATGCCGTTTTACTTGAGGTATTGTGCTAGCTCTTGTAGATGTAAGTGGCCATTTTCACCCTATACATTTAGTCTTTGTGTTTGCAATATACTAGAAGATTATTTTGTTGTATATAAGTTTATCGTTACATTGTAAAGACATACGCATGCCAAGGAGAAACTTATCTGGGTAACTTCAGATTTGCACAGTTTTGGCTGATTGTGACGGTCTATGACAAGAGTTGTTTATCGAAAGTTTTGTGCGTTGGTGCAACTGCCTTTTGTTTTTTTTCTCTAGCCATTTTAATTTGAATCCCAACTAGTCACTAAATTATACTACTTGCTTGTAAATGCAACAGGAGGATTGTTTGTGGGCACATTTATAACAAATATATTTTATATACTATAACGGACTCACAAACCTGAAGAGAAATTATAGGGACACTATAGCCACCAGAACCACCACAGCTTTATGTAGTTCATAATAAAGGTAGTGTTTACTTTGCTGCCCAAATCCTGGCTGTCACATGGACAGCTACTAGCGTGACTTCCTGGACGGGTCCTGCTCTGCATGGGAGAGGCTGAACACATCCTATAGAGCTGCATTCATTCAATGCACCTCGACAAGGAGATGCTGAATGGTGCATGCTCACAAGACATTACTGTGCTTTATTATGGAGAAACATTGGATTCTTGGACATCATCAAGAAAAGGTAAGTAAATCTTTTTACTTATTTCATTTGGGGGTGGGGGGGTGTCCAATATTCTAACAAGATACTAGGACACTACGGCACTAGGAATACAGGTTTAATTTCCTAACGCTATTGTGTTTCTTTAACAGACAACATCTCACCTTAGATGGAGTGTGTCACTGAAAGAAGTGCCATCTAGATTTTAGGGGAAGATATTAAACAGAGGAGGTCTAGCATTGCCAAAGGTACTGAAAGCATTGAATGGGGAGAGAACATGAATCATGTGGCTCTAAACAGACTATTTATGACACCACTCATATGATATTTAAAATGCCAGCTAGTACATTTATTATGTAGGTTCCACCTATATCATACCGGTGATATTCACACAGAAGTATAGGCTGCAAGTTTATTTACCAAGTCTGAAACCAGGAAGAGTTAGATTTAATAAAATCAATTATGCAAACATTTTTGAAATCCACTTTTGTCAAAAACATTGCCCCATGGGTGTGAAAGTAAAGTGTGTTTAAACAGACACCCAAAAAAATCTACGCAGTGAAACTGTAAACACGAGCCTATTAAAATAAAAAATATATCAGATTTCATTTCCATAGTAAAATTCACTTATTTCAGAAACCTAAATCTGTAAATATGTCACGGCCATTAACCACTGTAACAGTTGTGCGGTCGTACTGCCAAATCTATTCAGTATAGAAAGAGTTTCTTTGGCTCATCGCACTATAAAAAGATAAAAAAAGCACGAGAACACGGACTGCTGCCACGTTCGGAACATTAACAAGAGACAGAAAAATCTCTACGGAATCCTCTGCTCACGTCTGAGGCTGGACCAAACCCAAATGATTCCAGACCGCTGTGAATGATAACGGCAGGAGAATGCTACCAACGTTACGCTTTTATGGCAACTGGAACGTTACCACACTCTACTGACATGCTGGCACTTTAAAGACATGTCAGCGATAACCATGTGGTAACAAACATATAGATAAAATAATTTTATGCCTACGATCAAATCTCAGAATGCCCAGCAAACCGAGAACCAATTGGGAAGCAATCTTTACTTAATACATGCATTTACTGGTGATTACATTCTATCCTTCCCCTAGAGAGGATGTATCTGTCCACATATTTGTGGATACCCGGTACATGTTCAGTCATTTATTTACAGGGTAAGTATACATATTTCGAAACATTGTTTTCTTAGAATCAAATGAACCCACAAGACAAAACATATTCCCTTTGGACTGACATTTTAGTGTCACAGGATGTCTCAGAGGAATACACAGAGCTAGAGCTTCTCATGCATTGTCCAACCATGACACACTCCTCACTCAAAGCTGCAATTGGACAGCAATGCTCAGAATTTTTTTGCCAGTTCCTGTCTTTGGGAGAATTAAAGGAAATGCAGCCTGACAGCTGCAATCTTTTTATTCATTTTGGATATTAGTTTTCATGCAAAATAACATACTAGGAATACAGGTTTGATTTCCCAACGCTATTGTGTTTCTTTAACAGACACCATCTCATCTTAGATGGAGCGTGTCACTGAAAAAAGTGCCATCTAGATTTTAGACCAAAATGTAAGATATTAAACAGAGGAGGTCTAGCATTGCCAAAGGTACTGAAAAGAGAGAAAAATCTATGCAAATGGATGGAGAAGCTTGAAAACAATACTTCATGGATGTGACATGGTCTCCCGGGGCACTCCAAGTGAAACCATTTCACCTCATTGAACTGGATGCAGTGCATGGGCCTGCATTCAGTGGTAACCCATTTTGAGAGATTTGGCATTGAATGAGGGTCCCTTGCCGCACACTGCCTGTTCCTTGCTGGAAGTGTGGTCAAGGTGGAGATTACACACTTCTTCTAGCCATACCAATTAATACCGACAATAGACACTGTGATAGGCTGCAAGAGGTCAGCTGACACTCTCAGTCAGTCACAACCACCCACTGCTGCCCAGGCTAATACTTTAATCTTAAACAGAGAGGATGAGCTGCCGGGGACTCTTGTTTAGGATTAAAAATAATTAAGAATTTCTCAACGCTGAATGGAAAAATGGTGTCAGGTAACTGCAGACACTATAACCACTTCCATGAGTGGAAGGAGTTACAGTGCCCCTTTAACGCACCAGAGACCTACATCTCAGCTCTCGTGGTGTTTATTGGGGCACAAATCAATATTCTATTGCCGATGTGTACACAGGAATAAGAGTACTGGTAAAAGACACCAAGAATATTGAAACAAAACATATTTTAAATGTCAAAACCGTAACTCACCGCCGCTCTGGTGCCCAAGGCAGTAAGAACTTTTAGTTAAACGAGATATATTGAAAATTATCGGCCAGCTAGAGATGCTCATACTTGCTATTCATTGTATAAATTATAGTTAAATAATCGTAAATATAAATGTATTAAATTCAAATTCACTAATGAAAGCTTAACTAGCTGGAATCCTGCTATAGCACATATAGGAGGAAAGGGAGCACTGACCAAAATACAGAGGGCACATTTTCTAATATAAAAAAAAAAAAAGCAGGATAAAAGAATAGCCATTTAGACAGTACATAAACTACACGATAAGAACATCCATGGCAGCCATGATGGTAAATAGCTATTAATATATGGTAGGATGGATATATTTAGAAAAAATATAAACCATGCACTACAACTATTTATTCACCTACCTCCATATAGGCCAGCTACTGAAGAGGACTCAGAACGAAAATGGGAAGCGTTAGGATAGACTCGAGGACCACAGAAAGAATCTGATGAGTCAGGTCAGAAGAGAGGAAAGACATATTAGAAATCAAGTGAGACTTCTAAATGCAAGCAAAGGATCATTACTTATTGACCCTTGTGCAAACTTCAACAATACATTCGAAGAACACTGAACTGTATCATACATCGTTCCCTGGAGAGAGATTGATAATGCATTAGATGTGTCCTGACGAAAGCTCCGATCGGGAGCTGAAACGTTGACTATTTTTGGATATACCAACAATAAATTGAATGAACCAAGCCGAAGAGTGCCGGTAATCTTGATATCTTTATACTATTGTGACTTGGCACCAGGTATTTAATACTTTAAGTAGGAGTGCAAGAGGTCCAACTTTTTCTATATATCTATCTTATCCCATAAACTACAGCTGGACAAGTTTACGGATAGGAAGATAGGAAGAGTTACCATAAAGGAGAATGACACGAACCTGAAAGGTCTCTTCCTGGTGTGAGGGTTTTATGGCATCTAAACTTTGAAGTTAAATATATAAATATCTTTATTTAACTTTTTATTTTTATTATTTGTCGGTAAAGTGTATAGAGAAAAAAAAGAAAACCCTCCACAAAAACTGTATGATGGAATTTTTCTGAAGTTAATGCAGGTGGACTATTATCTTCCAAGTCAGTTAGGTGCTTGACTATAATATTTTATAATGTTCTGCCAGATTAGGAGATATGCAACCACATCATCATCATCATGACCATCAAGAAAAGGCTCGTGGTTTACAGCATAAAAATCGCATTACGCTATAACTGTAATACCATACGTTTTCCTACGGATATAAAAAAACGGCCTAATTTACTATATAAAATGTCCCTGCTAGGATAAGGTGTAAGTGCATTTCTAAAACGGTTAATATTCTGAGAAAACTAAGCTTTGGGGTTGTGCAAACGGTAAAGGGAGGAAAGAAAAAAAAAAAAAAAGTCAGAGTAAGAGTAGACTGGAGAATAAAAATAGCTCTGGAAAAAAAGCAGTAGGGGGTCATCATGTAAGAGCCTAACATCAATCAACGTTTATAATCACATAATCATATACAATACATGTTTCCAGGAGCCAAGATAGACACACTCTAATGTTCACCAGGAATTCATGGCATCAAAATCAAACATGGTCACATGGCATAGTAATCTAAAGCATGTTTGTGTGAACGCTAACCCCTTGAAACACCAGACTCATTCACTGAAGCAATCATAAGAAAACAGAACAGGTTTCCCCGGACTTGCTGAGGAATATGCATACATTTCTTAGGCACAAACAAATTCTGGCACATGAATATGTAGATATTTAATAACAAAACTGATACAATATAAAGTACAAACACAACAAATTCTGGCAAAACGAATATACAGATATAACAGCAAAGACCACTATACGCTATAAGGACAAAAAACGTGTAAAACACTAAGAATTTATAGTTTAAGGCCATAACAGTCACCCTGAAAACAGCGGATTCAGATATCGGTTGTCCCCCCTCAATTTGGCTTTTCTGGACTGAAATTCTCTTTGAATTAACAAAACACTTTTGTAAATAATCGTGTGTATTTATGTGGATGATAAAAGGTATGCTAGAGAAGTTACGTGGAAGGAGGGGTATCAGGCAGTTAAGGTATAAGCACAAGCTTTTGGGACTATAGGGAAGAAGATACGGTCATCTCTGTCAAAGCCAGAGCCAGAAATATCCAAATCAGATGGTAAATTATCTAATTATTTATTTATTTTTTTAATCTGCAATCTGGATTTTGTTATGTTTATACAGCCGGTTCTCCAAAGCGAAAAATTGGATACCTTAAATGAATTCACACTTTTGGGCAGTAAATGTACCTGGTGTTTTAAAACGGAGGTGCCATGAGGGTTAAGCATTGATTCAAACTACCAACGAATGCCAGGTTTAGTGCCCTTAAAAGACAAGAGGCAACAAGCCCAAAGCATTGTCTACAATATACCTGATTTATAATGCTCTACTCCTCGGCTAGACACAAACCTTGACAAAGAGCTGGCAGGTTCAGAAAAAGGATTGGTATGATCTAAAGAATTAAAAATAATTATGGATGGACTTTCATTAACTGCTATTACAAAACTAATATATTTAGATAAACTGCAAGTTACTGTAAAAGTAATGCTTAAAATGAAAACTATAAGAAAGAAAAGCCTGCCTGTCTTCTAACCATATCGAACTGACCAAAAGTGCGTAAATGGTACATTACCATTAAATATGTCACTGTTGGGCGTCTTAGCGGTAAAACTGGTTGTATCAGAAGTTACAGCAGGTAGGTGGGCACCATCGTTAAGTTTATTGAGAAAAGGATTTAAGCTTGAAACAGATTCATCTGCAGATTCAGAAGAGAAAGGATCTGTGCACCCAGAGAACAGGAAGGGTTAAAGGTTAATTGAAGAAAAGAGAAGAAAGGAAAGCATGTTAGTAAAGGTTACAGCCCACCACAAAAACATTTCACGGCTACCTCAACACACCTTGCAAGGATACATGAAGTGTGTATCTCTAGCCTGATTTATTTCACGGGAGCCGTGCTTCTTTGAAAGTTAAGAAGAGCAAAGTCGATCGGTAGTGCTTTCATGCACACCAGAAATACACGAGAGACAAACAAAACGCATTGTCGGATAATACAGGAAACATGACAGAACTTAGACAGGTCTGTCTGAAAAGTTATTATTACTGTACCAAGATTTCTTTGGACAGCAGCTTAAGTGTTCATGTGCGAGTGGACGCTCAAATAACACAACACAGCTTATGAGCGCAGACACAGGCAAGGCATATGATGACAAATGACACTGTAATGTCTAACAGTATAGTATTGGACATAAACATGGCTGAGAGAGGAGTCACAGGTAGTGTGACAAGCAATTCACATATTTTATACTCTACCATATAGATAATTGCTATGTAATTGCTTACTATTCTACTATCAGCACTGCAGAAACAGTGAGGTTGGTAGCCAATACAAACGTGCTACTCACACTTCCAGTACTCAAAGGGTTACAATTTTGGGAGGGAGACTGCCTGCCATGTATCCAAGTGGAACACTAACATGAGACGGTGAGTGCTCAAAATATTGGTAAGCAGAATTAGATCTGATAAATCTGAACCCCTAACCCTCATATCCAGAGTCCCTGCTTTTACCATCAGTGGTCCTACCTCTCGTAGCACTTTGTCACGGCTAACCACACTAGCCTTTTCGCCATGGACTTCAAACTACAGGTTGGTTATCTGGATGGGAAAACCCGTGTTTTCCCCATATACTTAGTACAGCCCTGTAGGCTAGAGGTTGACCATCTGACATTGCATTGACACTCTGGCATGTTTGAAGATGTAGTAAAAGTTCACAGGTGTGTTAAAGGGCTGTACATTCATAATCTTTAAAATATAATAAAGATTTTTAATGCTATGCATGCAGAGCGTAGGCTTTTAAATAATGTATTGCGGGGAAGGGGGGGGAATACTACGAGTAAAACATTTATGATTACACTTCACAGATGCTGAATTTGCGACAATATTGTGCGCAGTAACAACATGGTAAAATTTCTTACCTCCCCATGTACCTGCCACAGGTGGTACAGCAGTCTGGAATGTTGGCTGCATGTCCAGCAGATCATTAGACATTTTGGAACTGCTGAAGGAGAAAAGTACAAACACTATAAAGACCAATTGCAATCACCCCACATGAACGCTTCCACACTGTGCTGCAAGGCTGTAATGAGGAGCCAAGAAAAACGGTGTGGGCACACATTAAGTGGGCAGAGGATCATAGTGAACAAGCAAAGCGATTAAGGACTTTGAATTATTAATCAGCCTGCTAGAGTGGAGAAAAAAATTGGAATGGTCTTTAAATGGTTTTTCCTGGCTAATCATGGCAGCATTTAACATATGGGTTTAGCTCCTCCCTCCAACCCTCAGGACAGGAAACACAATCAATTAAACAATTAAGCCTACCTTCCCCTAGTATATTAGGTACCCCAGTATCCCCTATACCTCAGTCTTTTCCTGTCCTCCTAGCCCTAGGACAGTTTAAATATTTTTTTTTTTCTTTTTTCAGTTTCTTCTGAATTATTTTTTATTTTTTGCTCACCTGACCATGTTTTATATGGTCTTGTCCCTTTGGAGGTCAGCCTCCCTCCTCAGGAAGCCCAGGCACATGTAGCCCAATCTCCATGGAGTTGGGAACCCCTGGGAGCCTGGGTGGTTAGTTCCACAGGCTATGGGAATCCTCTGCAGTCCAGTGTGTGCTGCAGACCTCGATCAGACGATCAGCATAACGGTAAGACGCCCGCGCATGCGCAATGCATCCGACCGGACCCAGAGTGAAGTTTGCCCCTTTCCAAAATGGCGGTTTAGCGATCTCGCGACCGAAGTGCGCATGCGCGATCATTTAAAGGTACAGAGCGGGAAATTTGAAATGGCGGTATTTAGCTTAAAAAACGCTCGTTTCCGTTCCCTTTAAAGATACAGTGCTCTAGTAGACTGTTCTTAAAGCTCTGCAGGTAAGAGAATTACTTATATTTTAAAATCAGCATAATATTGGGCTGGGAATACTTTTCTTATTATTTTAACATTCTTAGCCCTACAGTCAGTATGGATCCTTCATCCCCTTCTGCAAGATCAACGAGATCTGCTATAGGTCATAGGTGAGCAATATTTTTTCTTGGTTTCTTCACGTTACTAAAAAGAGTGCACAGAGGGTACAGTCTTATGACTTCTGTATCTTACAGCCCTCGTGACCGGTCCTGTCCCAGATCCCCATCGAGGAGAAGGGAGAAGCCGGCAGCCTGCCCTGGATGTGGAGCAAGGCCTTTGGATAACTGCAGGCTCTGCAGAAAATGCTTAAACATGGCCGCAGGAGAATCTGATCACCAGAGGTCACCGCAAGCCTCTACCTCCTCAGCCAAGGATATTGCTTATTGGATTAAGCAGGCAGTGGTTGAAGGAATTGCTGAATCCCACAAGATTAAGAGATCAAGAGGGGAAAACTTCAGCATGGATTCAGATCAGTCTGACGATGAATACAGACAAACTTCATCTTACCTGGATTTGGAGCCAATCTCGTCCAGTGAAGAGGAGTATATGGAACAACCTTGCTCCTTGGACTCCAAAGCTATGGAGCATTTGATTATGGCTGTTAGAAGAACATTGGATTTGCCGGAAGAAACCAGAGAATGTTCAGCTTCTGACAGACACTTTGGAGATTTACATAAGAAAAGACCTTCCTTTCCAGTCCACAGCTCTATTAAAGACCTGATGAGGAACGAGTGGCAAATTCCTAGTAAGAGGATTACTAGTCAGGGTCGGCTTTCGAAGTTATATCCGATTAAAGAGGAGGATTCCAGATTGTGGACTACGGTCCCCAAAGTTGATGCTCCTATCATTAAGGTTGCTAAAAGATCCACGCTACCAATTGATAGCAATGCTTCCCTTAAGGAGCCCATGGATAAAAGGATTGATGCTGATTTATCTAAAGCTTTCATGACAGCGGGTTTAGGTTGCCATCCAGCTGTGTCCATTTCGGCTTTGTCTAGAGCCATGCGTTCCTGGTTGCTTGACTTGGAGGATGACATAGATAAAGGAGTCAGTAGACGTCAGATGGCGGAATCCTTAAGGGATATCAAACTCGCCAGTGACTGGCTTTTGGAATCCTCCACTGACCTCATTAGAATTCTTTCTAAGGTTATGGCACATTCAGTCACCGCTAGAAGGGCGCTTTGGCTGAGATCCTGGGGAGCAGACCTGTCATCCAAGAATAATTTATGCTCACTTCCCTTTATGGGAGAAGTGCTTTTTGGGAAACCTCTGGATGAAGCGATTAAAAAGGCGGCCGAGGTTAAACAGGTCATGCTGCCACAAGATAGGCGTCCAAAGAGACCTCGTCTGGACCGTAGACCTTTTAGGGATCAAGGCTACTTTAGGGAAAGTAAGACTTACAGGCCAGGTAGAGAATTCTCAAGGAATTCCAATTGGAAGAGCGGCCTGAATGGGAAATCCTCTAGGGGCAAGACGCAGACCTCTTCCTTTCGCCCCAACAAGCAATTCTGAAGGTGGCTTACTCCAGGTTCCTCGAGTGGGAGCACGTCTTTCATTCTTTCAGAGGGCCTGGGAAATAATTCCAGATGCTTGGGTAAGATCCATTATCACCGGAGGTTATCATCTGGAATTCGACGAATATCCACCTCCACCAAGGTTTATTCGCACAAGGCTTCCAGCCAACATCCAAAAAAGAGAGGTTTTGACTCTTTATGTCAACAATCTTCTTACGGAAGAAGCCATCATACCTGTACCCATAAAAGAAAGATTCCAGGGATATTATTCCCCCCTGTTCTTGGTCAAGAAGCCAGAGGGAAAATGGAGGCCTATTTTAGATCTCCACCAGCTCAACCTTTATCTGAGAGTCAGAAAATTTCGGATGGAATCCATTCGCTCCATCATTCCGGTTGTTCATCACCAAGATTGGATGATATCAGTAGACCTCAGGGATGCATATTTTCATGTCCCTATCACGTTCACCCATCAAAGGTTTCTCAGGTTTTGTGTCCGGAAGGAACACTTTCAATTCCAGGCCCTTCCTTTTGGTATAAGTACGGCCCCGAGGACCTTCTCGAAGGTTCTGGTCTCCATCATTGCTTTGCTCAGAAAAGAAGGGGTAGCGGTGTTTCACTACCTGGACGACATCCTGGTAGTGGCTCCGGACCTAGCATCAATATTCCAACACAGGCAATTAGTCCTAGACACTCTATCTCATTTCGGTTGGCTCATCAATTACGAGAAGAGTCACTTGAATCCTTCAAGAGAACTGATATTCCTGGGAGCAAATTTCAATACAGACACAGCGATTGTATCCCTCTCACACGACAGAAAGATCAGACTTCGAGATCGGATAAGGGACTTCAGACTAAAGACTTCAGCCTCGGCAAGAGAGTTTATGAGGCTTCTGGGGACTCTTTCCTCTACGATAGAACTTGTCAGATGGGCTCAGTGGAACCTTCGCCCTCTTCAACAATTTTTCCTAAAAAATTTCAGGACCGACTCGAGGGAGTGGGAGACGCTGATTCGCATTCCTTTGATTCTGAAGCAGAAGCTCCTTTGGTGGAAGTCATGGGAAAATCTCTCCAGGGGGTTCCCCTTGCGGGAAATAGATTGGGTGGTCATTACGACAGATGCCAGTCTGACAGGTTGGGGGGCACATTTAGGCAATCAATTTTTTCAAGCAAATTGGCCTCCAAGAACTCAATGCTTGCCTTCCAACATCAGGGAGCTAAGAGCAACCTTTCTGGCGCTTCTTCATTTTCAGCATCTCATCAGGCATTGCTGGGTCAAGTTGAGAGTGGACAACAAAGCGGCGGCTGCCTACATAAACCATCAAGGCGGAACAAGGAGTGTAGCCCTGATGAGAGAGATAGTTCCCATTATGACCTGGGCTCAGAATCATGTGGAAGGCCTGTGTGCCATCTATCTCCCAGGGAAGGAGAATGTAATAGCGGATTTCCTCAGCAGACATCGGATAGAGGCTTCAGAATGGCAACTTTCCAGGAGAATCTTCGCTCGGTTGGTCCAGAAGTGGGGTCTTCCCCAAGTAGACCTCATGGCGACCTTTCGGAATGCTCAGGTTCCATGCTTTGTGTCGAGGAGATACCATCCAAAGGCGGTTGCTCAAGATGCTCTATCCATCAATTGGGTATTCGATCTGGCTTACGTTTTTCCTCCAATTCCCCTCATCCACGCTGTTCTGAGAAAAATCTCCAAGGAACATTGCAAGGTGATAGCTGTACTTCCATTCTGGCCTTGTCGCCCTTGGTTTCCCCTGTTACAGAGGTTATCAGTGGACCTGCCTTGGGAACTTCCAGTCTCAGAAGACCTGCTGATTCAGGGTCCAGTGTTTCATCCGGAGCCTCACAAATTCAGGCTCCATGCATGGCTATTGAGAGGAAGTCTCTAGTTGAACATGGCCTTTCGGACCAGGTTATCTCTACCCTGTTACGTTCCAGGAATCCTTCTACTTCTTCTACGTACCATAAGGTATGGGAAACCTTTGCTCGATGGTGTAATTCCACGGTTCAAGAATTAGGTTCCCCTTCCGTGTCTCAGGTTTTGGGTTTCCTGCAAGCAGGCCTGGAGAGGGGCCTTCAACTTAACACGCTTAAAGTGCACTGCTCTGCTCTTTCAGCTCTTTCCGGTATTCGTTGGGCATTGAATCCTATTGTAATTCGCTTCTTCAAAGCAGTGATTAGGATCAGACCTTCTATCAAGGTTTTCTCTGCTCCTTGGAATTTGCCTCTGGTTCTGCAGGCCTTGACGGAACATCCCTTCGAACCTATTGATGAGGTCTCTATGCAGGTTCTTTCTCTCAAGACCCTGTTGTTACTGGCCTTGGTATCTGCTAGGAGAATGTCAGATATTAGAGCACTGTCGTCTGAAGAACCATTCACTACCTTCTTCGATGATAGGGTTGCGCTACGGCCTAGACCTGAGTTCCTTCCTAAGGTGGTTTACATCCTTTCATTTGAATCAAGAGATTGTCCTGCCAGGGTATTTTCAGGAGCCATCGTCTCCTGAGGAAGAAAGATGTCATACGCTAGACCTAAGGAGGTGTCTTTCCACATATATTTCACGCTCAGCTGATTGGAGGAAGTCTACCCAATTGTTTGTGATACCTTGGGGTTCTCGTAAAGGTGAAGCTGCCTCTGTCGCAACCCTTCGTTCTTGGACGGTTCAGGCTATTTCTAAAGCTTACAGAGCTAAACAGGTTCCTGTTCCCAAGGACATCAAGGCACATTCCACAAGGTCCATTGCTACTTCATGGGCTGCAGAGTCAGGAGTTCCTGCAGAGAGCATCTGTAAAGCTGCCAATTGGTCATCTTTAAAAACCTTTGTACACCACTACAGAGTGGATATCTCATCTCGTTCTGATTCAGAGTTTGGCCTATCGGTCCTGAACTCTTATAAGCCTTAAGTGGATATTAAACAGTTTTTGTAGCATGACTTACCCTCCCTGAGTGGTTATTGCTTTGGTAATCCCATATGTTAAATGCTGCCATGATTAGCCAGGAATAGAGAAAATTTATTGATACTTACCGTAATTTTCTTTTCCTGGCTATTATTCATGGCAGCATTTGGTCTCCCACCCTCTCTTGGTTTATTTGTCTTGTTACTAGACTGAGGTGTGGGGGATACTGGGGTACCTAATATACTAGGGGAAGGTAGGCTTAATTGTTTAATTGATTGTGTTTCCTGTCCTGAGGGTTGGAGGGAGGAGCTAAACCCATATGTTAAATGCTGCCATGAATAATAGCCAGGAAAAGAAAATTACGGTAAGTATCAATAAATTTTCTCTAATTTTGCTTACTATTAACACATTATCTTTGTTAGACATGGGAATTCTCCTGGATCCTATACAAAACTAATGTATTTTGGAGGTCATCTGACCTAAATCCATATTTAAAGTGCCGGTGTAAGAGTGGCAGATATTGCATTCCATTGCAGTATGTATGGTCACTATTCCCTATACACGAATGAGATGGCACATGGAGCTGCATTGAGAGCGGCATTACAGAGAACCCTGGGAGAATCATACAAATAACACATTCTCCCCCTGAAGGCTTTGGCAGCCCAGAGATATAGTAGGTTACAAAAGGCTCCTGTTTTTGGCTTTTTTAAAGTATTATCTCAAGCAGCAAAATGGGTAGGTAAAACATCTATAACGTGTGCTTTAGAGTATATTAAAATGGATTGTTTAAAGTTCTGGTCTGACATTTTCTTAAACAGCTAGAAAATAAAGACAGACAAGTTTTCACACTGACGTTGGACAAATTGTACCTGTTTAAAGACCCTGGGGTAGAGAACATATCGATAGCAGCTGTGGTGTTTATACTGCCTGCTAAGGAGGACACTGGAGAAGAGGCAGTGGTGGAGGTGTTGTGAGTTTTTTTGCCAAGCTCTTTAAGTCGCTGCTCCTGATGAGAAGACAAATACACAACACACAAAAAGTTACTCAACCTATCCTGGGAACAACAATGCATTATATTACTGATAGCAAGGCTCCCAGACTTCAATCACAGTCTTGAATGGTACACATTATGAGTGATTAGATGCTATTTTTTATTTTTTTTATTTTCTAAGAACATGTGCTGGAGGACAAATATAATTGTTTCACCTCTATAAGGTACTGGAAAATATAAATTAATTGTCGGCTTGTAAACGTATGTAAAGCAGCCCGTGTTAAAATACATACAAGATCATCAGTAACTTGCAGTTCAGGCTTTTCCCACTGCGTGTGTGTAGCTCTCGTACTTGTACGTGGAAGTTTGAACACACAGATACCATTGCGAAATAAAATTATATTTTAGATGTATACAATCCTGTAGATAGGTGCAGTATATTCTCAATAAGGAAACCTGCCTTTAAAGCTTTTAATCGAGCTTGCTCCTCTTCTAAAGCTGCCTGCTTTTCCCTTTCATCCACTCTGGTGAGTGAGAGGCCAGTGCTCGCGAGGGATGAGACTGCGTTTGAGAGTGTCGTAGCCCTACAAAGGAGAAACAATTATTTTTATTTTTAACATCATATAATTGAGATACAAAACTTTTTTTTTTTTAAACCTTCAGGTTATCTACAGTGCGATTTGACACATCTTAAATCACTAAACAAGAAGATTTGGGTGTAACAGATGATGCTACTGCAACATCCTTTGGACACACATAACAACATGGACCTTCTGTTAACATAACAAAGGGAAGGTTTAATAGATCTATGGGTAGTGCCATGTCTAGGGCACCTAAAAAAAAGCATTCGGTCACATTACAGAAAACCATTTCCCTCGATCAGACTGATCTTACCCACAACAGTAATTGTACCTGCAAAGTCTCATCTAAAAGAGAAATACTAACAGTTTTGTCAATAGCGGATTCCTCTTGGCTCAGAGAACACAAGGCACTTAATCCCATATGCACAGTCAAACCATTTGTGACCTCCCTGTCGAATAGAACGGTTATCTTAAGGGATGTCAAGGTTGCATTTGTGAATCCTAATCTATTAACCTCTCCTAAAAACCTACGAGGTACAAATGAAAGAATAGAAACTTAAATGACAGCCCCAAATAGATTCTCTAACTCTGCCCATTCTCCATCTAAAGCGTCATTGTTACAATTGTGATAAAACTAGCTCAACTGTATGCATAAAGCACACGTTTGCAATTATAGTACATGTGAAACTGCCCTCCACAGTTAAGTCTATCAACCTTGGAAAATCATATTCTGAAATTCTGTTACAGAAAAAGAAAATGTCTTTCACTTGTCTGCTTTTTACCTTTTAATAAACCCATTGCTTCACCTAATCTTTGGCATCTTCAACTTCCTTGGATTTTAAGGCTAGCGTTCCCAGGCTCCATCCAATTTTTACATTATAAGCACACTCGTTCTACTATACCTCTTTACAACAAGCCTTTAAATCCCTCAAGACTGAGTCACTGTGCACTTACTCCACACGGCCAAAGTACTGTACTACTGTGAAATGCAACTCATCTTACAGCTGGTACGTGAACAAGGTTTTTATTTTTTGTCATGTTTCGGTTCTGGATATACTTTACGTTTCTCTAATATTTTATAGTATTTTGATACAGACCAACAGACCCAAAAATATAAATACATTAATTATATATATATTTATTATAACAGTCTAAGAACTAAACTTTGTTGTATGAGACAAAGTGGCCATCTGGCAGCCTCTCCACTTGAGAGGACATTAATTTATGCCAAAAACAGAGTGCTATTCAGAGATTAGCCGTTATAAACCAAATGGCAGACAGAGTTCTGAGATGTGTGTCTGTTTGTAATTGATGCAACCATTGCGAGAAAGCTACATATTACCAAAAATTACAGGCTTGAAGACCCAGAAGGGGTGAGGGAGGAATATCAAAACACGAGTTAACCTCTTTCATTACAGAAAAGCTTGCCACTACAGAGACTGCTGATGTGTGGATTATGCAAAGTACACATTAACCCCTTGAATCAGGGTTTCTCCGTTATAGAAGAAAGCGCAGACTTTATTTTTGCCAAGGTCAATAAAAGGAGTATCATAAAATTAGAATACTGAGATCAGAGCACAAAATTCCCCTCATCAATAGCTGCTGGGGAGTGAAAATTTAGCCTTGTCGAGCAGAAATGCACTCCTGGTACGCTATGGCTGGCAGCAAGTATCTATTAAGGCCAGGCTAGTAGCATAGGACTACAAAAATGGAAGCCCTGCCTAAATCCAAGAAAGTGCTTGAGAAACAGCTGCATGCACCTTTCCAAGTTAAAGAAAAAAAAAAGTAGTATGTTGGGTAATCAACAATAACCAAATTTAGATCAAGCTACGTCTGAATTTAAATATCTGCATATAGAACCAATGTCTTTGTGAACAGCTCCAAAAAACATATATGATTACTTTCATGGCTGCCAGCTATTCATTGTGTGATGCTGTGTAAAATTATATAAAAACAAAAATATATGAGAAACTAGAAATCCAATCTAATCTCTCAAAAACTACTCCAAGTATCTCAGAATCAGTGCGAGATAGAAACTCCCACTGATACGAGTGCATGTAGGCTGCCCTGATCAAACTTATTTTCAGGCAGAGAATGTAAAATCAATTAATCAATTACTTCTCGTTAGCAACTGAAACATTGTACCCTTTTGTGGAAGTCCAGAGTAGGGGAGAATACATTGAGAGATCAGAGAATGCCTTCAATGCTTTACATGGAACTTGCAATTCAATAGCTTAAAGTAAAAATCAGTCTGCAGTCTGAATGCATTCATAACAAATAGCTTTCCGTGGGAAAAAGTGGATATCTATTTGGAAAGCACCCAAGAGGGAGATACCTGGCCCCTTTCCTGACCTTACATAACATTAATCTCAGGATTAATGCTAGTTTGCAAACAAATCGTTTTTGGAGATTATTTCTTTTTTTTTTTTTTATTCTTTATTTTTGTGTGCATAAGATTGCAGATAACAAATGAACTCACTGTGCCAGCAGTAGCAAGCATGTTTAAAACAAAAAATGACAGGGCATGTGTAAAGGATTAGCACAATTTTTTGCTAAGTAAAGCAGGCTAGATATGCATAAGTAAGGCATGAGATTCTCGGGGGCAGTATAGAGCACAGTCCAGAGAGTCTCTTAGGTGAGAGCGTAAGAGAGTCTAAGCATGTGCCTGTCGTTCTTAGTTCTGGTTTCTGCCAGAAGGCTGCGAATAAATTAGGTTTAGCAAGCTTCGCCCAGGGATGCTGCCACTGGGCCTGGTGGGGTTTTCCTGGGCCATGGGTGGAGGAGGGCCCATGATAAGGATTTCAGCCATTGGGGGATACATGGGAGCAGCAGTCTCCCTCGCGACATCCATGCTTGTAGGCTGTGAATGTCGCTCCGGTGATTCTTGCAGGGTAGGCTGCTTATTTGGTGCCAGTGTTTGCCCCATGATATTTCCTCGCTGTTGGTGGCCCATTAGGGTCATTTAAAGGCTGTTTGTGGCTTGTAGTCAGCAATATGTGCCTGGAAGGGCAGGAGTTGCTCTATCCTGCGTCCGCTCAACCCAGCGTTCAGGCCCCGCCACTTTGGACGTTATTTTTATTGGTGTAAACAAAGAAACTGCAGCTGGAAGCTAGCTTAGAGTGGCCTTAAAGTGACGGACTAAGTCATAATTTCTACGTGAGACAGACTGACAAAGAATAATGGGCGTTTTAGGTCCAACAACGTATGGGACTGAATAGGACAACCCTAGATTATGTATCACCAGCTGGAAACATGCAGATACTTCAAATAAGCTGCTGGCTATGACAGGTACATTATTCACATACACTAAAAGAGAAATGGAACACAGAACCTAGTTTCATAAACAAGAGCCGACCTGTCTTCAATCTACTGGCATTTCTTTTCCTTAAGCATTGCCTTATGGATGTAAAACAGAACCAGCTCTTACAACTGTATACATCCCATAACTTCCTGCTTGAAGCAGAGATTTATGGGATATTTACAGTGTTCACAATCAAAGCAATGGCAGAACCGGGAATGGTCTCTGCAGATGTCGCAAGGTCCTGATGACTTGATGCAAAAAAATGGGCGTCCACACGTTGTTTTGTACTTTTACATAGATCGACCCTGCAGAGTTCCTGTATTTTACAGCTGTTTACAATACATGTGAGCGTATTTTCATTACCTGCTTGCCGCGGTTGAATCTTTGATTTTCTTTCCCTCCAACGAAGCTAAATGCTGTTCCAAAGCATCGAGTAGACTACTGGGAGCCTGCAAACAATAAAGAAATATTAATTACAAGATATCAGGCACTACAAAATATTGTCTCATTAAATGGATGGAACTTATCTCTCTCCAAGAGAAACTGAAAAAAAGATTTCTTCCAATTGATAAAAAAAATAAATAAACTGCTAGCGGGCACTTTTCAGCTAGATTTTCTGTAATGATGCCCTAAAACTGACAGGCTCAGGCATTTAATTAGAAAGACAGGAAATCTGCACTGAAGGACTAATGAAAACCACCTTACTTTCAATTAAATTCTCACTCACGACTTCAAACCTCCTGAGGTCTGATTAAAAGAAAGTTTGAAGGAAGGCTGGGAGATTTTCCTTTTTAATGATACATTCCTGGATAAGCTTATAATCCAATTCTATATGATATATTCCTATCTGCTATAGGAGGTGTAATCAATAGAACGTTTCTCTGTTCGGAGGGGACCTGAATGGCTACATTTAACCATGTGAACAGCAGAAACCCTAACCTAAAAAGTCTTTAAACAATGGAGTAAAATAATTTATTTTTTCATGGGGATCTACTGACAGGCTAAGATTGTTTATTTACTTTAGAACACGTTTCTCCATACATCTTAGCTAGATCGGTGAAGTGGGCCATGTCGTTGGTAGGTGACAGAGGTCTCTTTATACGGAGCATAAATGACATCCAACGTGTTTACTACCAGTTGTCATTCCGAGAATTTTAAGGGAAGACGGCAGCTGATGATCAGATCAGAAGGGAAAAGCCCTTCTTATAACAAGTTTTAAACATGATGTGGGCCTCTGTGTCCTGTAATCAAAGATAAGGTGTCATGCTTTTTGTTTACTTTTTTCTGTTCTATGACAACCTATCCAGGTATGTCCCATAAGCATTGGTGGGTCAATGTCCAATCACTAAGTATAGAGACCGCAGCGTTTAGCTAGCCAAATAAGAAGAGAACCCCATCTGATGCAACAGTGTGATTTTACCACCATTAACAGCGACTTTACACCACAACAAATCACTGCAACAATTAAAATGAACTGGAGTGAATGGGTTAAACAAAAAAAATAACTATTGTCAGATTAGGGTTTTGGGGGAATGGGCACCAAAACTGGAAGTGAAGAACTGCCAGATGCATTCTTTGGGTTGGCTACAATCTGAACATTATGAGTCACTGTAGCCTGCAACATCCAGATTCACTGTTTGCTATTAACATTTGTTTCAAGTCTGGAATTACAGACAAACTATTTTCCCATGCAGTTGGACCGTTGCATTGGCTTTCCCTCCCAGCTATATTTTTCTGGTTTAACTAGAAAAAGGAATTCACAGTTTAAACATGTCTAAAATCTTTAGGGGTTGATGGTACTACTTAAAAATCGCCCAACAAGCAGTCCTGACAATCAGCCTTATTACGCCTAGTGCCGGTTTTAATAAATATGACAAGTATATATGTATGATATGTTTTCCTCCTCTGAAACGGTCATCCAAAAAAAAAACACTAAGCCCTAGCAATCTACTCCCCTTACCTTTTGTGTCACTTTACCCCACTCCCTCTAGCATGTAAACTCATTGAGCAGGGCCCTCAACCCTTCTGTTCCTGTGTGTCCAACTTGTCTGGTTACAAATACTTGTCGGTTAGTCCACCATTATACAGCGCTACGGAACTTGTTGGCACTTTATAAATAATAATGATGTGGGTGGGATAACAATCTTAAACAGTGCTGTGAAACACTAAAGCTTAACGTGGTTATGGTGCCTCGGTAGCATCCCTACACTCCTCCGCCAAACGGACACAAATAAGGCTTGAAAGCAGAGCCTGTAACTCTGCTTTAAACCCCTGTCAAAGAGCCTGAAAATATACAGTTTCTGTATTTTCTCAGACCAACGATATGTTGTGGAGGGACTGACAGTTGCCACACCACAGGAGCAAGTGCTTGCAAGTCCAAAGACAGAGCCCTTTCTATGTGATAATTGGTGCTTTTTTAAGAAGACCATTTCACCCCTTCTGGTGGGTGAACAGTTTGACAGCATCAGCCGGTTTTATGGCTTGACACCAACCCTGCGGACACATTACATAAGATTTTTTGCAGGTTGGTAAGAATACAGTTCTCTTAGAAGCAGGGAGAATAGATTTGCATTTTAAATGGAGTATTCTTTGTTGCTTGTGGGTGCAGGATGCACCAGCCATATATACAGACAATGTCAATTACAGGGGTATGCAGAGATGTAAGAATTTAAAGTCAGTGTTAGGAAGTGAGATCGTTATGTACAATGCATTTTTTTTTTTGCTGCATCCAGCATTTTAAAGTTTTAAGAATAATGTGATTAAGCCAGGAATCTGCATTTAAGTATGAGGGTGTTGTGTGTAAGATGTGTGACTGAAAAGAAATCTTTCTATTCATGCATGCCTTGTGAGTCACAGCCAGGGGAGGGTGCATGTACACACACAAGTGATTTAACTCCTAGATGGGAGGGTAATGAGCAGGAGGTCTGCAGGGATGATCTACACACCAAGACTGCTACACTAAGCTAACATTGCTTTGGTGCCTATAGTGTCCCTTTAAGCTAATGTTGTTTTGGTGTTTAAAGCGAACAGCAGTCATTGTTGAACAATTACATTGTGACCCTGCATTCAGTCTTGTTTTCCCCCTGAGCAGACCTGGCACGCATTAAAACACTCTGCAGGTGAGTAGGATACTCTTGTTGACTCAGCAGAGAACACATTAAAAATATATTATTACTGGCAAAAAATTCCTTACCTGAGATAAATCGGGGATGTCTCCTCTGTCAATACCAACTTGCTGCATTAGAAAAAACAAACAATTGAAAAATGAATAATGAGTCATAGCAGTAAGTTAAAAGCCATGCCTATTAATGGATCGCTTGCCAGATGGATTTCTGCACATTATAACTGTAGAACAGTCTTACACTGCGTATCTCTGCCAGTGAGCAATAATGTACACAAACACGGTGCATATAGCTATAACATTCAGCAAATACACCCATCAGCCAGTATGTAGTCTGTTTCAGCAAAATAACTCATTAAGCTGATATTCTCTCCACGTTTTCTAAGTCTATGTAACGATTTCAGTCACTTGAAAACTAGGATTTAAAATACACTGAAAAGGTGGCCAGCGCAATTAACCTGTGAGTTCACTTAACCAAGATTACTACAACTACTACAGCTGTTACTAGAGGAAACGGGACAAACCAGAACAGAACCATTGCATTTTCTCTTTCTGCACTTCAGGTACATGAAATTCCTTCAAAGAAATTGAAGTAACTTTACAGAATGCATACAATATGAAAAGAAATGTCAAAAGAAGCTAGTGGATTAATCGAAAATTAAAACAAGACAAAAATGACAGAAAATCAATGTAGTAGAACATACATTTCCATAAACTAACAGGAGACAGCACATAGTATTCCTACGCTAGTAAGACAGTTCTGTCTTACTAGCGTAGGAATACTATGTTTAGAAAATTGGTAGGTCTAATGAGGAGAAAGGTAAAAAAAATAAACTGCCAAACTGAAATTTATATTTAGTCATTGCTGGAAGATTCAAGTTCCCTTTAAAACACACATGTATGTGCTTACACGGCTCAAACTTTTCCACTTTCCACAAAGACTCTTGCAATTTGGAGATGGATATCCACACACTTGTATTCTGATCGCTGAAGGGTCATTTAAGGATCCTCTTCCAAACTTGAATAACCCATTCCATGAAAGACAGCAGAGCTGCATGGAACATCCAGAAATACGTCGAACATTCCATGCTGCCATTATTTCCCATGGGGCGAGATTTCGTGTTCCATATCCTTAGTCCTCCAGGGTTTAAAGAGGACTGTGCAGAGCTGCAAGCCAGCCCCGTTCTGGAAGGAAGTTTACTTTACTAGTTACACAGATGTCTATCCTAAAACTGAAAAAAAGCTAAAGCTTGCCAGTTAGCAAACATGGTCCTGAACGATTCAACATCCACTGAAATCACTGAACTCACCTCTGCTACTTTCAGAAACTCGGAGATCCGAGTCATTCTGGTGAGAAATTTCTTATAAATATCAAGGCCTTCCTTGCACTGATTCTTCTTCATGTCAAAATATTTTTCTAGAGACAGAATTTCGTCGAGGTTAATAATTGTCAAAACAAATCACATAAAAAAAAAAAAAAAAAAGCACCAGACAAAAGCCCAATGCTGCAGTTTTCATTCTATTTAACCCTTTAAGGACACATGACGTGTGTGACATGTCATGATTCCCTTTTATTCCAGAAGTTTGGTCCTTAAGGGGTTAAAGAGGGTCTGTCGCCAAAACATCTGCATAGCAATAGAATAGGAAACACGGAATGAGAGCAGATATTTACCCAATAGATTGATTATTCCTTCGTTGTATGCAGCAAACAGTCTTATGGCATCTTTGAAAAGGAGCATGAAGGCAGCATTAATTACACCATTTGTTAGCTCGTTAGCATTAACCTGGGTTACGGGAGAAACACAAATGGAGGAAAGAAAGAGCAGTGGTCAGCAATTTGCTGCGCAGGACATGATAACAAAACCAACAGATTCAAGGGCAAGTCTAATCCAGCATTTCACGGCCGGTATCCCTCCAGTTGCTGTAGAACCGGTCGGCTGACAAAGAATCACGAAAGGTTCCAGGTCTACAACAGCAGCAGGAGGATACCATATCAAAGTAAACACTTCTCAGCCCAGAGTATATTCAAAGTATTATATGATGTTATGAACAACGTCTCACATATACATTGCGGATTGCTAGCAAATATACAGACTACAAAATAGTTTTTTTTTACTTTAGGATTTTAGCCGACACTTTTTTGCCATACGCTATGGAAGATGTAGTGGCTATACCATTGGCACAATACAACATGCAGACTATGATCTGCAATTATACATTTCTAAAGGCAATTTAAAACGGATATCTTCACAATATACTGTTACATGCAGCTGATTAACTTACATTGAAATCAAGGAGGGCGTCCATTTGGTTTTGTATTATGGGCATGGTTTTGAGTAGCTTTTCTGTACTCATTGTCCTCATAACTCCATCAGCTCTAAAAACAGACATTTCAGATATCATTTATATACCAGTCACCGAACAAAAACACACTGTGGGAAACCTTCCGATTAAGAACAATTAGAATTCCAAACAAACACTTCTAAAACCAGCAGGCATACAGGCGTCTTAGAGTCTACAAACACACCGAGAGCATGAATGTTGCAGAGGGACCGACATCTCAGCATTTAGCACTACAGTTCCAACAGGTTCCCTATGAGCAAGTACACCTAGGCATACAAAACACATTGGGATTGAGAGAGAGCTTGCATGGCCCCCATATTATAGTCTCACTTTTTATTTTATTTTTTTTAAATATTTGCCTAATAAAGTCTGCGATATTAAAGGAACACCGTCATCCATTATTTTTGTATTTTAATATAACATTTATGTTGCCTACTATACCATGTCATTTTATTTATCTTTTTAATTCATGTATTCAGACATATTTTACATCGCTTGCCTCTCATTCACGCGGCCCATTGCCGGCAGCCAACTTTAGCTTTTCTAAAAACTGTCTGACAAAGTTTTTTTTAAAATGCAGCAAGAAGAAAGAGCACGCTATTGTGAAAAGCAACAGATGTTTACAAGAAAATAGTGAACATTGATTGGTCTAAAGGCAAATAAAAAGGAAGGCAAAAGGGTCTTAAAAAAAAAATAAAAAAATATCCAGTTTAAAAATAAAAAATAAAAAAAATAAACACACAGAAAAAAAGAATAATGATCTGCTATATTACAACCTTATAAAATATTCAACATGATCACGGTGAGCCATGATCTGGCAAATATTACATTTCAATATAGATTTCTCTGCTATTCCGACACGGTCAATGCTGCCTGGGGATAGACTAGCACAGAATTGAGGTCTATGAAGGAACCCTGCAACTCCCTGCAGCCGTTACGAGGGGCTAACACTTAGGCCCACCCAGAGTCTAACAAGGTAATGATGACTGTGTCGCTTTAAGCCCAAGGATAAGACAGGATGATGCCACTGAAGACTGTTGCAGGTACATTTCTCGTTTTCAATACATTGTATTACATGGGCTTGCAGCTAGCATGCATGAAAAGTGCATCAGCACATTGTTATGACAAGACAATTTAATGAAGTGCTGTCATTCGAGTGGGAGGTGAAGGAGAAGAAGAATATAATAATGGATCGGAGAGATTTGCCTTATTATTCCTAGTATTGTAATAGCAGCTAGATCTACATTTTGCTACTTGCGTTCTCAAACTCGTCCAAGAACGCATATTTTATCTCATAAGCCTTTCACTTTGTATTTTGTAAACTCAACTGAAATGCTTACTTGAGAGAAGCTACCAGACTACGAGTGAAAACCGAAGAAATCTTGGAACAACAAACTCAAAGCACTGCAAACTAGAATAGACCGGAGTCCGCTCACAGGATGAGGGGAACGAAAAAAAGAAACACTGCTTACCCTCTTTTCACTTTAGTGAAATCAAAAGCAACCTGTCTGTAGGACACTGCCTTTTCATTCAGGTACCGGCTGTACCGCCTTATAAATGTGGACATATCGTAACCTAAAGAGAAAGACACTTGTATAAACAGCAATTCTACAATCGGAGAGCAAACGAGTAAACAATGACACATGTGATCAGATATTTTTTCACATTTATGTTCTGCACAGAATGTTATAGGTCTGAAGAGCCATGCTGTAATTATCTGTCAAATTATCATAACATTCAGATTATCACTGGAGATCATAGATTGGGAATTACTGAAAGGAATCATTTAAAAAGAAGCTGAAGATTACTCAAATAGTATTTTTATTTGCTATATAGTTAAAAAAAAGAAGGGAGATTCTTAATAAACAATTCAAAAATGCATTATTTGAATTTAAAAAAACAAAACAAAAAAAAAAACATTCAACTACATTAAGCATATTTAGCCACTTGTTTTCAATGACGATTTTTTTTATTGGTTGAAACATTAAAGCAACTATATTATCAAATGGATAAAAAGAAAAATTAGAAAATACTTTACATGCTGTAACCTGTTACATGTTCTCCCGGGAGAGCACCAACTGCATTTTGCCAAACAGTCGTACTGAACTATGTTTAAAATCCATGGTTTATTCCTATGACATGAGTGGAACTGTTCATGGGGGGGATAAACTACTTCTCAAATTCATGCTGGGTGAGGTTAATGGGATAAGAGCAGAATGAGAAGCTCATGGTTGGAGCATTTTTTTCTGAAGAGGAAATGGTGCGAGTGCAACTGAAGGCAGGCCCACCAAACAGTGCATTTGCAGAGAAACTGAAAGGTAATTTTTTTTCATTTTCTTAATTCCTTTTCTATACAAAATGCGTTAAAAAGATCGAGAAAATAATTTCACCCTATATTTTCCCTTTAACCCCTTAAGGACACATGACATGTCATGATTCCCTTTTATTCCAGAAGTTTGGTCCTTAAGGGGTTAAGTTGCCTATTAAAATGATACTACAGGCACCCATACCACAATCTCATTGAAGTGCGATTAAGTGTTCGCTTAACCTTGTAATGTTAAAAAAAAAAAATAGTTTTAGAGAAACTGCAATGCTAAGATTGCCTCTAGTGGTCGTCTACCAGACAGCCATTAGAGGCCCTTCCTGCAGTTTCAGAGTTTCAAGGACCACTATAGGCACCCAGACCACTTCAGCTTAATGAAGTGGTCTAGGTGCCAGGTCCAGCTAGGATTAACCCTTTCTTCTTTAAACATAGCAGTTTCAGAGAAACTGCTATGTTTACCTATGGGTTAATCCAGCCTCTAGTGGCTGTCTCATTGACAGCTAGAGGGCTTCCGCGCTTCTCACCGTGATTTTCACAGTGCGAAGACGCCAGCGTCCATAGGAAAGCATTGAGAATGCTTTCCTGTGGACTGGCTGAATGCGCGCGCATGCGCATTCAGCCGAAAAAGGAGGAGGAGAGTTCCCCACACCGAGGGAGCCTGGCGGGGGACAACAGATAAGATTTAACCCCTTCCACCCCCTAGAGCCCAGCGGCAGGGGGGGACCTAGAGACCCTATAGTGCCAGGAAAACGAGTATGTTTTCCTGGCACTATAGTGGTCCTTTAACTCCATGAAATGACACTGGACATCCTCACACTTAACATTGTCTTAAAAAATCCTCATGGGAAAGCACTGATTCAATGCTTTCCCGTGGTGAAGGTCTAATGCAGCTTTTGCGGCACGTGCGCATTGGGCTCCCCCACACTGATTTTGGAGGAGGTGGAGACGGTGCAGGCACAGATGGACTTTGGTGCTGGAATCAGGTAATTGTTTAACCCCTTAAGGACCAAACTTCTGGAATAAAAGGGAATCATGACATGTCACGTGTCCTTAAGGGGTTAAAGGGTTATTTAACCCTTGCATTGCAAATGGAAGGAGAGGGGGTTCAGAGAGACACTACAGTGTTAGGAATACAGAGCTGTATTCCGAACACTATAGTTTTCCTTCAAAACACACTAAAAATGTTGTTCTAAATTGGTTTCTGCTAGAAACAAAAAAACAAAAACAAACCACTAACAAATTTAAAAAAATACACGTACTGCTTAATTGAATTCTACTACAGCAATAGCTGGCTTCAAAAAAAAAAAAAAAAAAAAACCACACACACACACAATTAATTATTTATTTTAAAGATTTGAGGGTTTTTTTAAGGTGGGGAAGAGGGTACAGAAAGGAAAAGACACATGGGGGGGAAAAAAAAATCAAGTACATCATACAGCTTGTACCCTTGTTATTTACATACAGTTAGTGCGAGTACACACTGTTGTTTCATGGAGTATAACATAAGAGTGGGTGAAAGCTTTTCACTCCTTGATATTGGTGCTTTGGTGAGTGTTAACTGTTTCAGCTGTAGGGTAGGATTGCGGAGGAAGGGGAGATACACATTTATTGTTTTAATAGCATATTTGCTTATTTACTTTAAAGGGACATTTATAGTCACCAGAACAACTACAGCTACAATTTGTTCTGGTGAGTATAATCATTGTCTTCAGGCATTTTCATGCAAACACTGTCTTTTTTTTATTTATTTTTTTTCTAAGTTGGGGGGGAGAGACAGACAGACAGACAGACAGACAACAATCCATCTAAATGATGGATTAAGAACTGTAGGGTCAGGAATACAGGTTTGTTTTCCTGATCCGATAATGTTCCTTTAAGTATATGCGTTGTACAAAAAGGGTCTGTTTCTACTACTGGTAGCAGCCAGGAAAAAAAAAAGCATTTATTGCTAAACAGTCAAAAATGCAATATTTCCAGAAGGCAATGAACATCAATAGATTTAAGATAGATGAATACTGTAAATATTGAGATGTAAGAAATCAAAACATCACAATACATTGAGGGATTGCAATGCTGCGGAGGGGGACAGAGGGTTTGCTTTAAAGCAGTAGGGAGACTTACAAGACAAGGTAGGATTTTTTCATGACATTATGCGGAAATTGAACAAGCAAACGTAACCCATTCTGTACTACTGGCTGTTACATCTAGAAAAGGATACTCACCTCCAGATTTTCCTTGCTTGCAGCCAATCTGCTGTTCTACAAGAGTTGCTGCTACTGTCCTGCTTATCTTGATATTCCTATGGCCATACCTCCCCAGTATCCCTATCTAGGAGGGACAGTCCCTATTTGCGGCCCAAATCTCTGTCGATTTCTAGGAGCTCCATTTTGTTAGTGTATCTGGGTGTAGCAACAGCAATAACAATCAGTAATGCGTATTTAAACTAAAATAAATCAGTCTGTGTTACATTGTTCTTCTCAATTACATTTTAATAGTAAAAATTCATGTTAGTATTATTATAGAGATGTCGCGAACCTTCCGCGAACTTCTCACGAACGGTTCGCGGCGAACTCCGGTCAACTGACACGTCTCGGCCAATCTCCAGCAGACCCTCCCTCCCAGACCCTCCTACTTCCTGGACAGCATGTTGAAACATGGATGCTGTCCAGGAAGTAGGAGGGTCTGAGAGGGAGGGTCTGCTGGAGATTGGCCGGGACGTGTCAGCTGACCAGACTTCGCCACGAACAGCTCGCGGCGAACCGTTCACGAGAAGTTGAAACATGGATGCTGTCCAAGAAGTAGGAGGGTCTGGGAGGGAGGGTCTGCTGGAGATTGGCCGAGACGTGTCAGCTGACCGGAGTTCGCCACGAACAGCTCGTGGCCAACCGTTCGCGACATCTCTAGTTACTAAGTCATCTAAAATTTCTCTACGGAGCCCTGCCTCAGGTCAGAAAATTTAAGTATCCCTCTTTAACAAATTAAAATGTTGGGAAGAAATCATGGCTTTCAGTGGGAGCAATGCTTATATCATTTAAACTACCATAAACTGTCACCAGTCAAAACAAAGCAAGATATTTTAAAGATGTACAGAAATTGCATTCTGCTAACAGTTCAGACTGACATGAATTACTGATTTGAGGTATGAAGTAAAAATAAATCTTTATCTTCATCAATAGAAGCACAATGCTCCTTAAAGTTGTACCGTGTACAGGTGCACTTTCGGGGTTGAGGATAATAATTAGTACAAGAGTAATGTTTAAAATAAATAACATTAAATATTTACTGACCCATTGGGATTATTGCATGGTTCTCCTCAACCCTTAAAGTGTACCTGTCATTATATGGTATTACTGTAAAGAGTATTGTGCTTTTAGAGATGTAGATATAAATGTATTTTACTTCTAGGTTTTAGTTCATATGCCTCAAATCAGTCATTAATAATTATGAACATATTTAGCTCACCTTGAAGCCCGCTTTTGTCCAAGAAATTGCTTAGATTGAACAATGTATTCCGTGATGCCAAATACTGAATAAAGCGCTACAGGAAGCAGAGAAAGAAATTATTGGGATTAGATCAGTTGCAAGGTAATCTAAAATAAAATGGTTCACAAAGCAAAGTGAGAAAACATTATCTAAACCCTCACTGGGATGTAATAGCGTTTTTGGAGCAGCCACACAAAAAGACCTACAGCAAACCCTGCATTAACAATGGCACACGTAGTGAGAGCTACAAACAGGCGTTTAAATGGGGATTTATTGTTGCCCATACCAGGGAGTCCCAGGTATCAATGAATATTGGGTTCTCCTCTTTCAGCTCTGGACATTTTTAATGTCTTCAGTCTTTTTGATGGCTGCATGCAGTATTGAAAGTTAACACTGCATACATCCCTGTAAATCCATAGAGAATACTACAGCTAAGTGATAAACACAGTCACAGTGATTCTCTCACTGGATCTGGTGCTTGGGAGACCCCCAGAATCTGAGCCGACCCTGGAAGGTCTCACTCCATGCCCAAATGCTATTTTGATCAGTGTTGGGCTTTGACAGTTGGCCAGCACAGACCGCAATACATTGGGAATACAATTTTTAACAACATTTTTCAACACCGGATGCCTGTTATATTAAAACTAGCCAGTAGATGGCAGCAACATATTCTCTGTTTTCATTGAGAATTCCCTTTGCTAATCTCAGTACTGATATCAGGAGGGAAATCATTGGGATTACAATTAAATAGAACATTAAGATAAAGTTTAGAATAAGTATTCGGTTTGGAATTGGGTTTCAGATTATAATTAGGATTAGGCCATCTCAAGGGAGTCCCTCTGCTGAAAATCAGAAAATTCTTCTGTTGACATCAGCAAAAGGAATCCTTCTAATACTATTTATAGGTTAAGGGTTGAGATTAGGATTAAAGTTATAATTAGAATTAGGCTTGGGATTAGGTTACAGTTTAGGACTGAGGTGAGGTTTATGATTAGATTTATAGTTCGATTCTGGTCTTTACTCATGACTCACTTCCTAAATTCCAACTCCCTCCTCGATCCTCTTCAATCTGGCTTTCGCTCCCCCTGCCACTCTACGGAGACAGCTCTTATTAAAATTACAAACGCCCTAATCACAGCTAAATCCAAAGGCCACTACTCCATACGAATTCTTCTTGACCTCTCTGCTGCCTTTGACACTGTTGATCATGGCCTCCTTCTCCTAACTCTCTTGGTCTCGGTGACACAACCCTTTCATGTTTTGCTATCTCTCCCAACGCTCCTTTAGGGTCTCTTTTTCCAACAGCACCTTCTCTCCTCGTACTGTCTCAGTTGGAGTCCCTCAAGGTTCAGTTCTTGGTCCCCTTTTGTTCTCTCTCTATACTGCCTCTTGGCAAACTCCTTAATTTATTTGGATTCCACTACCACCTGTACGCTGACGACACCCAGATATGCCTCTCTTCCCCTGACCTCTCCCCTGCTGTCCTACAACGTGGCACCAATTGCCTTTCTTCTATCTCTGATTGGATGTCCTCCCGCTTTCTGAAGCTCAGTCTCTCTCTCAGGTGTTGCCAAGAAGCTTGTTCATGCTCTAGTAATCTCTCACATCGATTACTATAATTCTCTCCTAATTGGTCTCCCCAGAAGCCGTACTGCCCCCCGACAATCTGTGGTGAATGTTGCTGCCAGGCTGATCTTTCTCTCCTGTTGCTCCTCTCACACCTCACCTCTCTGTCATAGAAACATAGAAACATAAATCCTTACACTGGCTTCCTGTCCCCTACAGGTGTCAATTTAAAATACTAACCCTTACCTTAAAGCTCTAACCAACTCTAGCCCCTCTTCCATTTCTTCACTGATTCATAGGTATGCCCCCTCTTGGTCTCTCTGCTCTACTGGTGACCTTCCCCTGTCTGCTGCTCGCACCGGTACTGCAAATTCACACCTCCAAGACTTCTCACGGGCAGCTCCTTTCCTTTGGAACAACCTGCCTACCCCAGTGTTCAATCTTTTAAGAAGTCCCTCAAAACCCATATTTTCAGGAATGCTTATGGCCTCCAAGAGTAACTACTATCTTTCAAACCTTCCTCTCGCTCTCTCCTATAGGGCCACATTCCACTCTCACCTCCAGTTCTGCCACTTTCCCACCATGTCGATTTGCTGTCTCCCTCAATACCGTTCCTATTGTGTTTTTATACCCCACCTCCTCTAGACTGTAAGCTTGTTTGAGCAGGGTCCTCAACTACCTATTGTTTGTTACATTTTGTTATTGCCTCATTTGGTAAATTCCCTTTTATTGTAAAACGCTGCAGAATAAGCTGGCGCTATATAAATACCAATAATAATGATAATGATTCGATTTATAGTTCGATTCAGGATTAGGATTTGATTTAGAATTGGGATTAAGATTACGACTGCAATGGTATACATATGGGGCATTGTTGTATTCCGGAAATATTACTGAGAACAGTTAAGAATTTTATTACAGAGGGACATGAAATTAAAAAACACAGGCAGAAAAAAAATACAATGTTTATTTAAAAATAAAATTAATAAAACCAATTAGTAACAAACTCTGGGCAAAAATATATAGTGAAAAAAAATGGCACCTCAATAAAGCACAAACTATTCACTGTTTCAAATGTTATGCATTCATGGAGTAATCTAAATATGTTAGCTACTAAAATGCCCCAAAATGTACCATCTTTAATTTGCCATAAAAAAACCTGCAATGGGCAAGTTATAATTTAAGCTCTGTATTTTCACAAAACCTTGACAGAAGCCTGGACTGCTCCTTTAAATAAGTTGCATCGGGCAGTAATGCTCCCCCCCAAGTTGTACAAGTACACATTGTATGCTGTGTGCCATGTACCCACATGATTGGCACAAAACAAGCCTGTTTCAGAAATGTCATGACTTGCATTAATCCCAACAATAAAAAAATGTAAATAAAAAAAAAAAAAAATTATATATATAGTCTATATAGGTTTTAACCCACGATACAAATTTTAAATTAAAGTATACCTTGTCTCTGATTCTATAAAAGCCGTATAATGTTAAATGATTAGGTTCCCAGTTTGGTGCTCATCACAAAAGGCACTCAAAGGGTAAAGTGCGTGGGTAAAAAGAACAATGCTTAGGTGGTAAAATACAATAATAGACTCTGCCAAATGCATTTATGAGACAGGCCAGGAGACTGGAGAGGATGAAAATGTCATGATATACAGAATAGCACAGATGCAGCAATATCCACAAAAACACCGGCCAGGTGACTTCTCAAAATACAAGTGATAATCAGAAAAATGTGCCAAGTGTTGAATTATAGATAAGTGGGGCAGAACCAAAGACAATAGAGAACACTGGTTATATTTTAAAATAAATAATATATGAGGATCAAAACAAATGATGGCTTCTTCCTGACCACATGGATGCAGAGATGATCCAGGACTAGCAAATTAATAGGATAATCCGCTAATCTCAGATGAACTCTGGACTGTGCCAACAATCACCAAGGGAAAGTTAATCATTATTGGATCGGTGGCAAGGTTATTTAGTTACAAAGGGATAAAGAGCCAAGAACACAAAAAAGGATTTATTTCAAAAGGAAACCAGAATTGATAGCATATATGAGGACAGCTCCATCCGGTGGGATATACAGAACCAATGGATGAAGAATAAAAAATAAAAACATTCATAGGAAAACCATTGCACATAAATGCAAAGAGTAGTTCTGGCACCACTTAAAAGTAAAATAAATCCTGGCACCATAACCACTTGAGTATGCTGCTAGGATTGCCCTGGTGACTTCCACTGCGAGTAATCAAATGGTTTCATAATAGGCCAGAGCACTCCTGACACTATGACAGGTCCCCAAAGTGTTTTATATTTGGTTAATATTTGTTTACACAACTTTAAAACATTGAAAACCTGCTAAAATTTGTGTTAACATGTGATGCTCTGTTTTCTGTTAAATTAATAAAGGAACTCTCCACGCCACTTACAGTATTGTGTAGTGGTTATTGTGCCCCCCCACTGTAAGTGGTAGAACTGGGAATCTTGAATGGGGTAGCGGAATATTTATAATTTTTTTCTTGTGCTGTATATAAGAGTTTAGAATTTGTAGAATTTCCCTAATCAGGCCGATTTTGGAAGCCGAGAAATACCTAATAAAATAGTTGGTTAACCGAAAAGTGGTTTCACCGCTTGCACTACAATAAATGTAATTCTGCATCTCACACTCAAACTTGTAAACAATTATCCATCAGGGATGTATGTATGCACATGTGAATCTTCGTCTGTAGTATAAATTATAAAATGTCCGTGTGGTTGGATTAATATTGGAGAAACGACGGAGGATTAGAGATGGCAATAGCCAACATAAATCCAACATCTGGACCAAAACCCCAAATCTTCAGTATCTGCCCATTTTTAGAAAGCAGGTCACGAAATTAGTCATTTGAGATTCAAGTGATCATTTTAAAATGGCATTGCTCCTCTAAGCCTCTCACTCCAAGCCTACAAGTGATTCCCTTTTCCTCCAGTAGTGCAAGCGGAAATTTAAGGGACAAGTTCTTTACTGCCATAGGAAGTTAAAGAAGTGTTCGTATTGGCGGAGTGATTTTCTGGGTTTGCAAAGTCTGTAGTGAAAGCTGGTCAAGGATTTACAGCAAATTTCGGAACATCACAGGTAACGGTTATTATAGTCCGTGCCATCCTGGATTTCCCCCCATTGAGATATTTGTGCACTGTACGAGATGTCACATTCTGCAACAGTCTGCGATCCTCCAGTCTTCATCCACTGACTGGCAGACTTCCAACAAAGCCTCAATGAGGAGTAGGAGGAACTTTTTAAATTGCACATAAATGTGAAATAAAAGTCGACGACCTCGAATGGGCTTTCATGGATGAAAATTAAGTTTTAATAAAGAAAAGAACATTTACTTTAAAAGAAATTGGTTACGCTACCAAAAAGGGGAACAGATCTGATTCTGTGTGTTTCTTAGTAAACATTCAACAACGCCAAGTCCAAAAGTAAACATCCATCTGTCAATTCTGCGGCCTACCACAATATCCTTTCTAATATCTTATTGGGAAGTCTGATGGAAAATGCTACCAGTAAATCGACAATTTAAATATAGCAATGAGTTATTGCTTGGCTGCTTTTTAGCTGAAGTCAGCCGGCGCATTTGAAACAGGAGCTCCTATCTGAATTGTCCTGATTAAATAAATATATACTACACATTTAAGAGACACAAAGGACTATTTAAATATAATACAGAGAATCCGAAAGCATAACAAGCATTAGACCGGGGATAACCAGACAGACATTTTACTGAAGTGTTTGGAACAATTTCTCTTAGAATCACCCAGGAAAAGCATACCATCCACAAATAGAGTGATGACATTTCTAAGTATTATTTTCTGAAGTGTGAATTTGTCAGAAATTCAAATAGTATTCCGTGTGAATTTCACATTTTAGACCAAAGTAGTCAAACTGAAAACATAGCTGACTTTTTGAGAAGATTTCCAATTTGGCTCTTTTGGCCCAAAATGTTTTTTTTTTTGCTGACCTACCAATAGTTTACAGTTTAGGAATGTGTGTTCTCATTGAAACAGGAATGCTCCTTTAAGCCTACACACACGAATGGGTTAATTTACTAGACTAACCAAACCTCTGCATCCCAAAGCGTAATACTGCACAACTGACTACAGGTTAATAGTGGGGACTAACATTTTTTGTTTCTAGGAAAAAAAAAAAAAAAAAACACTTAAAGGAAAAAACTGTAGGCACTATAACCACTATTTAATCTACCTGCACCTAATCAAGATACAACCTTGTGAAAATTTGGATACAAAGGAGGGAGATGGTCGTCTAAATGGACCCTAAGGCGCAAGAACCTGAGCTAAGTTTTTTAGCTCATAAAAGTGTGAGTTGACATTTGGCATTTGATTTTCATCTTTACCACCTATTATTATACAGTTTGCACTATGTTGTGTATTTTTTCTGTATTTAAAGGTACATATGGATATCTCAAAGTGAACATTGTTAAAGGTATACCCTTCCATCTTTTGATTGTTCTATGTCTATCAGTTTCACAAAAGCGCTTCACCGCTTTCCCTTTTTTCTTAAAACTATAACCATCTCATTGAATTTGTTATAGTGTCTGGAGTTCCCTGGAGCTGTCTCTATATTCAGAGTCCCTTTAATTTCCATTTAAGAGAGACACGCCATGCAATTATAACCACTACATTGGCATTAAATGGTTTTATTTTGCTGGTTAGATGCTCCCTGAGTAAAAATCGGCAGTGTCAAAGGATTGACAACAGGGCTAAATCCTTCCATACCCTAGTGCTCACAGCCAGTCAATGCACACCATGAGCACTTACAAAACATTTTGACAAATGATGGAACGTCAATTTAAGTAAATTTACTCATACATATGCTGGAATTACACTACCACAGTATTATATTTGTTTCCCTTTTTATAAAGACTGGTTTTAAATTTTTTCCCCTCCATATTACAAGCTATGTTCTTTTGAAGGACTAAGCGGTTTGTTACTGTAACAATACACACAGGAGTCCCACGTGGCTTTTTAGCTTAGAGACAGAGCATTATGAAGGTGACTGTGTGACACTGACAGCCTCTGGGGATGCCGGCTTGTAAGAAATAACAGCGAAGAGCTTTGATGCCTTGTGAAGGAAAACACAGAGGTCCTCATGTAAGTCAATTACCAGAAGATACATTTCAAATCTGAAATTGTCACATGTAGTTGAAATATACCGTGGTAATGCTGGCAGCATACAAACTGGCCAAATGTAATGTCAAGATCAGGGATCATATGTTATTAGTTGGCCAATTGGATATTCAGGACTAGGGTTGGTAGGGTTACCAATGTGGTTACCATAGATATGGAGCACTGACAAGGGATCTTTTCTGCTATTTAGTTTAAAACATGAAATTAACCAATGTTAATGGAATGTTTGTGTGAAATGCCGACATCTGATAATCTTGTAATATATCTGGTACACCCAGGATTGGCTCAAATGAACATCTGTAAAGGGTGACCATTGGGATACTAGAGTTCGAATGCCTGGGTATATTTATTAATAGTATGTCAAATTAGTCCTATAGGTTGCATCGGAATAGGTCTAGAAAGCTATAGTAGTTTCTGTAAAATAAGCAGTTTTATGGCAACACACCTGGCCATCCACATGTTCCATTTGTTTCCATTTATAAAGAGAAAGGTTGAGTTTTATTTATTTTGACCAGTATGTTGATTTTTAACACTAACAGGTTCATATTTATATAAAGATGTAAACTATTAGATAGATGTGGGTATGTGATTTAACCCTTAACATTCACTGATCAGCCACAACATTAAAACCATTGGCAGGTGAACTGAATAATATTGCTCACATTGTTAAAAGGGCACCTGCCAGGGTGAGATATATTAGGCAGCAAGTCAGTTTTTGAATTGTAGGTGTTGAAGCAGGAAAAATGGGCAGACGCAAAGATATTGAACACAAGGACATATATTCCATTAGCATATCAGGGAAACCAGTGGTGGTTAAATTGTCCCTCATAAAGCGTTATTGTAAGCAATCAAGTATTTCGAACTTTGTCTTGCGATATCTTTTGATTGCCATCAACAATTTTATCTTCTATACTCATCAAGTGACCAAAGGTGACAGAGCAGTTTTAAATTAACCCACTGCAATAACTCCAGAACAATTAAAGATCCTGTATTAAGTACAGTACTGGGCCCTTACATTATACTATCCCGCCATTTGTTATACAGAGTTCAGGGACGCACTGGCCCACCGGGATACCGGGAAATTTCCCGGTGGGCCGCGGCACCTGGGGCCAGACAGACAGCTGGTGTGGCCGCAATTAGGCTGCTGGCGGCCGTAGGGAGACCTGTGCTGTCTCTGCTATGCTCCCCCGCCCTCTATCGCTACTTCGTGAGACAGGGGTCGGAATAGGACGTCATATTCCGGCCCTGGTCTCATTAAGCTGCACGCTGGCACGACCACCCAGCATGCCGCCTGCCTGCACAATCCCCTGGCCGGTCGCCCACTGGACCCCACAGGTAGAAATGTGTGAATCAGTCTGTCAGTATGAGTGTCTGTGTCATGGTGTCTGTGTGCACGCGTCTGTGTCATTGTGTGTGTGTGTGTCATTGTGTGTGTGTGTGTGTGTGTGTGTGTGTGCATGCCTGCTAGTGAATGAGCTTGTGTGTGTACGTGTGTCACTGGTTATGGCTCTACTAATCTGTGCATACCACTCATGAATTCTGTCACATTGTTTTGTAACAGTTTGATAAAGCCTGAGGTTCTCCACTGCATATATAACCAGATCCATCTAAAGCGAGGTTTTAGAAGCATATCATCATATCTTTTCCATTGGAGGTGTGGCATTGTGCCAATGACTCGTTCGCAATAAAAAGTAAAGGGTTGCCACAGAATATCTAGACCATGTTTATTACAAACCTTTCTGTGTCAGTGAGCATTTCTGTATGGAGCATGTGTGTGTCAGAGAACTTGTCTGTAGTGAGCATTTGTGTGACAGAGAGCTTGTCTGTAGTGATCTTGTGTGTGTCAGTGAGCTTTTCAGTAGTGAACGTGTGTGAGACAGTGAACGTGTCTGTAGAAAGCTTGTGCGTGTCAGAATTTGTTTGTACTACGTTTGTGTGTATACCAATAAGCTTGTCTGTGTGAGTCAGTGAGCCTATGTGTGTGCATCTGTGAGCTTGTATTTTTATGTCAGTGAGCTTATGTATATCAGTGAGATTGTTTGTCTATGAGGCTGTGCATCAATGAACTTGTGTGTGTCAGTGAGATTGTCTGTGTCTGCATGTGAGAATGCTTACTGTATAATTAAAGTTTTACTCTGAAAGGACCAATATTTTATATTAGAAATGAAATATATATTTATGTTATATATGTGTGTGTTTATATATTACTCAATCATATGGGCTGGCAAGACATAGCCTTACCTAGTACACGTGACAATATATGGCGCAATGACTTATGGGGCTGGCATAGATTTTTTTTTTTCCAGGGCTGCTTTGTATCCCCGGTCCGGCCCTGACAGAGTTAGATTTGTTTGGAAACTATATAACGAAATATGTTGCAACATTCTATAACTTAACGTACCGGCCTCCTAAATCCCAATCCCCAATCCAGAATATTTATATCTAACGGATTAATGCATCTGGTACGTATCTGCTTTATAAGGCAATCCTTACGGTCCCTATCATCCTGCAGTGACAGTTATGTCATCAAGAAGCACAAACATACATTTCTGTAAATTGTAGTTCAGCTAACAGATTTCATAAGTAAAAATCTCATAACTGAACTACAACCTCCAGAAACCACTACGCTTACATAGAGAATACAAAGTGTACGCCTTCTTCACACCTGTTGTCTCTGTTCTATTCTGTGTGTAAAATTACATTTGATTAAATATCGCCATTCTATAATTGTAAAGCGCTACAGCATATGTTGGCACTATATAATTGCCAATACTAATTCTACTAATACTAATAAGCAAAAGTAGAAACTTCAAACATGAGTTATTAGAAACACACAAATAAAAATACAAAACATTGTCCTGTTCCCATTTCTAATAAATCCCATTTGAAGTTCCTGCCCTGTTGAACCTGTGGATCCACTGTGATTGACAGCTTATTTGGAGCTAGCGGTCCTTCATACCACAATGTGCCAGGCTGTACTTTGGGTCATTCTTTCTATTTACCTAGAGTGCCACACCATTTTACTATTGAATACTACTACTACTAATAATAATAATAATAATAATAATAATAATAATAATAATAATAAGTCAAAGGAATGATGTGAGCAATTGGATTGGCTGGTCACTTTTTTGTCTGGGCAGCACTTCCTAAAGCCTGAAATGACCCTTTAAGGTCACAGAAATTGGGTCAGTAGCATTTCTTGCACTGTTGCAGAGGCATAGCCGACAGCTATAAGCTTCTACTAAAAAAACGACGAATGGAAATCTGTTCCCCAGTGTTTGCATAGCCTAGGTTTAAAAAAAAAAAAAAAAGTGAAGTGTATAGTGATGTCCCGAACAGTTCGCCGAACGGTTCGCCACGGACTCCAGTCAGCAGACACATTCCAGCCAATCAGCAGCAGACCCTCCCTCCCAGACCCTCCCACCTCCTGGACAGCTCACTAAGAATGCAGCTTCAAAATGGATGCTGTCCAGGAGGTGGGAGGGTCTGGGAGGGAGGGTCTGCGGCGAACCGTCCAGGACATCACTACAAGTGTTAACTGCTCAGCTTATTAATATAATGTGAATAGCTGACTTACAACTTCCATTATTTATGCTTTACAGAGCCACTTGGCTACGTGAGAGCACACGGACTGGTCACAATACAGAGAACCCAACACTTTATTTACATTTTGGTACACAGCTTGAGAAATTAATATAGAGAAGGTATTAAAAAAAAAAAAACTTTCCTAATTAGTCTTTATTAATAAAATAAAGATAATGTATTTTTACTGCATGTGAAAGTCTATATGCTCAGACATAGTATAATTCCATGGGACTTGGAAACTGCAAGTCCCAGAATGCACAATTTCCCCAAACTCCTAAAAGCAGAGCTTACATGTGACGGCACCAGAATGTGTGCATGTTCTGCAAGCATACCACATAAGAGTCATTGACCAGCAATAACTAGAATAGATGGCTGTGTATATATAAATGAAAACCAAAACTAATTTTAAGTGTTTCCTGCATTATACGTCAACCTGTATTTTGTTCATAGTGTGAGTACATTCAGGACTGTCTGCTGTAATTATTTCACTCTGTCCAATAGAAGTACACATTTGACTGATTAGTTCTGTTTACATTTTGATCTCAATCAAAGCCTTTTTCTTTTTGGTTTCCACAATTACTAGAGCCCAAACGGTGCCAAAAACCAGACTGTCTCCCCTGTGAAACAAAGACGCACATGTAAATCTCACTTTCTTTGCTTAGATCACAAAATAAATGGCATGTCATTTCTTTTTTGTTTTCTTCTAATGGCATACAAGTCGCTACATCAAAGCAGCTTTTGCTAATTCAGTGGTGAAATGTAATAAAACCAAAAGATTTTTTTTGCACATGGCATCTCGAGAAGAAATGGGGAAAAAACTGCAAGCCGTACAGTTTGTACCTGAATGCGTTTCACACTTGAAAGGAACGAACATATATTATTTATATGCGCACACATTGCTTATTTAATTTCCAGCTCATATGGTATGTCTGAAAGAACGGTCAGATTTAACATTTTATATCTTATCCGAAGTGGTGATCTATAAAAAGCTTAAAATTTCTCCGTAAAATGCAAATAAGGAGTCGAGTTTGTCCAAATTAATAGTCACCGGCTGCCACTAAGGAATACCGGTACACTGATCACATATTATGAAGGCTGGCTATGAAATCTCAGTTTGCAAGGCCTAGAACGTCAATAGGTTGCCAATTTGTGATGCTAATAAAGTTTTTGTTTTGAAAATTAAAGGAAGTCAGAAGAGCTTATAATTCTAATTATGGATCAAACCCAGCAACAAAAGAAGGTCAGCGATCCTGCAGAAGACCTGGGTTGTACTAATGTAAAGCAAATAGCACAGAACGTCTTTCAACCTCCTACTGTCTAAAGCAATTCAGTGCAAACACGTCTCATAATTAACTTGTAAACCAGCATTACCTCGTTGCCATACACCATCAAATGGTGGGTCGTGATGAGGGATTTGAAGACCACCACCCAGCTGCTGTTGGTCGTTCTCTCAAACAATGTGTCGGCCAGTTGGGGGATGTTTACATTCATCTCATTTGTGCACTGGATTAAGTCTGAAAGACATTACCACGCAAAAACAAAACAAAAACATTAGTAAGTGTCTTCATCTTGCCAAATTTTACAGCAAATAAAAAAAGAACAATGTATACTAGAGAAACCGTCACTTCAGTTTATTTTCACTGTTTATTTTGGAATTACTAGAGATCAAACGGTGCCAGAAACTGGACTGTCTTGTCCGTAAAACAGAGATGTACAATGAAATCTTGCCACAAATGAACACAAGCCAAATGCTTTTTATTTTATAGGTTTGCAAAAAAAAAAAAAAGGGAAAAACAACAAACACACAAACTAGATCACGTCCCCTTGCTTAAAGCATGTAGATGTCCAGTTCACATTAACCATATATCTATTGGAGACGTCACCAGCAGTCTGTACAGGAATCTCCAATAGATGTGTAGGCCTGAACATTCTATACAGCGATAAGGGTCTTTGAAACAATTTTCAGCGAGAAATTACATGTGGGTTGCAGCACCAAAGGAGAACTTCAGCTAAGTAACTAACTGCCACACACCAGCAAGCAAAAACTCAACAAGTGATATTGCAATTTAAAGAAAGAAAATCCAACTATAAAGTTCTAGGGAAATGGCCTGAAACCATTTGAATAATAAATACTAACCTGAAGTCACTACGGTCAGTGTCCGTGCCCTCAGACACAGTTTGCATGATCACCCCAGAATGTCTAGCGAGTAGCACTCAGCATTGTGAGAGTAAAGGTACAGTGTTTATGTTAGATATCTGTTTAGAAATATTATGCTGTAAGTGTATGAGGTCAGATTTTCGATGCACATTAAACCAGTGTCCCACTGAGTGTTTAAAAAGTGCCCTTGTCCTTCAATGTAAGTTATCTAGAGCAGAAAACGCCCCCATCCTATACCAACAGGTCACTTTACTTCCTGTCTGCTGGTGGAGAGAACAGACATCAGTTCAGAAAGACGTGCAAACATGGTGGAGGCACTGCTCAAATCAAAGGTGTTGCAAGGGTTGTATGTTTACAAAAGAAGTATATAACACATCAATGGAGATATTCCTGTCCGCACCATGTAACTGGTGTTTGAATAAACAGAGAAAATAAACCAATAGGTGTGCCAAGTATTTTGGTGTTTTGTGTACTAACCAAGCTTCTTCGTGGTTGTGTCTACAAATCTAAACCTCTGGAGAAATACTAGTAGAGAAAATGGCACAGGCAATAAAAAGCAAACTGCACTCAAAACACAAACGGCAATAGAACCAATTACACAAGTGAGTATGCAAAGTCGGACACGTCTGCACAGGATTTACAATTATACAAATAAACCCATACAACAGGACCCTGCCTGCCATTTTTGAAGCGAAGGAAGGAGGATATACACAGTTTTGGACACCAGAATGTTTTTGTTTTATTTAGTTTTTTTTTTTTAGTTTTTTTCTTTCTTGCTTCTAACAAACACAAAAATTAAAACATCTATATGTGCTGCAATATCTCAGTTTAAATTGGCCTAAACGGGTAAGATTTGTTCAAGTGGTGTAGTTCAAGTATGGTGGCATGTTACTGAAACCGTGTTTAAGCAGCTCAGTTACTCTGAAGTATTTCATCTTTATGAAATACTAATTTTGCCTGTATTGGAATTTTATTGAAATTTGAAGGCAATCTACAGATATTGTAAGACAAAGGAGGCACTACTTTGTCTTACTCGCAAACCCGAGGCTGACAAAATGCAAATCTCCCAGTAAACTTTTGTTCCAATCCTGAAGCCATCACAAGTAACTGAATTGTGATTCAGGAATCATCTCACTCATCACAAGATGTGATCTATGGACGCTCCTCTATGGTCCTCCGTGATGTGCCTTGAGCATGCTCGAATACATTATGGAATCGTCTCCTGGAAAATCAAGTTCCAGGAGCCGATGAAGTTTGCAAGAAAAAGACTGTGCATGTTTTCAAATGTGACCTCTCCGGTCAAAGACCCCCGAAAATGACAGTTCCACTTTAATTAAAACACAAGCAAATTTTAAACTTTTAATGCTAAAACACCAGCATGAAAGAGGTAGTAGGAGTATGGGTTCTGCAGTGTGTGGCATGGTCAAACAACATAGCTCTGTGTATGCCACAGGTAGGCATTATGTGCAAAAAAAAAGTTTTAATGTCCTTGAAGCAGATCTGGCCATTCACAAACTTTGTGGTCATCCCACAAATATAAGATTAAAATCCCACAATTCTACAAAATATACATCTTATGAACAGGAAACATATTACAAAACTTAAAGGTACACTATAGGGTCAGTTAAAACACTATTTAGCTGTCCAGCTCCACTTGCCCAACTTAAAAAAGTAGACAACTTACCTTTATTCCAGTGCAGCAATGGTACACCGGTGCTGGCTCCACCTTCGAACCGCCTCCTTGGCAGAGATCTTCAGAATTGATGATTTCAGCCAATCCAATACTTTCCCATAGGAAAGCATTGGAAGGCTATTGCACATGCGCAGCAAAACACTGCGCTAGCCAATCAGTATATGCATTGACTCAATGTATGGCTATGTGGAGACTTCAGCACCTCCAAGCTGACCCAGGAAGTACTTCTAGTGACTGCCAGGGAAGGGTCCATAGGGGGCCTGGGGGCCTCCTTGCATCCATATAACCACGGTCTTTTCTCTGAAAAACTATAGTGCTAGTAATACAAAGTTCGAACAGTTTAATTCCAAAGTGATCTCCTGCGCCAGTCTCAGCTTCCCTGGCAGGTGGCATCCTGGTTCTGAAATATTATTTTCAGGAAGCATGCAGTGACAAGCTCTCAGCTTATCAATGACTCCTCATTCACAAAACTTGCTTGGAAAGAAACTTACCTTTTCCACCTGGGGGAGCGGAGATCGGTGCTTGAGGTAACTTTTGCATCAAACCTTTTGAGACTTTGAGGTAAGAGTGGGCCTGGGGGCCTCCTTGCATCAAACCAAGTTTATTTAGATGAAGTTATTAAGGTGCCTTGAGTGTTCCTTTAGGTGATCCTTAAGGGGGTACTTGATTAAAATTGGCTCTGATCTTAAGAAGAGTGGTAGTTCACTACAAGAGTTTATAGAGCTATAGGAATAAAGAGAGGTTTTCCATCTGAAATTTTACAAGACTCAATATGTCCTATAACGAAGATAGGGAAGGATCCCAACTACGGTTCAAACTATAGACCCATTTAATTTATCAACCTATGTGACAAAACTAGCCACTTAAGAAATGTATGTGGGTAAAAAGTTTCGTTTTTTCCCCCCTTTTATTACATGTATATGTATAGAGCATACGAATGCCGCCATCATTCCGCTTGGAGTTCCACGAACAGTGATTTTCAAACACTGTTCGTGAAACAAACAAAAACTGCTGAATGGGAGACCACACAACGGGGGTCATGTGTCTCCCATTAACTACTGCAACAATGTATCTCCAGTTTATTCATGGGTTTGGTGGGTGGCCGCCGTTCGTATACCGAACACGTGCTGGCGGCCATCTTTATTCACGAAATCACAGCGGTTTTTGGTCGCCAACTGCCTTGAACTAAAATCGGCTACTCTACTTACCGAACACCGCTGGACTTCCAGGCTGTTTGTGCAAATAATAATTTTGGTAGATTTAAGCTTTTCGTATATTCTCCAGGTACAATGTCTGTTCACCTAAACTTGTATTTCACATGGCGTTCGTTTATTTCTGCAGGGATCTGAGCAGTAATTCACCTGACGATGCGCTCAGATCCCAGCTATAAAATAAAGGGTCACTCGACTAATTCCTCTCACTATTTTACAAGTTATGGATTTTAATGGTTTACTGTACGGAGAGATAATGTGATTATCAGTACATTCTTACACAATTCTCTCTCCTGTAAAGCATGGCCTGATGGGAAAAGACCTTGCAGGGTCAGTTTCCCACACAGTCCCCTTAATTAAAACCCTTGTAATACCAGTTTGTAAACCCCTTGCATGGGGAACTGCATAAATACCATGACCTGTGAATAAAAGCACAGTTGACCTCCAAGCTATGTGTCGTCTAGTTCTTGGGAATAAGGGATTGTTATTACGCTACCTGTGTTTTACCTGCTTACCGGACTACCAGGGGCGACATCGTGGATTAACCCCTACTACACCGCTACAACCTAAACATTAAAATATTTTCAAAAATAGACACAAAATTGTAATACCTAATTTGATACATCCGGATCAATCTGGGTTTAATTAGCGGCAGAACTGGGGAGAATAAGGTTTCCAAGATCCTTAATCTTATTTCTGACACTCAACGATCAGTAAACCCCATGTTTTGTATTGCCTCAGATGCAGAGAAGGCCTTTGATAGGCTCAGCTAGGAATTCCTATGTGAAACAGAGGACTTTGGACGGCAGGTATTTTTTTTAAAGAATTCTCAATGGCAGTGTATGCTACACCTCAAGCTAAAGTAATGGGTCAAGCTAAATTCTTAATTTTTTTTACTATAAATAACCACACAAGACAGAGCTGTCCTCTTGCTCCGTTGCGATTTGCAATGACAATTGAACCATTGGAAGCTTTTTGATAAGTAGGGTATTTTTGTGAATATGTTTTACAATTGAACTGTTAGATCTGTTTAGATTTGAATGCATTTGTTCCTTACTTTGACAATTGTTTTGTAGTATTTTTCTCTTGATCTGGTTGAATTATTGTCATTGAATCTTACATATCTAACATTTTATGTATTATATGTAGTATGTTAATACTTATAACCAATAATAAAAAAATAAAAAAATTCCACAAAAAGGTAAACTGCAGACATAACGGACAGAGGAGAACAAAATGGCAGCACAAGGATGGAAAATAATAAATATAAAGATTGGCACGTGGCAAAAAAGGAAGTACAACCATAAGAATGCAAAGGGTATAGGGAAATGAAAACACCAAGAAAAAAACACAACAGAGCCAGTTTCAACAATAGAATATCAAGTGTGGAAGAGTGAATTGCGTACTAGTCTCACCCAGGGTAGTGAGCAATAATGGGTCAACAATGTATCTCACCTGTTCATGTAAGATACACAAATCAATGGGTTTGTCAGATCTAATGACACTGCCCTAGGTTTGGGAGAGTACATTACCTTCACAACTTTGCCCTAAGATTAGGTGTGATACCTCCATATGGACCCACCTTTGTGAATGAAAAATAGATTTTTGCCGTAAACAAACACTTTTTCGGAGAAAAGGCAGTGTTTACATTACAGCCTAGGGATACCTCAACAGGCCACTCCTCAGTTGGCTACTAAAGGAGTTTCCTGGGGCAGCACTGCCATTCAGTGTCTCCACCCTCTTCATGGAGACACTGAACCTTCTTCATAGAGATGCATTGATTCAAGCCAACCATAAGGAAAACATTGTGATTGGTTCAGAGAACCACTTCTGATTAGGTCAACCAAGCAGGCAGATCAGGGACAGAGCCAGCAGCTGCAGATTCAAACAAAAGTAAGATTTTACCATATTTAGGAAGGGTAAGGAAAGTGCAGGGGGGCTTGATGGTGATTTTAACATTATTGGGTCATTAATACAGGTTTGTGTTCCCGACCATACAGGGTTCCTTTAAATTCAGATTCATGTGAGGCATGGCAAAAATCACTAAGTATTTGGGAAAAAAGAAAGAAAGAAACTTAGCAGATAGTATGCATGTTATTTCCTTTGTTACCAGAAGATAACGTTTAAATTTTATAAAACAACTAGTTCCATTACGCTGAAATTAGCAACACGTTAAAAGGAACGAGCCAAGCTGGCCCTCTACTCCATTGTTCAGGACAGTAAGCAGAAGCTCCATATGGCATCATAACCACTCAAGCATGCTGTGGTGTAGTGTCGTATAAATATAAATTTCACAATGTATTTTCAAATTCTGCAAATATAAATGCTTGTGACTGCTAGACATAATATAACAAGATAAAAATGAGGAACTATAATGCAACTCAGTATCCACTTCCTCCCAAATTCTCCATAATAAGGTTCGTGTTGAACAACTTAGGTCAACAAATTGAATGGAGGTAAATTCATACGAAGTCAATGTTCACATAAAATTCAAAAACAGAGGAGGCCATGAGAAATTAGTACTTTAAATAAAAAAAAATAAAAATAAAAAAAGAAATTTGCTACAACGAGGAAACTTACAAATTAAATCTTACACTGTTGGCAGTGGTTAGATAGCCATCAACACACATTTACTTCTTATTTGGCAATGTAAAACATCTGTAGTGCCAACTGTGATATACAATAATTGTTCTTCTTTAACACTTTGACGACGTTAGGATGTTTCAGTATGTCCTAACTATAGTGGGCTCTAACAGTTCTAGAGCATTCTGACACATCTTGCAGTTTTGCTGTAATCTAGCTACAACCTTCAGAATCCATTGCTGTGTCCATAACACACTGCTTTATAGTGTGTGCTCAGTTTTAGAGACCACCAGAATTGGCTGATTCACATCCTAAATTAAAAGGCACAAGAGGGCAATTTTTGGATTCCTCTCGTTCAGTTTGAGGAGCTGTGGGCAGGAGTACAGAACGGATATCATTCAGCAGCTACCAAATAATCATTTAACCACAACAATTAATTATAAAACACATCTACCAGTATTGCTTCTCAAATATTCCTCTGCCGTACATTCACATGGCTCGTATTTAAGTGGTTACTTTAACCCTTTGGAGCAAGGGGACCTTTTTGGTGCAAAATGTACTATTGGGCACTATGGAGGATGTCCCCCCCACTCAGATCGCTCTAAAATCTTTAAGAAATACTAATATCTCTGTATGCGCAGTGTTTCAAGCACAAACACTGCACATACATTCTCTTACCACAATGACCACTTCAAATCACTGAAGTGGTTATGGTGGTTGGAGTAAAAGTATAGTTTTTATGCAATTATACTTTTACAACCCAGCTGCCAAGACAGTCGCAAAAATAGAGCAAATACATTCAAATAATATAGAGTTATGTGCTCAAGCTACAGCTGAACAAAAATATAAATATGTGTGGATCTTTTATTTTCAGCAGAGTGTCCGGTTTACTGGTATTTATGCATAACCAATTCCTGAAATGCAGTGACAATTCCTGAAAATAATAATTTTACCAGTGAGTGTGGCAATGCGATAAAAGACAAACTGCACATCTGATGGGTTGTGTTACTTCTATCATGCTCAAACCAGTGGATGCACAGTTCAAATCCAGATCTGTACCATGCACCGGTTTGTCTTATCAATACTTGATAAGCACCTCTTTCTTATCATGTTTAAAGGTAAGCCACTGCCACGCAAAGTGATTCTGGATACTTTGACCAGCAGAATCTGCCACATTACATCATACAAAGGAATGCAGCAGCAGTATGGTGACCTGTGTAAAACATATTGGCATACTAGTCACCAATTGCTTATTTCAGTTGTAGTGATCGTGTAATGTACCTTCTTACTTCGCTTTAATGTTTCCTTGTTAAAAGCAACAGGTAAGTACTACAACTTTGAATGCTCGAGAGCCTAGCAGCCCTTTAAAATGTTAGTGTTCAGGCACCTTCACAGATTACATTGACACACGTGATGTATAAAAAGACTTGCAGTTAGTCACTAAAGTGAGCATTTTCAAGCATTCAAAGTAAATTCGAAATTTAAAGTAACACTGTAGTCACCAGAACAACTACAGTTTAATACAGTGGTTCTGGTGTACAGCATGTCCCTGCAGTCTTAGCACTGGAATCGCTGCCTTTTCATTGCGGCCTAGTAACACCTCTAGCGGCTGCCAACCACTAGAGGGACCTCCTGGGTCCAGCGTCTCCACGCCCCCGATTCAATGCCTCTCTAAGAGGAAATGCTGATTGGTGGAGCATGTTTTGCAGTGCATGCGCACTAGCCTTCTAATGCTTTCCTATGGTTCACAGAGACAGCAGCACACCGTAGGTGAAGAGGTAAGAAACTCACCCTTTTCATGTACTCGGAGGCATCCTGGGCACCTAAACATTGAACAGGAATACATGTTTTTATTCCGAAAGCAACATTGTTCCTTTGTGGTCAATACAGCCAATGCGACAAACAGAATGGATGAAGACGGTCACGATGGACAGCTTCAGGTAAGTAAAATGCATCTTTTCCTGCGGCCCCCACACTGCAAGCGGAGTAGTAACTATCAGGGTCTTTGCAAAATATGCTAAGATTTCAGACAGCGACAGAGCAACTTTAAGACGATCTGTGAGAGTGGAATATTGTCATAGCATGCCCAGACTAACCAGTAATTTGAGACAGAGTGAGTTATCCAAAATACGAAATCTTGAAGAATGTTAGTCATGCAGTGTGTGCTATGCACCATTTCTAAATTGTGCACTTTATAAAAGCTGGGAGACAATAAAATATAAACTAGTAACCCAAAAGTAGATAAGAAAAACACAATAGAAAGTACAATAAATATTCTAAAAGGATATAGGCACCTTCCCTATCATGCTTGGATGAAGGAGAATACATTGTGCTGCATGTCAAATGTAGATCCTCTTATAAAAAATTAATCGGAATGAACAGTGTATATTAGAAGAAGAAAAACGTATGGATCATTTCGGACAAAGCACAATTTTCCCTGTTAAAGAGAGTTTGATGCTTAATTGTTAAAGGTTTTGTTGGGGAAGAGTAATGTCTAATGATTAAATATTTTATTATTTATATAGGGCCATCAGATTCCGTAGCGCTGTACAATAGGTCAAACTGTTTGAAATCAGTAAGGGTCTCAAAATACCATATTAAGTAGTATATACATCTTTGATATAAAGTATTAAAACCCTTTCAGCGTAGGTAGGAATAAATAAATTAGTACTCCAGGTAAGAAGTTAAATATAGAATCATGCAATTAATTTTATATATTCTCAAGTACATAGAGAGTGTATGTTGGAGACTAAATTCAGATTCCATTCATGTTCTATATTAATTCCAGTTGTAGGGTTTTTTCTCCCATTTTTCCACTTTTAGTAAACACAGGCACTGTTTGCCAAAGCTTAGTTCAAACCATCTTCAACGGAAGAAACAGCTGCCAGCATTCCTATATTAGATGTTAAAAACCATCTGTTGAAAATAGAAAAATATTACTTGTACATGTGTGAGTTTGTGAAAACGAAATTCAACAATGTCATTTTAAAGCAGCAACTACACAAGGCAGCTTTGAAGGAATTCTCCAAGCATCGTAACCACTAATGTTCTCTGCAGTGCCTTGGAGCCACCTCTCCGGGTTACCGCCCCCCCCCCTCTGTTCGCATGGGAAACGTGCTTTTACTAACCTTTTTTTCCCTTGTCATGGCTGGACCCACCATCAATCTTGATGATCTCAACCAAGCCAATACTTTCCCCTCGAAAAGCACTAGGAGGCTTTTGTGGATGCACAACAAAATGTCAATCAGCATCACCTCATAGAGATGCATTAAAGGACCACTATAGGCACCCAGACAGCTTAATGAAGTAGTCTGGGTGCCTGGTCCAGCTAGGTTTAACCTTTTTTCTATAAACATAGCAGTTTCAGAGAAACTGCTATGTTTATATTAGGATTAATCCAGCATCTAGTGGCTGTCTCGTTGACAGCCTCTAGAAGCGCTTCTGCGGTTCTCACTGTGAAAAATCACAGTGAGAAGACGCCAGCGTCCACAGGAAAGCATTGTGAATGCTTTCCTATGAGACTGGCTGAATGCGTGCGCGGCTCTTGCACATTCAGCCGAGGAGGAGGAGAGGAGGCGGAGAGATCCCCGCCCGGCGCTGGAGAAAGAGGTAAGTTTAACCCCTTCCACCCCCTAGAGCCCGGCGGGAGGGGGACCCTCAGAGCACTAAAGTGTCAGGAAAAAGAGTATGTTTTCCTGGCACTATGATTTAAAGGACCACTAATCATCTCGATTGGGGAACATTCCAAGCCTCCATGCAGACTGCGGCAATGCTAAATGTAGGTACTGCTGTCACTAGAGGTGTTATTAGACAGCAATGTAAACACAGCCTTTTCTCTGAGGGAAATGTTTACATTGAAAAGCCTACAGGGACAGGATAAAGAAGCACTACATTAAGCTGTAGTGGTTCTGGTGACTATAGTATTACCGGGACACTACAAGCACCAAATCAACGTTCGCTTAATGGAGTGGTTTTGGTGTAGAGCATGCGCTGGTAGTCTAACTACTGCTCAATTCTCTGCCATTTAGGAGGTAAATCTCTTCTTTATGCATCCCTAGCCACAGCTCCCCTGCTTGTGGCCTTCCTTATCTCCCTACATATTTCCTGTAAAGAGAGATTTAATGTTTAAACTTAATTTATTGCACAGTCTGATTAATTTAGATTATTCCATGAGTCTCCTGTGTGTGATTATTTATTTATAAAATATTTTACCAGGAAAGATACTTGAAAACAAGAGAAATCTCAATGTATGTCCCGGGTCCACAAATCATTGCATTGTTACAATTAGGGTACAATAAAATACAAAAACAATATTAATACATAATAAATACAAAATTTAACATAGAACAGACAGGAAATATATAACCAACCAAGACAGGTGCATTCTGTTTTGAGGTATGTAGAGAGGGATCTCTTAAAGGACTTTAGGCTTAGGGAAGATTTTAAATTGTGCGGGAGGTCGTTCCACAATTGCGGTGCTCTGTAGGAGAACGAGGATCGGGTAGATTAAGTAAAGTGTTGGTACTGGATCGGACGTTATAGGAAGTGGGAACAGCTGAGGAAAGCATTGTGGTCAGGTAGGGTGGGAGTTTCCCAGAAAAGCTCTTAAACACAAGGCTGGAAAGATGAAGATTGCGTCTGGATTCCAGCGACAGCCAGTTTAGTTCTTTTAGCATGTCACAATGGTGGGTCCTGTAATTACATTGTAGCACAAATCGGCAGAACCAGTTATACAATGTGTTGAGTTTATTAATGTGGGATTGCGATGCAGATGCAGATACTACATCCCCATAATCAATTATTGGCATCAGCATTTGCTGTACAATCTTTTCCCTTAGTTAGAAACCAAAGTAGTGTCACCACTTTTATGGATAGGCACTACTCTCGCAGTCTTCCAAAGTTTGGGTATGTATCCAGACACCAAGGATTCGTTAATTAGAGTTGCGACGGGTTTAGCAATTGCCGGCGCACTGAGCTTCAACAGCATTGCTGGGATTTGATCAGGTCCGGATTGGTTTTTCATTTTTAGATTATTAAGATGTTTTTCAATGACACTAACAGGCACAGGTCTAAAAATGAACTTGTCTATATTGGGACTTTGCAAATTTAGTTTTGTGTGTGATTAGAGTTCAATTAACACAAAAGGAGATAACCTCTAAAGGACACACTGTGCAGTCACATCTGACTAAAAAGGAAATCATTTTTTTCCATGGAGGTTTATTGAGAGTTACAGCCAGGTAAGGTTTGGCTAGGATTGTATACAAGGAAACCTAAATGATTTAGCTCTTAAAAGGCAGAAAATTGAGCAGTGAGACTACAGGTGCATGATCTTTACACTAAAACTACTTCATTAAGTGAAACTTGTTTTGGTGCTTACAGTATCCCTTTAAGAGATACATGAATTTTGAATAATTTTTAAACTCTCTTAACACTAGTTCAGATCAGTGATAAGTGTTAATGAAAAACAACTTCGTGCAGGGGTAGGCAACCTTTAGCACTCTGGATGTTGACCTAGTGTGATGTGCCTCCAGCTTCTATGACTGTACCGGATATTTTTAAATGTCTAAACCCTGTGGCTTTCTCCTTTTTTCATTTACTGTCGCACATTTACTATGTGTGATTGATGAAAGGTAACACCTGACTGAAAACGAGTAGAAAGGCTGAAATTCTAATTCTATTCCTGTGAGTAATGACGAGAAAAGTGGGTTGTCTACTTTGCTAGGCTTAGCTACTCTGTCCTGTAATCTAATAGCACCAAAACTTTTATATTTGATCATATCCACTAAAGATTACGTAAGTAATTATAATGAAATGAGTCATTAGGCGCTGTCCTCTCATCTTCTGTAAAAGTTAGTCCAATACTTGCAGTCTCACTGAGATATGTCCACATGTGGATGTTTTTCGATGTATAATCAGGAAGTGGAAGAAGGCAATGTGCAGTGGCCCAGTACTATTTTACATTGTCAATAGTTAGGTAAGGGATCTCTTCCAAGCCAATGTGCTTTGAGATCGATGTAAACAGCAAGTAGGTCTTGACTTTCAAATCACAGAGCGGCATCTATTCCTTTGGTAACACACACAAAAGCTACTTTGTCCTGTCCGTCTTCAATATGCAATGCTGTAATGGGCCTGGGAGCATGGTGAGAACTTTGAAGTAATTCTCCTAAAGATTCACTTAAATATTAATTCCATCTTATATTTTTGTGCTTCATTGTTATACTTATAGAACTAAGGAGATATTCTAGCAGCGTAGGTCATCAGGAATTCCCAGAAAGGGACTTTATTTTAAGGATTGTAGAAGATTTTAATATCCAATTATTAAATCTACAATTAATGCAGAACGGGGGTGATGGCTAACCTGAAGGTGTTAAACAATTAATGCCAACCGCTGCACTACAACACGGACACACTCAGCACCGCCTGGTCTGAGGCTTACTGGCTGAATGCTCAAACACAGAGTGGAGTTACAGCTGTACAGCGACGGGCACGAATGCTTTGGGGTTAAACAGTTAATGGATTAACCTCTTCAGGTAAGCCAGCGCCTGGGACCTCCTTGCACCATAACAACTTAATGACGATGAAGCTATGGTGCTGGAGTGTCCCTTTAGACATCTAGTAGCTAGTGCTATACTTTTTCTGGATCCAGGTAGTCAAAAGGTAACTTGATTCAGGTGTGTTCAGTCTAGGAGTCCAAGTAGAACAGAAAAAAAAGTTAATACATTTTAAAAAAAAAATAAAAAAAAAAATAGAGAGAATATAAACCTCATCTATTCAAATGGGTTGCATTGCTTTACATATAGTTTATATCTGTGCCCTAAAAAGGCATATGGTAGGAAAGAAGTGCCGTTACAATGGTAAATGCCATTGGTATACAAAGAACTACAAACACTTAAAGGATCACTATAGGCACCCAGACCACTTCAGCTTAATGAAGTGGTCTGGGTGCCAGGTCCATCTAGTATTAACCCTTTCTGCTGTAAACATCGCAGTTTCAGAGAATGTGATTTTCACAGTGAGAAGATGCCAGCGTCCATAGGAAAGCATTGAGAATGCTTTCCTATGGACTGGAGGAATGCGTGCGCAGCTCTTGCCGCGCATGCGCATTCAGCCAGGGACGTCAGAAGAGGGAGGAGAGTCCCAGCGCCAAGGGAGCCCGGCGCTGGAAAAAGGTAAGGGATTAACCCCTTCCTCCCCCTTCAGCGCAGCGGGAGTGCGACCCTGACGGTATGTTTTCCTGGCACTATAGTGGTCCTTTAACTTTTGACTGTGTGAACCCATTAAGCAGCCATGTTTTAAACACTGCCTTGCTGAGATGGGGATATAAAAATTGCGCGCACACAAGGCAGTGAAGGGACAGGGAAACAAAAATTGTAATAATGCCATTTGTACAGGTTTGTATCTCTAAGATCAAGAGAACATTTACTGCAAGCTCTCTGACCCTCACATCTCTTTATTCAACAGCCTGATTCCCCAACTTTGCAAGCCCATTACTTCTGTGAGCAAGCCTGATCGTCTGCAAAGCCTGATTCCCCAACTTTGCAGGCCCATTACTTCTGTGAGCAAGCCTGATCGTCTGCAAAAGTAGCCTTCTGGAAGACCACACTAAGACTCTATCCTGCACACCTTAATTTATTTTTAACTTAACCACCGGTACATTTTATTTTTATTTTAGATATCCTGTGTACATTGTATATTTTCTTGCATTTATATTTTGTCTGTTATACTAAAGTGTAGTTGTGTTAGCCCTGTATGTAATTGTTTTATTCACCTATATGCAGTCCTCTATTCCCCCTCTGATTTGTGACTGACCTCTGACCCCTCCCTTCTCTTATTGATATGTTTGGTTTTATTTGAATATCCATCTCTTCATCTCTGTACCTAGATACATATCCCCCTCCGTTACCTTTATTGCAAGCTCTCTGACCCTCACATCTCTTTATTCAACAGCCTGATTCCCCAACTTTGCAAGCCCATTACTTCAGTGAGCAAGCCTGATCGTCTGCAAAGCCTTTTCACAGTTTCTTCTCACACTCCCAGACTTAACTGTAAAGGAGGCAGCGTAGGCATCCTTCTCTCCCCTCAATGTACCTTTCAACCAATTATAACTCAACCCCTATCCTTTTCTTCTTTTGAAGTTCACACTGTCTGCCTATTTAAACCAACTCCTTTAAGAATTGCTATCATCTACCGCCCCCTCGGTTATCCTAGACTATTCATCGAGCACTTTTCTTCCTGGCTTCCCCACTTCCTCTCATCTAGCACTCCTTCCCTTATACTTGGGGATTTCAATATCCCAATCAACAACCCCAATTGCACTGATGCCTCTCGTCTGCTCTCTGTAACCTCCTCCTTTGGCCTTACGCAATGGTCCAATTTAGCAACCCATGCCTTCACCAACCTCTGTATTGCCTCTAATCTCTCCAAAATTCCTTTTCCTCTAGCTGACCACCTGCTGACTTTTGACATTGGCATTCCTAAGACCCAATTGACACCACCGTCTGAACATCACCCTCACAGAAACCTCCAATGTCTTGACCTAGAGCATTTCTCCACTAATCTCCAAACTCTCCTTTTACCTATCAAATCTCACCTATCCTAGTTCTGCAACCTCCTTCTAAAATTCCACCCTCTCCTCTCAACAAGACATCATGGCACCTTGTACATTTAAACACCGCAGGCGCCCCCAACAACAAACCCTGACACATCAAGCTCACTCGATACCTCCAAACATGCTCCAGAACTGCTGAACGATGTTGGAGAAAGTCTCACTGTGCATCTGACTTTCTCCACTATAAATTTATGCTGAGCTCATACATCTTGGCTCTTTCCTTTGCAAAAGTTAATTACTTCAATACCCTCGTAACCACACTCTCCCGCGAACCCAAACGACTATTTCACACATTTAACTCTCTTCTTCGCCCTGTTGTTCCTCCTCCACCTACTAACTTGACCGCCTCAGACTTTGCAACTCACTTCACTGACAAGATCAGAGAAGAGATCTCATCTTTCTTCTTCCCCTCACAATACTTCCCCTAACTTCACTCACTCTGCTGTTCTATGTTCATTTGCACCCGCTACATTGGAAGAGGTTTCTGCTCTGCTCCAGTCCTCCCGCCCCACCACCTGCTCCCTAGATCCAATTCCCTCGCATCTCATCCGTACTCTGTCTTCTCTTTCACCACCTCTCACTAAAATTCTCAATCTCTCTCCCCCCTCTGGTATATTTCCATCGCCCTTCAAACATGCAACTGTAACCCCAATTCTAAAGAAGCCCAAACTTTACCCTAATTCCCCATCCAACTATCATCCTATCTTGCTACTGCCTTTTGCATCCAAGATCCTTGAAAGAATTGTGTATGTGAGATTGACAGACTTCCTCGAGTCCAACTCTCTGCTAGACCCGCTTCAGTCTGGTTTCCACGATAAGCACTCTGTGGAAACTGCACTGGCCAAAGTATCCAATGATCTACTCGCTGCAAAATCTCGTGGTCACTACTCTATCCTAATTCTCCTTAACCTGTCTGCGGCTTTTGACACTGTTGATCATCAACTGCTTCTTCTCATCCTCCGTAATATCGGTCTACAAGATATTGCTCTCTCGTTGTGCTCCTCCTACCTCTCCCAGCGCTATTTCAGTGTTTCTTTCTCTGGCTCTGCTTCTTCTCCCCAACTCCTCTCTGTTGGTGTCCCCCCAAGGTTCTGTGCCTTGGTGCCCTACTGTTCTCCATCTATACTGCCTCCCTTGGCTTCCAATATAATTTCTACGCAGACGACACGCAAATCTACCGGTCCTCTCCCCGTCCCTCTTGACTAGTGTGACTGCCTCCCTGCTATTTCTAACTGGATGGCTGCCCACTTCCTTAAACTAAACCTGACCAAAACTGAAATTCTGGTCTTTCCTCCCTCAAGTGTTGTTACTCCTGTGTCTGTCTCCCTCCAAGTCAATGGTGCTACCATCAGCTCCACCACGCAGGCTCGCTGCCTACGTGTTCTTTGACTCCGACCTCTCCTTCAAGCCACATGTTCAGTCTGTTATGGTACCCTCAGCATTAAATGTACAAACCGCCGTTTAGTGAATGCTCCCCTTTCGCAATAGCATAGGCTGCATGCGTATCTAGTACAATCATGCGAACCACAAGCAAGGGAACACTGCAAACTCACGAACGGGATCCGTACGGGCACTTCACTCCACGAGCTCCAAACTCACGAATCGCCAATAGTAGCCGAACGCATATATCTCCCAAGCGGCTAATAATCCCATCCAGTAGTGTCTAGTCGTCGGTAGTAAATACCCCCAATAAACGAGACCAAGCTCCGCATTGAGGGTAAAACAAGAACTGGCTTTACTGTGGGCTACCTGCACGTATTTATGCAGGTCTCCCACTTGGTGGACACTCCCCTAGGGGACCAAATGGGAGACTGTAACAGACAGACAGACATATGGCAAGTTAGGATCTACAGACACAGAATATTCCCAGCATGAATTAGTATTTCCTCCCCTCTGCCCTGGAGATAATTGAGAAGTAAATCAATTATCTCAAGGACAAGGACAAATCGCCATTTTAAATACAGTATAGAAAAACACATAAAAATATATAACTTGGCTTCTGTCGAATGCTACCCATTCGTATCACATACCCCCAGATAGCCTGGATCTGAGTGCATATTATTGGCGAATAGCGCTCAGATCCCATACGCACAGTTCAATCGCCATGGAGTCAAAGTCTATTACAGTCCTTCAGTATGCGATTGACTCCATGGGAAGACTATCTGGGGTAAGTCCATTCGAATGTTTAAACCTCCCGAACGGCCGGTGTTCGCATCCTTATGTCGACTGAGAAGGGAGGTCGACGGCTCCAGCGGTGTTCGGCAAAAAGAATGTCCGCTTTCAGTTCCATGAAATATATGCCTAACACCGCTGGTCTTTCGCATGTTTTAAAATGGCCGCTGCCTCGTGGTCGACATACGAACGACGACCACCCGGTATTCGGTTCTTAATTGAGAAGTGTCTGCGGTTAACCACAACGTTCTAATTGGGATCAATAGGTTAACCAGCAGCACACTTCTCTTCTGGGTGGCCGTCCGTTCGGTAGTTTCATTCGGCGGAAAAAGTCAATTCACTGAACAGAGGCATACGAACGGGTAATTCCACGAAAAGGCAAAAACAGGCAAACAGACGAATCCAGCAACCAGTCTCTACACAGATGGATCTGTCACACAGTCTATTGCCAAATCCTGTCATTTCCATCTCAAAAACATTGCGCGCATCCTCCCCTACTTAATGCCAAATGTGACTACGGTGCTGGTCCATTCCACTGTAATCCGCTTCTCAGTGGTCTTACGTGCTCCCAACTTGCGCTGTTACAGTCCATAATGAATGCGTCAGCGAGGTTCATCTTCCTGTCCGCCCGCACCTCCCATGCCTCACCCTTCTGTCAGTCCCTACATTGGCTTCCTATAAAATACAGAGCTCAATTTAAAATTCTGGTTCTTGCTTTAAAAAATTGCTGCTCCCACCTATCTATCCTCCCTTATACACAAGTATGTCCCGTCTAGGCCCTTACGATCTGCTGAAGACTTACGTCTATCTTCTGTCCGTACTCCCATCTCTGATGCTCGCCTTCAAGATTTCTCGAGGGCTGCACCGTTCCTGTGGAACTCGCTTCCCTCCTCCGTTAGATGCTCACCCAGTCTCCACTCCTTCAAAAAATTGTTAAAAACCCACTTCTTCATAAAAGCGTATCAATTAAACTGTTAATAGCTCCTGACTGATTCCTCTTCTGCAACTGTCACTAGTCTAATACTATCCTTACCTTTTTGTGTCATTTTACCCCACTCCCTCTAGCATGTAAGCTCATTGAGCAGGGCCCTCAACCCCTCTGTTCCTGTGTGTCCCACTTGTCTGGTTACAACTACATGTCTGTTTGTCCACCCATTGTAAAACGCTGCGAATTTGATGGCGCTATATAAATAACATGATATATTCTAATAGATGTATGAGAATGTTATGTTTTATTAAGCCAACCAGATAATTTTAGTTTCTAATCTGAAAGACATGCCATGTTCAGCCCTAATGAAAACGCAGCTCGGTGTTAGCAGTGCATGTTACCCATCACAATCAGCAGCATACCTCCCAAGTGTCCCTATTTAGGAGGGAGAGTCCCTTTTTGGGACCCAAATCCCTCTTTCCCGCTTTTCTATCCTTATTTCCTTAATTTCTAGACACTTCATATTGTTGGTGTGTCTGAGTGTGTAACTGAGCTCCACAACAATAATACTCCCAATAAATGTGTCTTTAAACTACAATAAATGTGTTTAGAAAGCAGTCTGCGTAAATAGGATACATTGTACTTGTCCTAAATTCCATTTTAGCTGTCATAGTGTCCTTTGTCAATTTAAAATGTTGGGAGGTATGACGCAGGCATGGAAAAATATTAATAACCAAATTAAAATGTTACAAGTCATATTTTATTACTAGACAGCCGTATAAAGATCCCAACTTGATGATGGAAAAGGAAAATGGATATTTGCAGTCAGAGCTTGCGCAGAACCGAATACAGGACTAGAGCCGCTCATTGATTTTCCTAGGTAACCCAGTTTCAGATTGTTGCCATTTTATTAATCATACATTAGATTAGAGTAAAGCTTGACCTTCTGAACATGTGACACAATTTGTGATTACAGTTCTGCTGATTTCGGTGTGGGTGATGAATGTTGATAATGATTCACCTAGGAACTCAATGAATGCAGTGAAAAAAGGAAAGCTCCGAGAAACATGACACCACTAGGAACTACTGGATTGCGTTGTCTGCAGCAGACAGATTTAAAAGGATTGCTACAAAATGATGAACGTGCATCCAGCAAAAGGAAAACCACAACATTTTGTATGCAAAATAATGAATATTAATTTGTATTGAACAGAAGAACAAAATAGATTTGTAACAGAATGTCCTAGAAACAGCCCCAAGCAAGAAACATGACTCTTGGCTAAACCACAGCAAAGTATATATTGTCAACAGCGTGTTCTCCTTCAGAGTGTCACACCTTGGTTCGGACAGATTTTCCTGTCACTTAATAAAAGGCCTGCCTAAAAAAAAATCATGCCTCTCAGGAATTGATTTACTCTTCTGTATCATGTCTCCAATTTTATTTACCTAAAATGTACCAGTACCCTAATCAACCCCCATCTCACATGGTCTATTTAATGTCGACTGTATAAAATGGTGGAGATACTGCAGCTAATGCTAGTTAATTCTACACAGCACAACAGAAGCAGGATCCATACATACTCTTATATTCAACACCACTGGTGGCGATCAGGCCTAGGCCACCCACCACGTTTCCAGAATGCATTTCTTAATGTAGGAATCCATTATTGTAAAACTATTTATTCACATTCATTTAAACCCTTTAGTTGGTTCTTATAAAAATGCTGGCGATAGTTTTAATTGCATATCTTAGAGTAGGAATACAGGGAAGTCTTGGCTGTTGGGCCCACCTTCAGTCCAGACATTTTTTACTGCCAGATGTGAACTGAACAATTTTATCCACAAAGCCTTAACACTTGCCTAAGGACTGACCAGATATAAAGTGTGTCCGGCATTTAGGATTTCACAAGAGGACGGTCAGGTTGCTTTAACGTTGGAAAAAGAGGAGTTCGAGGTTTTGTTTCTTTTTTAATAGAGGGAGCCCAGTAATCTAAAATATTAATATAAAGAAAGCATCCATTTCTTTATTGGAGTATTAACATTACCCATAAGAGTACCTATGCTAGTATAGAATGTCCTGCTTATATCTATAGCACACTGCAATTGTTAAACGAATGGGACATTCCATTTTGGTAAAGGATCATGAAAAGTGTGCTTTTTGTTATTCTGTCACTGGTCCTTAAAGGGTTAACACCATCCATATATCTTATCGAATTACTGGACATCAAACTAGTCTTTGCCCAACAACCGATCACGCCAATTTGGACCTACAGAAGATGAAAAGTATAGATCCCAGGGACCAGAAGAACATCATACTGGACAGGTCGGATTGCCACGCTGGTTATTAGCCCAGCAGCTGGTTATATTTTTTCCTACAATACAGAGGGAAAGTTATATTACACAAACATTTGTATGCCATTCATCTTAAAATAATGGTTTTAGTTTAAGCAAATGGCTGACAATACCTTGATATTTGCTTTTACAGACTAAAGAAGACATCTGGGTGCCCGCACCACATCAGGTCTTTAGCAAAAGAAGCCACGTGTCTCTAGAATAAAGCATGGCTCTCAGCCAATAAGCGCTGTTCTGTTGTGGCAAATGCAGCTGTTTTTGCCAGACAGGATTAAAGTACGTCGTCAATCTGTTCTAAAACGGTGAGTTGTCCAGGGCAATCAACACATTACCATTACAGCAGGATGTAATTGTTATGGTGCTGTGAGATCTACAGCCATTTTATTTCAGCTTTAGCCACACACTAATAATAAATCAGCAGGCAGCCACTCACGGATTATCAACATGGATGGTCTCAAGAAATGCTTTCAATGCTGTAGAAAGTATAAAGTTCAAAACGGAGAAACTAAATATAAACATATGAAGATCCATTGCAACCTCAAAAAACTCTTGTTAAATTATCAGTCTGCACACAACGATCACCTTTACAGCATGGAGTATTTAGATAATTGCTATGACGCTTTGCCAGCCCTTAGCTATATAAAATCCACATGCTCCGGTGTCTCCAAATTCCACCCATAGCTCAGAGTATTGCAAAGTTTAAACATTATTTAACATAATTGGCTACCGGAATGTGTACGTATTAATCTGAACGTGAAGGTTTATATGTATTTAAGTAAGAATTGTGTGCTTAAAACAAAGAGTTTTAAACATTGGTAGCAGGGACATCAAAGTTGTGAGTGCCATGTAGATAGACTAACTTGTAAGATTGGCATTGGATAGGTTAAGGAAGGGAAGCTTTGAAGAACTGCTTAAGATAAGCATTAGAGACACTGCAGAGACCAAGGAACCGGCAGCAGGATTAAGATATTAAAATTGTTCCATAACAAAGAAGATCTCTAGAAAGACATGTGGGAAAAAATTAACTGGAACAGACTGCAGATTTAACATCTGTCAAACACAGCAGATTGGCCGTACATTAAATCCTATTCTGTATAGCAGTTCACAGAGCTCAGAACTACCAGTCACATAGTCACTGAACAAATAGTGCTTAAAGAAAAAAGTACATCAAGTCATAATGACAGTCCTGCCTTACGTGTTCCACATCATACTGAGATATAGTCAGATAAGGATGGATTTGATTTATATGAAGTAGATGTTAAATACAATTTAAATCACTAGTCAGAATTTTTTTTAAATTTACAGACTCATTCTTGGTGAGTGTTATAATCTTAAATAATTTGTAAACAGATGAACATTTAATATATAGAATAACTTTCCAGATTAGTTGAACAGTTAAACCAGAACTGATTCTGCTATATACCATTACAATACATAACGAGATAAAGCATTTTTATTGCAAGGTGAATTATTTCCTTTTTAAATCACTCAAACGTGGAGAACAATTTAAAGCTGTTTATTGTATGTACATAGATTAGCAGAACAAAAATAGGATAAATGGGGCAGTTCTCACACCTAAAGCACTTTAGCTTGCTGGGCTGCTTATGTTTGAAGACTGTGTCCTCTTTTACATTTTACAAAAAGTGCTGATTTTTATAGAAATTGACACTTTTGTAAATGAACCTTGTTACAGCAGGTTGTATTACTTCCTGGTTGTTTAGCTCAGTGGATCTAAACACAAAATGAAATGTTTGTCCAATGAGATGTATAGCGTTGATATTGGTTACAATGATACAGTGTCATTACGCCTTGTACTGTTTCCTCCCCCTCAAACAATAAGTAAGTGTTTTAATTGTGTGGAATCACTATGGGTTATGCTTGAGGCTCAAAAGCAGAGCGGATATGTTGCTTTGATTAAGTAAAACTTCTCACAAACTTTACTATGTGTGCACAGGTTTTCTCCTTGAAAAGTCTAAAAACAGACCTCCTAGCAAACATGATTTCTCATTTTCTAGGGAACTGTTAGCAACCCTACTCAGGGATAACAGACCTTCAAAAGTTCTCAGGTAGGACAGTTTTTTGGTACTGAAATGAAGTGGGGAGGGGGTGGGAGTAGCAGTAATGGTGCTAGGAGTGAAAATAATTTTATTTTTAAAAAAGGGGTAAGGGGCTCTTTTAACCAAAATGACGAGAAGAAAAAACAAAAACAAAAAACACAAGCATGCATTTTCCCTGCATGTTTACTTGGGGGAGGTGATATGTTAAAATAGCTTGCAAAACCTGCACACCTGCTGTCTGAAGCCATTGCAAACCCTGCCCTCTTTCAGTTGAATACCCAAATCAGTGGCTTCTCATGGAGAAGCCTCTGAGCTGCAGACACATGTGTCCCTTTGGTTCTCAATGAGCTGTAGTACACCTCACTGAGAGAGGGAGGAGCAGATGTACACTAGCCCAGATGGGGGAAAGAAACTCAAGTAATTACAGAAGTAATTATTTCTATTGAAATTAGCACTGTTCTAAATAGTCAAAAATATGCCAAGCTGAATGGCTCTGTATCTGAAGCAATTGTTTGACTTTTTTTTTAAATGGTGTATATATGAGAAAATTTAACCATCTACCCGAGCAGTCATATTGGGTCTGACAGCTGCAATCGGACCAACTTTAGCTCAGTCTAACATGTCTTGCTGCCGTAGGTTCACACTGAGCAGTCACTGCAGAAGGCAAGTTAGGTCGAGCAGCAGTTAGTCAGATAACAGCAGAGTCTGACCAAACATGGCTACTCACACAGATAAAGTGCAACTTTCTCCCCAAAAAAGTAAAAAAAAAAAATCAATAAAAAATAAAAATTAAAATTGTTTCATTAAATGTAATAAACTAAAAAAAAAAAAAAAAAAAATGGATCAAAGTAAATAGATTTTTAAACTTCCTCTGTTAATGACACCAGTCTTGTTGTAACCAAGCACATACAAAAAAATAATAATAATAAATAATAAAATGTTACCAGCACTCAAATTTAATGGCAGGCTTCCTGGAAGGTTTTTTTGTTTGTCTTTTTATTAGAGAATATCAAATCATACTTAGTTTATTTACTATGTTTTCGGCCAAAATAGTTACATTAGTATGGTGGCGAGAACTAACACACCATTGTGAGTATATGCATTTTGCCAAACACTGGCCCCCACAGATCTACCAATGATGTATGTGCCGAGACTCGACAAATGCAACAAGCCCTCGACATCACCAACCTAAAGTGTGTCAGTTCCTGCAACTGCTACGTGTTTGGCATAGCAACGGTTATGCGTTTGGGCAGTTTTCTGTCTGCATTCTTAGTGCACTCAATCAAAGGAGTCAACCTAACTACTTAAAGTCTGTGATAATTCACTGCATATACAAATACGCTGATAGGTAGTCAAATACCAGTGTCAAGGAATTTGGTTGCACAGTTTTTCTGTTGGGACTGTAGCACTGACTGCAGTGGCTGAAGTGGACTCCCGATTAAAAACCATTATAACTTGGTTCCTTTTTCATTTCCCTCATCTGGCCATAACCATCTGCTTGCCTAATTTGGACATTGTGAATAAACTCTTGTTTTCAGAGAGTGTCTTTCTCAAACTAAAGAACTACAGTTACTAACACCAAGGCCAAATATACTAACTAGAATACAAAATCAGGAAAAACAAACATAATCAGGGTCAGCACTAGCGGGGTCAGGGATTACAGAAAGACAAAAACAATGTCACGGACTAAACTGTATCAAAAACCAGAAAAATAAACACACACACACTGAGAATAATCCACTTATAGGTTTGAAACAACAAAGGAGCATCATTTCAGGTGCATGGCAAAACTGACGCTTGGGCATCATTTCTGGTGCATGGCAAAATTGACGCTTGGGCATCATTTCTGGTGCATGGCAAAATTGACGCTTGGGCATCATTTCTGGTGCATGGCAAAACTGAAGCTGGGGCATCATTTCTGGTGCATGGCAAAACTGACGCTGGGGCATCATTTCTGGTGCATGGCAAAACTGACGCTGGGGCATCATTTCTGGTGCAAGGCAAAACTGACGCAGAGGCATCATTTCTGGTGCATGGCAAAACTGACGCAGGGGCATCATTTCTGGTGGGTATTCTTACAAAAGGTAAATAGCAGTGCTATGCCTGCTGTCAACTTACACATAGGGGACTCTGTCATGGTTACCTTGTGGAAGATTTGCAGTTCTGAAGTCAAAGAGAGGGTGCTGCACAAGTTGTGCATGCAGCATGCTGATGTCACAGGAAAAAAACGTGAATAAAAATGACATAGCCAGCTCAGAAATAAAGTTGATGATTGACAGGAGCCAGACTGGAGCTACATTTAAAACACTCCAAGTACCATAAGCAATACAGCTCGCTATAGTGGGTAGTGTGCTGGAGTTCTCTGGCACCTTAAGTGTAATTACCTGGAGTCAGCTGGGCATCCACTATTAATGCCGGAGAGTCAGACGTTTCTAAGCAGGAACTTTGCTTAGCTCACATGTGTTAAAGGACCACTATAGTGCCAGGAAAACATACTCGTTTTCCTGGCACTATAGTGCCCTGAGGGTGCCCCCACCCTCAGGGACCCCCTCCCGCCCGGCTCTGGAAGGGGAAAGGGGTAAAAACTTACCTTTTTCCAGCGCTGGGCGGAGAGCTCTCCTCCTCCTCTCCGCCTCCGTTCCGCCCCGCCGGCTGAATGCGCACGCGCGGCAAGAGCTGCGCGCGCATTCAGCCCGTCGCATAGGAAAGCATTTACAATGCTTTCCTATGGACGCTGGCGTGCTCTCACTGTGAAAATCACAGTGAGAAGCACGCAAGCGCCTCTAGTGGCTGTCAATGAGACAGCCACTAGAGGATTAGGGGGAAGGCTTAACCCATTCATAAACATAGCAGTTTCTCTGAAACTGCTATGTTTATGAAAAAATGGGTTAACCCTAGAAGGACCTGGCACCCAGACCACTTCATTAAGCTGAAGTGGTCTGGGTGCCTAGAGTGGTCCTTTAAGCCCTGCAATACGGGCCTTACCTCACTGGCTGAGAGTGTGCTGTAGTACTTATGATGATTGAAGTGTTCCTTTCAGTAAGAAAATAAGTATATTGTGTAAATGGCAACATTTCTAGAACTGCTCAGGCAGAAACCTTGCACTATAAACCATTTCAGCAAATTGATGTGGCTATAGACTTAGAGTAACCCTTTAAATCCATAATGTTTGCGTATACTTAAAAGAAACACTTTAGTGTTAGGAATACAAAACTGTACAAAAAAAATGTTACGCTGCCCCTCCCCACCAGCAAGTAAATGGCTAAAAACACCTTTTTTTAATACTCAACTTATTCCAGTGCCAAGTTCCATCAGCGTTAGCTCTAGTAACAACCCCTGGATGTTGGGCTAAGGTAACACCCCCAGGACGTACATGAAAACCAGAGTAATCTGAATGTATCTTTCCTGGTTAAATACTGTATTATTACTATCATCTCCTCCTCATCCATCAGTGCCGAGGGGCAAAATAATGTGCATGCGCAGCAAGTTCGTATTAGGCCTTCCCCAGAGGCAAGCATTGAACCAATGCTTTCCTGGGGGGAGTTTGAAGCTGCTGGATGTCCCCATGCACAGTGTGAGGACATCCAATGTTGTTTTGCAGAGTTAAACTCCATGAAACAGCAGAGAGCACCTCTAGTGAATGTCTGGCAGAAAGTCTTAATCTTGCAATATAAACAATGCAGTTTCTCTGAAACTGCAATGTTTTGGGTTGCATGGTTAAGAGCACAATGTACCCAGTCCAATTCAATGAGATGAAGTGATCTGAGTGCCTGTAGTGTCCCTTTAATGCTGGTAATCCATAAGAAGGTATCACATTTTAAAACCGTGTGCAAATAAGCCACAAGTCAAAAAATGATATATGCTTCTGGACTTCATAATATTAATCATATTTCTCTCTGAATCAACATGATACTCACACGTATTAACTTTTATCTTTTAATATTGTAGTTTTGACAAAACAAACAAACAAAAAAAAAAGACTCTTTAAAAAGAAATCTCAAAAGATAATATAACAAGTGCTTTTGGTGTGTTACAGACATTATTCTGGAATGGATATTAAACTAATTGATCATAATCCACTCAGGGGAGCTCTATATAATCAAAATGTTGAAGGTGGTTTGGCAGAATAAAGACCACCAGAAGACCCTGGCATAAATGAAGCTGTTGGAATAGCATGTGTTATTGGCTGAAGCTAAAATCCATGGATTACACTGATGCATGCCGTCAGATGTTACAAACTACCAGGAGCAGATGTTATTTGGGATTATAGCCTGCAGCCACGTAAAATGGAGCAACATACAGGAGAGTGAAATGAGGATTTTGACATTGCCAACAAAAAGTATACATTCTTTCTTTATTGACCATAAGCATAACTGAGCAAATGTATCGATCTCTGAACAAATACATGTGGTTTCTCACTACAGGCAGACAAACACCACAAAACAACAATGTGGCATCTACTAGCCTTCTCACTCAACATCAAGAGAGGACCCCATTCCAAACAGGAGTTACAATTAAACTGGCCCTCCAATGCACCTAGCCTGTAACCCTGATATATTGCACAGCACTGTGAAACACGCTGATACTTTATAAAATAATAAGTAATCATTAATTATCAGCAGAACCCCACTATGCCAAGTACTCAACTGCCCCATGAGAGCATCAGAAACCATGCAGGAACCCTTGCATTAAGACATAGCCTACCCAATCTTCAAAGAGAGACAGAGCCCTAACAAGCTCTTCAGAGTAATAAAGACCCATAGGACCTCATCAGCCCTGCAGAGCAGTAAGTTAGGCCTGGACCCCAGAGGACCCTCAGACAAATTAAACCCAGACATTATATAAAATCAACATTTCTGATGGTAGCTAGCACCACCAATAGAGCTATAAACAACAGCAACAACAAGGTATCTGGACCTGTGTCCATACAAACTATGGGAAGACAGCAATCCATAATACATGTGAATAATGCTGATTATTGATTAGCAGTGATTGACTGACTGGCCAGCCAGGAGCAGCCCTTCTCTCACACTATCCCAATACATGTGAATAATGCTGATTATTGATTAGCAGTGATTGATTCCAATACATGTGAATAATGCTGATTATTGATTAGCAATGATTGATTCCAATACATGTGAATAATGCTGATTATTGATTAGCAGTGATTGGCCAGCCAGAAGCAGCCCTTCTCTCACACTATCCCAATACATGTGAATAATGCTGATTGATTAGCAGTGATTGATTCCAATACATGTGAATAATGCTGATTATTGATTAGCAGTGATTGATTCCAATACATGTGAATAATGCTGATTATTGATTAGCAGTGACTGATTCCAATACATGTGAATAATGCTGATTATTGATTAGCAGTGATTGATTGACCCTTCTCTCACACTATCCCCATACATACACTCCCACAATGCTCAGCCTCTCCCCCAGGACACCATACTCCTGTGGCACTCCAGCTGCAGTGAACTACCCTTCCCATGATGCTCTGCCAGCCCAGTGCGGAGTGGTGCACCCTGGGAGGTGTAGTCCAGTGCAGTCTGAGCCCATTGCAGCCCCCCCGGGAGGCCGGCGGTACTCACAGTCCAGGTGTTTCTTCTTGGGGCCCATGATCTCGTGGGTGGTGGCCTTGCACACGGTCTTGGACACGGCGGAGCCGGTGACGCTGTGCTGTGCCGCCGTGATGCGGTCCGTGATGCTCTGGCCGGACATGGCGGCTCCGGGCTGGGCCTGGCTCTCACACGGCCGGATCGGGCCCCGCGGGTTCCCGGAGCGGAGTGTCAGTCACAGGGGCAACTGCAGGGAAATGGCGGACCTGCTCCACCTCACTGGGAGACCGGCGGCACCACGTGACCAGGGGCGGGGCGGCCACCGCGCGCAGACACGCCCACTGACTGGCAGAACGCTCCGCCCACACCACGCCCTCTACCTTTCATAGGCTGACTGAACAGACACAGACTGTGCGAGGCCCCGCCCACATCCTGCCCTGTAACTAACACTGTCAGACAAGAGGGCAGAGCGACTGACCGAGGCTCCGCCCACATTCCCTCCCTCTCATCCACACAAGCTGACTGAACCCACCAGCCAGACCTACTGACTGAGGCCCCGCCCACACCCCGCCCCCTGACTCACACAATCTGACTGAACCCACCAGCCACAGACATACTGACTGAGACCCCGCCCACACCCCGCCCCCTGACTCACACAGTCTGACTGTCCAAGCAAAAACACAGACTGACTGAATCCAACCATTAACTGACAGGCTGACTGACTGAATCCAAACATTCATTCTGTGTGTGTGACTGTCTGCTTGTGTGTGTGTTTGACTGTCTACATGTGTGTGTGAGTGTCTACCTGTGTGACTGTCTGCCTGTACCTGTGTGTGTGTGATTGTATGCCTGCAACTGAGTGTGTGTGTGACTGTCTGCCTGTAACGGAGTGTGTGTGTGTGTGTGACTGTCTGCCTGTAATGCAGAGAAAGCAGCTAGACATCTCTGGCTTGCACCTCTGTTGGCTGCAGACCATAAGTAGCTGTCTTCTGCGCTCATGCCAATCAGTGCATTGCTGCAGATTACCAGAGGAAAGCTCTGACACTGTAAATGCCTGAGCTTGCGAGACAGTTACTCATAGTCTGCACCCTGTGATGGGGCAGACCAGATTCCCAGCACCCTGGATCACCAGAGATATCAGCATCCCCTCTCACTGCAAGGTAACAGGGAAGGGGGAATTAATATTTGTTTCTAATCATTTTTAATTTAATAAATCCGCTATATAAACACTACACTACAAGGTGTATGACCTTGGGGGAGGAGGGGGCTGTGTGAAGAATTTTCACGCAGGGCGCCTAATGGCATAAGGCCAGCCCTGTATGTGACCTGTGGATTGTGGTATCCTACCTTAGTGGAACACTGGAGCAGTGAATAGGTTGCCAGAATGGTACTCTCCTTTCTTGTCTTAAGTTTCCAGAGCAGAGGTGGCTCTCTAATTATTTAAGTTAGGCGGCTGCCTCATACTCACTGAAGCCTCACAGTGACCGAACTTACCTTAGTGCAGACTGATCTGTCGGGATCTCTATCAGGACACTAGGAGGGGCCCGGCCCCACTGTGTGCTCCAGATATGGAGAGAGAGCCAAGCACCTCTGGTCTTCAGCTTAACCTGGTGTAGAGTTGCAGATCATAAGGTAGGTGTTACGTGAGGTCCAGCCTATTAGAGGATTGCCATGGGTTACCATGGCATCGCTCTGACACTTCAAGTGCCAGAGCTCGTGAGCCACCTGCTTTGCCACACTCACCTTCCCTCGCTCTGCCATACTCACCCTATCACTTTAACCCAACCTAATCCTGCCACACTCACCTCCTGTCGCACTATCACTCACCCTCCTTCAACCAAGCCACACTCACACTGTCACATAAGCCCCCAATCCTGTCACAATTAACAGCAACCCCTTATTCCTGTCCTACTACCCTCACCCTTTCACACTCCCTTCTTCAACCTTGTCACACTTACCCCCCACCCTGTCACATTCACCATGTCACATTACCCCCCTTAATCATGTTACACTCAGCTCTGCTCGCCCTGTCACATTCACCCCAATCCTCACCGTCATCCAGGGCCGGCACGTCCATCAGGCGACACAGGCGGCCGCCTTATGGCGCACAGGCCCAGGGGTGCGCTAGATTCGAGTGACCAGGCAGGAGGAAAGTGCTCCCTCCTACCTGTCACTCGGTGTAGCATGGTTGAGCAGAGCAGACCGCGGTACAGGAGCATCTGTTTCCTGTAACCAGCCAGACTGAAAGGAAGTGCTGTCAGTCCGGCCGGGTACAGGAAACGAAATCTCCTGTACCGTGGTCCGCTCCGCTCGGCCGCGCTACAGAATAGGTAGGAGGCACCACACCAGGGAGGGAGGGGAGCGGACTACTAAGGGGGGGAGAGAGAGCGGAAAACTAAGGACACTAAGGGACAGGGGATGGAAAGGAAAAGAAATACTAAGGGACGGGGGAGGGAAGGGAAAACAAAAATACTAAGGGACAAGGGTGGAAAGGGGGCACTAAAAGAGAGGGAATGGAGGGGAGAGGAACACTAAGAGGGATGGGGAGTACTAAGGGGATGGAGAAACACAAAGGGACAGGGGAGGTAAGGGAAAAGGAACACTGAGGGGGGGGACCACTAAAAAAAGAGCGAGGGGAAAAGGACACTAAGGAGGGGAACAGGTAAGGAGGGGAGAGGAACACTAAGGGACAGGAGCAGGATGGGGAGGCACTACGAGACAGGTAAGGGGGGGAGAGGAACACTAAGCGATAGGGGAGGGAGGGGAGAGGATCACTACGGGACAGGGGAGGGGGGAGAGGAACACTTAGGGACATGGAGGTGAGAGCAACACTAAAGGACAGGGAAGATGACCACGAATGAAGGGGAGGGGAGAGGATCACTAAGGGACGGGCAGGGGAGAGGAACACTAAGGGACAGGAAGGGGAAAGGACCACTAAGGAACATAGAGTGGAGGGGAGAAGATCACTAAGGGACATGGAGGGGAGAGTGGCACACAGGTGAGGCTGAGTGGGGAGAAAGACACACAGAGAGACATGAGGGGGGAGAAAGACACACAGATGGTCCTGGTGGTGAAAACGATGCACAGAGGGGCTGGGGATGAAGGAGACACACAGAAGGGCCTGGGGATGGAAATACAAAGGGGAAAGGGGTGAAAGAGACACAGAGGGGCTAGAGAAGAGAAAAAAGAGACAGAGGGGGACTGGGGGGAGTTAGACACACAAAGAGGGGTTGTAAAAGATACACAAGGGAGGTGTAAGACACACAATGGGGAAACATAGTGGATAAGATACACTAAAGGGGGTAAGACTTTTAAAAAAGGGGATAAGAAACAAAAGGCAGGTTAAGAGGCACACAGGTGAAGATGCTTTTTTGGGGGGTGCCTGTATACCCAAAACTCCTTGCACCGGCCCTGCCCCAAACCATGCCACACTCATCCTGTCACATTAACCCCCCTAATTCTGTCACACTTAATTTCCCTCGCCCTGTCACACTCCCTCATTCAGCATTGTCATACTCACCCTCTTTCACATTCAGCCCCCAAGTGTGTCTTTAAACTACAAAAAATGTGTTTAGAAATCAGTCTGTGTAAATAAGATACATTGTTCTGGTTCTAAAATTTAATTGTTTTGGCTCTAAAATTTAAGTGTTATTATTTCTCTACTTTAAATGTTGATGGGGTATGCAATTATATATTTTAATTATGTTACAGCTGTAATAATATTTGTATGTTTGTTTTTGCAGTTGATCTACCATTGTCACATTTCCTACTATGACAGGACTATCATATACCTAATTATTCAGATCACCTGCAGTGTGTAGCCCAAGCATGTCGAACTCAAAGGCTAGCACAGGCCAAATAAACAAGGTTTAAGTTTATGTGGGCAGCAAAAAAAAACAACAAAACTTGAATTTTCATAGAAACGTAGGTTTATTTTGAATAGTACAGTATAAATAAAAAAAAGCCCCCCTTTTAAACCTCAGCCCCCCCTCTACTAAACCCCAGTCCCCCCTCTATATTAAATCCCAGTCCCCCCGTACTAAATTCCAGTCCCGCCTCTACTAAATCCCAGTAGGCACCTGCAATGTGGGGAAACAGGTGCCTACTCTCCCTTAACAGTAAAGATGTCAAACTCGCGGCTTGCTGGGCTGCAAAGATATTCATTGTAGGCCGCATGCAGGCCGCGAGTTTGACATGCTTGGTGTAGCTCGTTATTTTAATATTACTTCTGCTAGGCCACGAAAGATCATCTCATCAAGCACCCATTAAGAAAAAAAGTTTTGAGATGGTCATCAGATTAGGAATAACATTCGTAGAGAGTTAAAGACATAACACAGATTAGAAATCAGCACCCACTACATGAGTAGCAGAATTAGACCAATAAAAAGACCTGGAGATAGTAATTAAGAGGAATGACTTCAGAGCTGATAGGTGAGCCAAGAGATGTTTAAAGGACCACTATAGTGCCAGGAAAACACACTTGTTTTCCTGGCACTATAGTGCCCTGAGGGTGCCCCCACCCTCAGGGTCCCCCTCCCACCAGGCTCTAGGGGGAGGAAGGGGTTAAACTTACCTCTTTCTCCAGTGCCGGGCGGGGAACTCCTCTCCGCCTCCTCTCCTCCTCCTCGGCTGAATGCGCATGAGCGGCAAGAGCCTCGCGCGCATTCAGCCAGTCCATAGGAAAGCATTCATAATGCTTTCCTATGGACGCTGGCGTCTTCTCACTGTGAAAATCACAGTGAGAAGCATGCAAGCACCTCTAGCGGCTGTCAGTGAGACAGCCACTAGAGACTGGATTAACCCTAATATAAACATAGCAGTTTCTCTGAAACTGCTATGTTTATAGAAAAAAAGGTTAATCCTAGCTGGACCTGGCACCCAGACCACTTCATTAAGCTGAAGTGTTCTGGGTGCCTATAGTGGTCCTTTAAGTTCCCAAAGGTGAGAGAAGAATTGAGATGAAATAAAATGTGGAGAAAGCAATTGGAGATGACTGCATGTTGGGAGAGGGCGTAGGGTTTCGGTGATCATGGGTGAGAATGTGAGGTTAATGGGGCGAATAACTATGGAAATATGTTAGTTAAGCATGAGATTTCTTGATATCTACAATAAAGACCAGACCCTACACTACAGAAGAGAAGAGAGTGCTTAATACATAGCCCCCCAAGTAAAGACTGTTGCTTTGGGAGTGGAGAAAATATAATATAACTACTGCAATTACTGTAGTTCCATTTTACTATGATATAGGCTGCAAAGTGGATATACATAAAATATACATACACTGCATACCTAATGCACTTC